ATCGAAAAAAATTCATAACTCGAATAATTTTTGACCAATTCTTTGTTTCTTGGTCGCAAATTAAAGAAGGATTATAGCTCCTTAAAATGTGACAATTAAAAATATTTTTAATAAACTTTTGATAGCCAGCGTCCCCACCCGCCCGTATCAGAAAAACGAAAATTGGAAAAAAAATCGGAAAAAATTCATAACTCGAATAAATTTTAACCAATTCTTGGTTTCTTGGTCGCAAATTAAAGAGGGATTATTGCTCCTTAAAATGTGACTTTTGCAATTTTTTTCTATAAACTGTAATAAATAGCGCACGTTATTTTGCGTTGATTGAACCGTATAGGGCCACCGCGCTACTATGTGTGTCGGCGCCTATGGATTTTTCTGATGGCTGGCGGCCGGCGGGTCGCTAGTTTCACCGAACCGTATTTAATATTATTTTATAGTATTCATTAGTGATTACTAGTAACAAATAAAGTATAGTGGTATTTACTTGTATTTAATACTATTTTTTAATATTTAGTAGAATTTTTGTACTAATACATAGTACTTAGCAGTATTTCGTGGTATTTAACACTACCATATACTCCAGAATACTATTAATTACTAGTTAATACTATTAAATACTAGAAAATAATATCTATTTGAGGGTGTTTTGAAGGTTTATTAATGACAATTCGTATTCTCTTTATTTTAAATAATATTTATTAACATTTAATTTATTATTAATTAGTAGTGAGTTGTTTTAAGTAGTTTTAAATAGAATTTCATAGCATTTATTAGTATTTTTAGTAGCATTCTGTAGTTTTTAGCAGTATTTAAAAGTATTTAACACCCTTTGTCACTATTTAGTAGTATTAAACAGTATTCCTTAGTATTAATAAGTATGCAAATAGTATTCGTTTGTATTCAATCATATTTGACTGTATGTAATAGTAGTATTCCATAGTAATTACTAGTATTTGAAACTATTTAGTAGTATTTCATAGTATTTAGTAGTAATTAAAGGTATTTAACAGTGTTTAAAAGTATTTATTAGTATTTAATAGTATTCCGTAGTATTTAAAAGTATGCAAAAGTTTTCGTTTGTATTTAATAGTATTTGAAAATATTTAGTAGTATTTAATATCATTCAATAGTATTCCGTAGTATATAAAAGTATTCAATAGTAGTTATTAGTATTTAAAAACATTTATTAGTATTTAATAGTATTCCGTATTATTTAATATTGTATTTAGTAGTATTGAATTGTACTTGAATGTATTAACAGCCTTTATCACTATTTAGTAGTATTTATTTTAGTATTTCGTACTATTTACAAGTATTCAATAGTATTTATTAGTATTTAATAGTATTCTGTAGTATTTAAAAGTATTCAATAGTATTTATTAGTATTCAATAGTATTCAATAATTAGTATTATAATTACAATCAATATCAATAATTATATAATAATATCAATAATAATAATATCAATAATTAGTATTAGTATTGAATAATTTGAAAGTATTTCGTAGCATTTAAAAGTATTTATTTATATTTAACAGTTTTTGGAAGTATTTAGTAGTATTTAATTGTATTTGTAAGTATTTTACATCCTTTGGTACTTTTTAGTTGTATTTAATAATATTTAGTAGTATTTAACAATATTTGGAAATATTTAATAGTATTTAATAGTATTTGGAAATATTTAGTTACATTTATGAGTATTCAGTTATAGTTTTTATCATACTTAACAGTTTTAATTTTATTTAAAAAAAAGAAACATCCTTTCATCAACCCAAACTACAAATGCCGCAAATTCTGTCTCAGTAGATAAATCATCATCTCTCGATAAAAACTCATCACGATCTTTTGAATATAGAAAACAGTACACGCTCTGCCATCTCTCGGAACATGTAAACAAGATTAAACCAACATTTATTCTCTAAATAAATAATTAAAAAAAAAAAAACTCAAAAGAATTATTTCCATTCCCCTCTGTTTTCGAATTTGAAAACCTTCCCAAAAGTATAAAGAAACATTGAACCATAATTTTAAAAACACTTTTTCATCCTCATCATCATCATCATCATCATCAGCATTATCATCATCAAAACAAAAAAATTTGCAATGATCCAATTTTCTAATAGTCATTAAATACTCTAAAATTATTAATTTACTACACTAATTTTCGAAATTAAAATTTTTCTTTCTTAGAATTCTAAATTTCAGTTATAACTGAAATTTAAAATTCTGAGAAAGAAAAATTTCAGTGTAACTAAATTTAAGAATTCAAAGAAAGAAGAATTTTAGAGGAATATTGTACAAATCACACCATAAGAGGAATGAAGTCGGCCCTGTTATTTTTTTTTCTTCTTCTCTTTATTTCGAGTGGGAGGTGTAAAGTGGGACCACTAGTAAGAGAGAGGAGGGAGGTAAATCTGCGAAGAGAGAAAAAAATATCGTCTCTCTACTATATAGTGTAATATAAAGCCGGTTGGTGGCGTGATCGAAGAAGAACAACCGCCGCGCCTTTTATCGCTCATCCAAATACTCTCCTCTCCCCCCCCCCTCGCTTACCCCTCTCACTAACTCTATCATCGTAGGAAGCTGTGTACTCGATTGAATTAATTGTCGTCACCCGCGTCGAGTAAAACAACTCTTCAGTTGGTTAACGTGATCGTTGATAAAACGTTGCCTCTCTCACTGAAAAATCGGCGAGGTCGGCACATTACACATTGTGTGTGGCGCCTGAGGGTTCCGGTCACGTGACTCACGTGTGCACCAAACATTTTAATGTCACATTAATATCGAATATTAAAACTCAAATTCAAAACCCTTTTTTTGTTTCCTGTAAGTCATAAACATTTTTCTCTTTTCTTGACACAAATTTTTGGATTTTCTACTGTCACCACTGAAAATAATGCGATAAAATGTGTTTTATACATTATGTATACCTGACAAAATATTTTTTCATTACTTTCTCCTTTCGGCAAAAATATCATTAAACAGGTGGGAGATGGGAAAATCAAGGGCAAATGCTTTTCATTTTCTAATTTTTGATAATTAATGGGACTACTTTTGGCTAAAAAGATTCATTAGTGAGTGAAAAAGTGAGGAAGCTAATTTTGAAAGTGATATTTGTTTTGGTGATGATAATTTTCAGTTGTGTAAACAACTGTTTGGTTCTTGATGTTTAAAGTGTGGTGCATCTTCTGTCAACACCTTTTTTTTTTTGTATAATAGTTGCAAAATTTTTCTTATCATCTATTCTTGATGTCACTTTGTTGAGACTTTTCCTTGAATTTTTATCGATTCATTATGTTCTTATCGTTGCACTTGTTTCTTGAAGCTGCAACAGATACCGCAATACTTTTATACTTTATTCTTTCGTTGTATAGTATGTGTGTTGTTGCTTTTGCGTTTCATTAAAATTATCTTCTAATTTGTCCATTATTTCCGCTTCTATTCCTGCTTATTTTTCTACTACTTCTATCCTTTTTGGTTTTTCTTCTTCTTCTTTTAATCCATTTCATGATTTTTCTGATGTTGGTGCTTCTACTGCTTTCGATACTTCTGCAGCTTTTAATGCTTCTGCTGCTTCTACTGTTTTTAATGCTTCTGATAATTCTCATACTGCTGATGCTTCTGTTGCTTTAAATGCTTCTACTGTTTTTAATGCTGCTAATAGTTCTAATGCTTCTGCTGCTTTTAATGATTCTAATAGTTCTAATGCTACTAACGCTTCTACTATTTTTAATGCTTTCAATGTCTCTAATAGTTCTAATGCTGCCACTCTTATTAATGCTGCAAATATTTTTAATGTTTTTAATGCTTCTAATAGTTCTAATACTGCTAATGCTTCTAATGTTCTTAGTGCTTCGCATAATTTTAACTCTTCTACTGCTTTTAATGTTTCTAATAGTTGTAATGCTGTAAATACTTCTACTGTTTTTAGTGCTTCAAATATTTTCAATGCTTTTAATGTTTTTAATAGTTCTAATACTGCTAATGCTTCTAATGTTTTTAGTGATGCAAATATTATTAATGTTTCTGCTGCATCTACTGTTTTTAATGCTTCTGATAGTTCTTATGCTGCTAATGCTTCTACTGCTTTTAATTTTTCTAATAGTTCTAATGTTCCTAATGCTTCTAATGTTGCTAATGCTTCTTATGTTGCTAATGCATCTTATGTTGCTAATGCTTCTAATGCTTCTACTGTTGCTAATACTTCTACTGCTTTTAATGCTATTAATGTTTCCAATAGTTCTAATGATACTAATGCTACTATTGTTTTTAATGCTTCAAATATTTTTAATGTTTCTATTAGTTCCAATACTGCTAATGCCTCTAATGTTTATAGTGCTTCACATAATGTTAATGCTTCTACTGCTTTTTATTTTTTTAATAATTATAATGCTGTTAATGCTTCTACTGTTTTTAATCCTGCAAAAAGTTTTAATGCTTCTGCTGTTTTTAATATTTCTAATATTTCTTAATTATGCCAATGCTTCTACTATTTGTAATCCTTCTACTGCTTTTACTGCTTCTGCTTCTTTTAATGTTCCTAAAAGTTATAATGCTGCTAATGCTTTTTCTGTTTTTAATGCTTCAAATATTTTCAATGCTTTTAATGTTTCTAATAGTTCTAATAATGCTAATGCTTCTAATGTTTTTAGTAATGCAAATATTACTGTTTCTGCTGCTTCTATTGTTTATAATGCTTCTAATAGTTCTCATGCTACTAATGCTTCTGCTGCTTTTAATGTTTCTAATAGTTCTAATGTTGCTAATGCTTCTACTGCTTTTAATGCTTCTGCTTGTTTTAATGTTTCTTATAGTTAAAATGCTGCTAATGCTTTTTCTGTTTTTAATGCTACAAATATTTTTAGTGCTTTTAATAATTCAAATAGTTCTAATACTACAAATATTTTTGATGCTTTTAATAATTCAAATAGTTATAATGCTCCTTTAAATGCTTCCACTGTTTTTAATGCTGCAAATAGTTCTAATGATTCTGCTTCTTTTAATGTTTCTAATAGTTTTAATGATGCTAATGCTTCTTCTGTTATTAAAGCTGTAAATATTTATTATGCTTTTAATAATTCAAATACTTCTAATGCTGCTAATGCTTCTACTAATTGTAATGCTGCAAATATTTTTAATGCTTTTAATGTTTTTAATAGTTCTAATGCTGCTAATGCTTCTAATGTTCTTAGTGCCTTAAATAATTTTAACTCTTCTACTGCTTTTAACGTTTCTAATAGTTCTAATACTGCTAATGCTTCTAATGTTTTTAATGCTTTTAATGTTTCTAATATTTCTAATGTTGCTAATGGTTCCATTGTTTTTTATGCTTCAAATATTTTTAATGTTTCTAATAGTTCTAATGCTGCTAATGCTTCTAATGTTTTAGTGATAAGAATAAATTGAATGATTCTGCTTCTTTTAATGTTTCTAATAATTCTAATGCTTCTAATGTTTTAAGTGTTGCAAATAATTTTAATGCTTCTGCTTCTTTTAATATTTTTAATAGTTCTAATGCTGTTAATGTTTCTACTGTTTTTAATGCTTTTAATGTTTCTAATAGTTCTCATGCTGTTAATGTTTCTCCTGTTTTTAATGTTTCTAATAGTTCTAATGCTGAAAGCTTTTAATATTTATAATTCTTTTAATGATTCTGTTGTTTTTAATGCTTCTAATGATTCTAATGCATCTACTGCTTTTAAATCTTGTAATCTTTCAAATGCTTCAAAAGTACAAAAAAGCAAAAGATTTGCAACAGAAATATTTCGTGCAATCAATTTCTATCTCTTCTCTACATATCTAACAATTCAGAATCGATAAACAATCTAACAGACCAGGAAACGCCTTCGATAAGAAAACACAAACATGTTTCGATAACAAAACTATAGCATTTTTCTAATAACCAACTCCAAACACAAAATCACATCTAATTTTCCCCCCCAACAAAAATTAAACCAATTAAAATCCAAATTACAGAGAACGAAAAGCAGTAATTAAAAAAAAATTGAAATGACAAACCACCAATGATCACAGACGGGAAATTACCACACAAACCAACCCAAATGGGAAAACAGAACAATGTTCGTAAAATGAGTACAATGCCGGAAGAAGACGGTTCCGATGAGGCAGAACCGGATGTAATTAGAACCCAACAACAACATCAACAACAAGATCAAGATTCCGATTCCCCCGAGGAACAAGTACGTCTATTAATTCCAACAAAAAAAATTCAACTAACCCCAACACAACAATTCGTTTCAACATCAATTGCAACACCATCAGGAAATGGAGTTAAGAGATCAAGCAGTGGCAATAGTAGTACCGACAGTGTTCACGAGAAATTATCATCGTCACGTGGTTTGCAGTCGAATAAATTGGACACGGGGTCCAGGGAGATTTCGATAGTGCAGAGCGGTAGGATCAGTCGTGGAATGGAACTCTATGGCACACGACACAATAGATATCCAAGTATGAGATCATTAAAGTCAAATTTAACTGACGATCTACAGCAGCAGCAGCAGCATCATCAGCTTCATCAACAACATTATCTTCAACAACAGCAATTACAACAATTACAATCACCACCGGCGACAAGTTGGGCGTCGATTGTCTTTGATGGTGGACATTATGGAAGACCATTTCCTGATTCGGTGTCAATTCGCTCTCTAGCATCAATTGGTATGGGCTCGTCCGATGGGAGGAAACTCACTATAAGAAGAGTGCCTACTTCGCCATCCGAGTTGCTTAACATGGTACATCCGCCGACGTAAGTATCCTAACGTGATGATTAGAGAGTGCTGAGACGATAATTGATCACACATGTGTGCTTTAGTCAGGATTCATTCTGCTCTTGTTTGAAAGAAATCGGTCAAGTTTTTTTAGCTGTTTTTGATTTCGAGACATTATGATTTAAATACTTTGGGTTCAAAAAGGCAGATGTCGATTTTATTAGGTCTGCTCTTTTAGAAGCTGTTTTCAATTTTGAAAATGAACATAACAAACAAAAAATAAGGACATTCGGCACTTTAATCACTACTGACATTTTTAGATGTTCTGAACATCAATCATCAAGTTTAGGTTCCAAAAATTCTGTTCTCAACAAAACTAATGAAAATTTTATTAGGATCGACATTTTTATGATTCTTTTTAGATTTCAAAACTGAATAAACTTTAGGAGCAAAAATTTTTGTTTTTGATAGAACATTCCGCAATTTTATTAATGGTTCCATTAGCAGCTTCTTTTAGCTTTCAAAAATTAACTTTAGTAGCAAAAATGTTTGTGGTCTTGATAGAACATTCCGCAAATTTATTAATGATTCCTTTAGCAGCTTCTTTTAGCTTTCAAAACTGATCTTTAGTAGCAAAATTTTTTTTGATTTTGATAAAACATTCGGCACTTTTATTACTGACAAACTGGATGATGTTCCAGATTTTAAATAACAATTTAAGGACAGAAATATTTTGGTTTCAAAACAACAAATAGCAATTTTTTTAGGACTCAATTTTTAGTTTTCAAAAATGAACTTTAGGAGTAAACAACTTTCGTTTTTAAAAGGACATATTCGGCAATTTTTTTCAGCTTTCAAAATATTAAGGAAGAAAAATTTCCGAATTCGAAAAGCTTAAAACCGACAATGTTATCATCACTGCCGCAATTTTTAGATACTGTTAATTATTACAGCAGGAAAAAATAATATTTTTCAAGCCACTCTTGTTGACAGTCGAGATTTTCTTTTCCGACAATATTCTTTTTAGGAAGTCAAGAATGATGATGATGATGATAATTATTATAAAAAACAAAACATCTTCAGAATATTTTCTTATAAATACAACAAATTATAGGCAATTTTTAGTCAGTCTTCTAGATACCAAAGACTCGGTTGTACTTTTTTTCTCTTTCGAAAATAAATTCTTAATCCTCCAAAATTAATTCCAAAACTTAATTTGCCTAAAATTAATCCCGAAAATTAATTTCCACAAAATTACGAAATTCTATTAGTTAAAAAAAAATACAGAATTTTGACAAAAGCAAGTAAGTGAAAATTTTGTTCGGTTCGGAAAAATTTTAGTAACAAAAAGAAGAAAAAAATAGTTTGCAAAAATGACATTCAGTGTTTTTAAAAATCATCTGATTATTAATTTACCAAAATTGCAGAGGGCAATTCCAGTTGAGTGAGTGATTTTTTTTTTTGTAAATTTAAGGGTCAAAATTTTTTTTAATTTATTATAATCGTGAAGAAAAAAAAATATGTAAGTGTGTTTTTATCTTACTGACACGAATCTTTCGAGTAGACCTTGAATCAAAGAGCGTGGGTTTAATTAACTCTTATACGTTGGTATATGTCCCTTAAGGTTATTCTTCTCATGTGTCACTCAATTTTTAAACGCACCGACAAAAAAAAATATATTTCGTAATTTCACTAATTTCTAAATTTTTACCACTTGGCTACTACATTTTTTCTCCGAAGAAATATTTAATACTCTAAAAAAACAAAATTACTTATTTCGTTCAAAAAAAGTAAATTTTTGGTTTAAAATTGTATTTCGGTCAAATAGAATCTTCTTTTTTGAACTAGAGGAATTATTTGGTTTAAAAAAAGTAATTTTTAGGTTAAAAAAATATTTATTTGTGCAAAAAAGTAATTTTGTGATAATAAAATTTATTTTTGGTTCAAAAACGTATTTTTTGGTTCAGAAATTTATTTTTAGTTCAAAAATGTATTTTTTGGATCCAAAAAGTAATTTTTTAGGTTTAAAAATATTTATTTGTGTCAAAAAATAATTTTGTGATACAAAAATGTATTTTTAGTTCAAAAATGTATTTTTTGGATCCAAAAAGTAATTTTTTAGGTTTAAAAATATTTATTTGTGTCAAAAAATAATTTTGTGATACAAAAATGTATTTTTGGTTCAAAAAAGTAATTTTTTAGGTTCAAAAATATTTATTCGTGTCAAAAAGTAATTTTGTGATACTAAAATTTAGTTTTGGTTCGAAAATGTAATTTTTAGTTCAAAAATGTATTTTTTGGTTCAAAAAAGTATTTTTTTTTAGGTTCAAAAATATTTATTTGTGTCAAAAAATAATTTTGTGTTACAATAACGTATTTTTTTTATTCAAAAAAGTAATTTTTTAGGTTCAAAAATATTTATTTGTGTCAAAAAGTAATAATGTGAAACAAAAAATTATTTTTGGTTCAAAAAAGTAATTTTTTGAGTTAAAGAAGAATTCGTCGATTTAAAAATTGTATTTTTTGGTTCAAAAAAGTAATTTTTTAGGTTCAAAAATATTTATTCGTGTCAAAAAGTAATTTTGTGATACTAAAATTTAGTTTTGGTTCGAAAATGTATTTTTTTAGTTCAAAAAAGTATTTTTTAGTTCAAAAAAGTATTTTTTTGTTCAAAAAACTAATTTTTTAGGTTCAAAAATATTTATTTGTGTCAAAAAGTAATATTGTGAAACAAAAATTTATTTTTGGTTCAAAAATGTATTTTTTGGTTCAAAAAAGTAATTTTTTGTGTTAAAGAAGAATTCATTGGTTCAAAAATGTATTTTTTTGGTTCAGAAATATTTTGTTGCTTCAAAAATGTATTTTTCAGTTAAAAAAAAAATTTCTTGTTCCAAAAGTATTTATTGGTTTCAAATGAATTTTACTTTCTTTAAAAAAGTATTTATTCTTTACACAAAAAGTAAATTTTTACGATAAAGAAGCATTTTATTAGTGTCAAAAATTAATGTTTGGTTCAAAAAAGTAATTTTTTAAATTAAAGAATTACTTTCACTTATGTCAAAAAGTAATTTTTTGGTTTAAAAAAAGTATTTATTGGCAGTACTATTTATTGGTTCAAAAAAAATCATTTTTTATGCTAATGAAATATTTACTTGTCCCGAAAAGTAATTCTATGTTTCAAAAATTAATCTTCTGGTTCCAGAAAGTATTTTTTTAGATTAAAAATATATTTAATCAAGTCAAAAAGTAATTCTGTGGCAAAAAAATATTTTTCTTTCTTCAAAAATTACCTTTTGGTTCAAAAAGTATTTTTTTTGGTTCACAAAGTATTTATTGATTTCAAATTAAATTTATCTTGTTTTAAAATGAATTTATTTCGTTCAAAAATTATTAATTGGTTTCAAATTAAATTTGCCACGTTTTGAAATTAATTTATTTCATTCAAAAAGTAATTTTGAGATTAAAAAAGTATTTTTTGAACCAGAAGAATGTTTGTTTCATTCAAAAAGTAATTTTTTGGTTCAAAAAGTATTTATTATAATGAAATTAATATTTTAATCAAAAAAGTATTTTTCTGGTTCAAAAATTTCTTTTTGGAGCAAATGAATATTTATTTTGTTAAAAAAATAATTGTTAGTTTAAACTTTAAACAATTATTGTTTATTTGTTTTTCAGTGAAAAGAATTTTTTTCTATTAAAAAATTTTTCTTTTGTTTAAAAAAGTATTTTTTTTTTAATAAATTCATTTTCTCTTTTAAAAAATTACTTCTTGTACTGATAAATTATGTTTTTTCGTTAAAAAATTATATTTTTTGTAAATAAAATTCATTTTTTCTTTTGAAAAATTACTTTTTGTATTAATAAATTATTTTTTCTCTAAAAAATTTCTGTTTTCCGTTAAAAAATTCTTGTTTTGGTTAAAAAATTATTTTTTTTTTGTTAAGGGCATTTGAACCTTGATGACGTCACACATGCTTTGCACAAACTGTAACGTCATCAAGGTTCAAATGCCCTTAAAAATTTAATTTCTCTCATAAAAAATTATTTTTTCTCTCAAAAATTTCTGTTTTTCGGTTAAAAAATTATTTCTTCTATCAATAAATTATTTTTTCTTTTAAAAAAATGGCTTTTCGTTAAAAAATTCTTGTTTCGGCTAAAAAATTATTTTTTGTGTTAATCGATTATTTTTTCTTTTAAAATTAAATTTTTCTTGTTTTTTATTTTTGGAAAAATTGATAAAAAAAAATTATTGAATCGTTAAAAAAAAATTGTGTATTTTTTCTTCAAAGTCCAGTGGATGACGATCTCTCGACGTGCAGCACCTATGACGATGGAGATGCTGCCGATCCGGAAGACTATCGACAACCAAAAAGGCCTCATTGGGAGAATAAAGTGCAATTTGTTCTCGCCTGCATAGGCTATTCAGTGGGCCTCGGCAACGTGTGGAGGTTTCCCTACCTTTGCTACAAAAGTGGTGGAGGTAATTTCATTTATCCTAATTCAATATTCAATTAAAAAAAAAAAAAAAAAAAAAAAAAAAAAATTAAAATATATTTCCGCGCTCTTCAATATAATAAACGGTCATGTGTCTCAAGGTCCCTGGATGTATATGACTCTTTTATTATTCGCTTTTTAACGCAACACATTAAAATTTATAGACAGAGAGAGAGAGCCCGGCAGTTAATCTTTCATTTAGTCAAACCGTTTAATTTCCACCCGCGCTCGAAAAAATTCAAGATCGGCACTTTAATCCCTGTTTTGCCTTTGGTTATTTTTATTACGAAATTGAATCAAAATTAAAAATAATAGTAATTTTTTTTTTTTTTTATGAAAATTAATTACATAATTTTTATTAATAAATATTCATTTATTGACAATATTAAGGGTTTGTTGTTAACAAATTTATTAATAAATTAAAATTAATCATTAAAAACTTTAAAGCAGTAGCTTTAAGGTTAATGGATAAATAAATAAAAAAACAACAATAAAAATAATAACTGTGACTGTTAATATTAATCTATTATTAATAATTTTTATATAACTCAAACAAATTTGTTAATTATTATTTTTTTAATGCCTTATAACAAATAAAAAAATTTTACTGCCCCGGAAGGATTCGATCCCTGACCAGTCATCCACCTGACGCAACGCGACGCGACGCTTTAACGCACGCGACTGTTTTACCAATTAATAACAATGAAAATAACTACATTAAAAATAAGGTTTACTGCTCTTTAAAAATGTTAATAAATAAATGATAAAATAAATGAATATATTAAAATGAAGAAATTAAAAAAAATAAATAAATATAATAAAATAAAAAAAAATAAATAAATTTAATAAAATAAAAAAAAAATAAATAAATATAATAAAATAAAAAAATTAAATAATAATAATAATAACAACAAAATTCACTACTTGTTTAATGTTAATAAATAAACAAATAATTAAAATACAAAAAGGCGGTTTGTTTTTTTAAAATAATAAATAAACAAATAAAAAAATACAAAAAGGTGGTTTTTTTAAAATAAATAAATAAACAATAATAAAAATAATAATCGTTCGATTGAAATTTTTGCGCATGACTGTATTTATATTATAAAACTGAATTTATCGTGTCTATGTTATAATTAAATAAGACCTTTTCTCGTTACGTAATTTGACACACGATTTTGTTCAAATATTTACCAAACTTGATCATCAGTATGTCAATTCAATAATTCCACTTTGTATTATTTATTGACTCGCTTTTTTATTTTCTTTCTTGCTCTTAATAAACATAATTAGAATTTTTTATAAAATTGATTTCATTTTTGATGATAAATTAAATTTTTATCTATTTATTTATTTATTGTAATTAATTTAATTTAATTATTTTATTTGTTTATATTTACACTACAATTAAAATTTTTAATTAAATATTCAGGACAATAAGTATCATTTATGATTAATAACAATAAATAAATATCAATAATAAATATAAATAAATAATAAAATTAATAATAATAATATTAATAATAATAATTGATGAATATTATAATATTGAAATTATATTACATAATTACATTAAATTATATTTTAAATAAACAATTAAAAAAATAAAATAAAATATAAAAAAAAATTTTTTTTTTTTATTTACTTATTTATTTATTTTCAAATAAAAAAAATTATAACATTATAAATATATAAAAATATATAATTAAAATGTAAAAATATAAGAATATAATTATATTCTATAAATATTTACAAATATATTTATATTATTTATATTATGAACGATTATGAAAAAATTGTATGGACCGGGATTCGAACCCTAATAAACAGTAAAATTGGTGCCTTGGACCTCACGACCAAAATGATCATACTAAAGTATATTTATATTTTAATAAATAGATATAAATAATAAATATAAATTCTACTAAAAATAAATAAAAATATAAATAAATAATAGTTGATAATAATATCAATATATCAATAATAGTAATAATAATAAAAATAATTTCTAATAATAATAAAAATATTGATAAAAATAAAAGCCAATTTCAAAAAATTTTCTAGATAGACACAATTATTTTTTTTTTTTTGTAAAACTAATTAAATAAAATACAATGAATTTGTGAAAATCGTGCGAAAAAAGAATTATTTATTACAAAAAAAATAATTAATTTTCCACCAAGGAAATAAATTTATTCATTAAGAAAATATTTAAAAAAAAAAAATAATACCTAAAATATATAATTATAATAATAGTTGAACATCATCAGGGTCATGTATCAAGTTCCTAGTTGCATCACGTCCGTTTCTATAGACAAATGAGATTTAAACTTTGAAAATAGTTTTGTAATTCAATATTTGCTCTGAAATTCTAGAACATAATACTGGCCTTCCAAAGGAATATTACTTAGTACTTAAATCTTTTTTTTTGCATTAAATTAAAAAAAATTAATCATAAACAATAAAATAATTAATTTCCGTATAAATATATTTAAATTAGAAGCAAAAAAAAAAAAAAAAGAAAAATTTTTCCAATTTTGTGAAAAAATAAAATTTTTGATTGTAAAAAAATTTGAGAAATTAAAGAGAGAAAATGATGAGAAAATTTTTTATTTTTTTTTAATTCTTTTAATAGTTATTCACAAGACATTTTCTGATGATATACTGACTCATATTAAAGCTGATTAAACGAGCAATAAACGTGTATATAAATTCTTATCATCGCTCACCTTTCTAGCAGAAAGAAAAACTTGACGTCATATTTGCATTTTTTTTTATTATTATTATTCCTTTTTCTTTTGATTATTTTAATTTTTTTATATTCATTAATATTTTTTTTATTTTATTTTGAATTTTTTTTTTAACTTCCCTTTGAACCGAATAATTTAATTTATTTCGTTAACAATAATTGTTATTATATTTTTCACTACAATTCTTACTGTTTTTTTTGCCTTATTATTATTATTATTATTAATTTTGTATTTTTATGCTATTAAAACTATTATTATTTTGATCTTTATATCATTATTATTAACTATATATTTTTATGCTATTATTATTGTTATTGTTTTTGCCCTATTATTATTATTATTATTACCTATTTTTATTATTTTTGCCCTATTTTCATAATTATTGTTGTTATTTATTTTTATTATTTTTGTTATCATTAAAATTAAAGAAAGAAAAAATCCGCAGTCGCGAAGAATCGAACCCCGGCCCTCAGTCCCATCAGTCCAGTAGCGAAGCCACTGAGCTATCTCACTTGCCCCTTAGCATTATTTTTCTAATTACTTTTCTTCACCAATATAATCATTTTTATTCCCTTTTTTATCATTATTAATATTATTTTCGCATTATAAATAAACAATTTTATTACTACCACTGTTGTTATAAAAAAATAATAACTAAAATTCTAAAATAAAAAAAAATAATTTTCTTCTTACAGGTGTTTTTCTAGTACCTTATTTTTTAATACTCATAGTATGTGGAGTGCCATTGTTGTACATGGAACTCGCAATAGGTCAATTTACTCGTCGAGGGCCAATCGGTGCTCTCGGACAAATGTGCCCCCTCTTAAAAGGTATTTTAATTCAAATTCAATTTTTAAAACCAAATTTCATTAATTTAAAAAAAATTTGGAAAAAAAGTTTTGCTATTTTACAAAAATTACAATAATCATAATTATTATTTATTTGTTTTAATAATTATTTTAATATTTATTTTAGTGTTTATTTTAAAACGAGCGTCAGCGAACAAAAATAACGCTAGCTTTAATAAATTTATTAATTATTTATACTAATAATAAAAAAAATTTTTTTTAATACAAAAAATTAATAATTAATTAATCATTTTCATTTATTTATTTTTATTTATTTATTTACATTTATTTATTTAAGTAGAAGAGCGTTTTTATTATCGAACGCTCGAGACTGGGAGAGAAGCGTTCCCCCCACCAAATGGGCGTGACTAACCAGCCAGCGCTCAGTGGTGGGGGACCGCTTCTCTTACTTCCTCGCTCTCACTTTGAAATTTGCCAAATTGTACAACGCGTAAATAAATAAAAAAAATATTTTTCTTAAAAAATAAATAGAAAATAAAAAATAAAATAAGAAAAATAAAAAGGAAAATAAGAAAAAGAAAATAAAAAATAAATAGAATAATAATAAAAATTTGCAGGAGCTGGTTTGTCGTCTGTGGTGATATCGTTTTTGATGTCAACATATCATAACGTGATAATAGCGTACGCAATTTATTATTTTTTTACTGCATTCAAAACCGATCAGCCGTGGTCAGATTGCGACAATTTATGGAATACTGAACGCTGTTGGTCGGCGGCACTCAATAAGGAGAATCGTTCTACATTCACCATGTCGAAAACACCGTCCGAAGAATTTTTCGAGTAAGTTTTAAAGCCGCTGCGGCTTAAAACCTAAAATTCGGCCGAGCGTTGGCCGAACAACGCTACAAACTTTAAATTGAACTAGAAATGATAAAAATCTACTTTTTTCTATTTTTTTCCCCCACTGTTTCTTGTTTGCAATTATTATTTTTGAATTAAAAATCAAATTAATTGAACTGCCGGCGACCAAAAGCCAAAGGAGCTTTTGGTCGCCGGCGGTTCAATTCCAAACAAGAAGCAGTTGGAAAAAAAGTCAATTTTTATGATTTCTAGCTCAATTTAAAGTTTGTCGCGTTGTTCGGCCAACGCTCGGCCTTCTCAATTTCAGAGAACTTTAAATCATTCCCAAAACGAAAACTATTTGCCCCATTTAATTCGTTTAAGAGACTTTTTTCTTCTAATTTTCATTACAAATCGAATGATAATAAATATTTATTTAAAATTATCAATTATTATGTTAATTTTGCACTAAAAGGAATTATTTTGTCTTTTTGAATTTTAGCAATAAAGTACTGCAAATTAGTGAGGGTATTGAGCATCCAGGAATCGTGAGATGGGAATTGGCAGCGTGCTTAGTCACCGCCTGGGTAATGGTTTACTTTTCGATATGGAAATCAATCAAATCGTCGGGAAAAGTTAGATATTTAACGGCGACACTACCATTTTTTTTGATAATTGTCGTTCTATTCAGGGCAATTACACTCGAGGGCGCCGAAAAGGGTTTGCAATTTTTCTTCAAAGTCGAATGGTATCGATTACTGGACTCCAAGGTAAATTATTACTAAAAAAAATAATTATTATATTATTTTAATAATTAAAATTATTTTACTAATTAGAATTTATTATACTAATGAGAATTTATTTTACTAATTAGAATTTATTTTACTAATTAGAATTTATTTTACTAATTAAAATAATATATTTTACTAATTAGATTTTATTTTACTAGTAAAAAATCAGTTTATAAAATAATTTCTAAATAATAAAAATTTTCTTTTTTTAAAAAGAATAATTATTTTTTAGTCAAAAAAAAATTTTGTTTGTTTGAAAAAATTAATTAGGGAAATAATTTTTTTTCGTTTAAGGTTTGGGTGCACGCGGCCGCACAAATATTCAATTCAGTTGGAGTGGGTTTTGGAACGATGATCTGCTTCGCTAGTTACAATAAATTTCACAATAATATTTTTCTAGACACATTGTCCGTGTCTTTAATTGACGCCTTTACTAGTCTACTTGTGGGCATTTTCACATTCGCCACAATTGGAAATATTGCTTATGAACAAAACACTTCCGTCCAGGCGGTTCTCACCGACGGTACGATTTCATTAATTAATTAATTTCTAATATTGATTTAAATTTATTTTTTTTCAACATTTTCCTTCAAGTGTTTTATTATTATTTTTAATAAATTATAAAGACTTAAAAATTATAAGCAACTAATAAACTGTAAATTAATAAATAACAGTGAATTTAATCGCCTAAATTGTAAATAATATTAATAAATTCTGAATGAATTAAATTCTGAAGAATTTTAAATTTTAATGACATTCTGAAAAATTTACATTAAACTCTGAACAATTTGAATTAAATGCAATAATTAATAGGATATTAATAGTTAATTAATTAATAGGAATATTAATGATTAATTGATGAAAATTAATAAAAAATATTGCTACTAAATGGAAATAAATTTACAGGGCCTGGCCTAGTATTCGTTGTTTATCCAGAAGCACTAGCAAAAATGCCAGCGTCACAAATTTGGGCTGTTCTCTTTTTCTTTATGCTGGTCTGTCTCTCTCTCAATAGTCAAGTACGTATTGAAAAAAGAATTCCAATTTTCCTTACCTTACCTTTTCCGTTCCGTTGAAGACCGAAAGATGACAGAAATTCCGCTCGCCTCGTTCTCTCGTTTTTACTCCTTTTGGCGCAAAAATTTTCTTGACTTATTGCACTTATTACACTTTTTTTTTTACTTACGACGAAAACGAAAGAAAAGAATTTTTTTGCATCGAAAACGAAAGAAAAGATAAATTTATACACTAATTGATGGATAGAAACACTTTTTGTCAACTAAATTCGCGAGCTATTTACGAGAAAATGTGTGAAAATGTGAGAAAATTTATGAGAAATTCCGCCGGACGGAGAAATATTTTGAGGTTATGTTTACTCCGCACGATTCGCGTATTTTCAAGGTTATGTTTGCTGTCACAATGTTCGAGTTTTATAATCACCACTATTATTAAAATCACAATATTTCGAAGAGTTTTTTTCCGAATTTAACATTCCGGGGAATAAAATACCGACTACGATTAAAAGAACGAAAATAATAAGACATTCGATTGACGCGACACGACGACAACTGAAAAAATTCCGATTTTCCTCCTCCCGTGTCGCAATTATTTTCACTTTTTTACTTTTTCTATACTTATTTCCACGCGTATTTACAATACTTTCGTACAATTTTCAATGAAAATTCCACTAAAAGTCGTGCGAACTACGAACCCGGCAAGAAAACTTTCGTTAAATCACAAGTGAAGGAAGTGACCGAAGTAACAAAGGAAGTTTCGCGCATGCGCAGTAGACGGAACGAACAACTAGCGCCACACAGGGCGGGAAAATTCAAAATTGACTCGAAGAAAATTAATTTTTTTTACACAGAAATAGAAAAGAATTTTGTTTTTTACTTTCAGTTCGCAATTGTCGAGGTGGTTGTCACTTCTATTCAAGATGGATTTCCAAATTATGTGAAAAGACATCTTCTTAGTCATGAAATGCTGGTACTACTCGTCTGTGTTGTTTCATTTCTTCTTGGCTTGCCCAACGTCACACAGGTAATATTGAAAAAAACATTGTGACCAACAAAAAAAAAATATAAAAAATATTTGAAAAAAATTATTAACAACAACAAAAAAATAACCTATTTTTATAGGTATTTTTTTTGTTGAAAATTAAAAACAAAAAATTAAAGTAATAAAAACAAAATTATTACCAACAAAAAAATATAAAAACGAAATTATTACCAACAAAAAAAATATAAAAAAAAATTATTACCAACAAAAAAATATAAAAAAAATTAAAAGAAACTTGATAAAATTATAAAAGAATAAAAAATAATTAAAAAAATGATAAAATAAAGAAAAAATAAAAGAAAAAATGTATTGTATAATTAAAAAAAAACCTATTTACAGGGTGGAATTTACTTTTTTCAACTAATCGACCACTACTCCGCCTCAATATCAATAATGTTCATCATATTCTTTGAAGTTATCGCCGTTTCATGGTTTTACGGAGTTGGAAGATTTTCCAATAATATTAAAGAAATGTTTGGACGTGTTCCGTCGATTTATTTTCGATTTTGTTGGTTAATAGCGAGTCCACTTCTCATAATGGTTTGTATTTTAGTAAAAAAAGAAAAAAAGAAATTTTGAATTTCCCGCCAAAACTAGTTTCTTTCTCTTGGCGGGAAATTCAAATTTTTATTTTTTAAATTGAACTTTTTTAATAATTAAAAAATATTTTTTTTTCACTCTCATTTTCTTGCAGGCTGTTTGGGTGTTTAGTTTAATTGATTACGAACCGCCGACTTATCATAAAGGGGAATATAAATATCCGTGGTGGGCGGAAGCAGTTGGATGGGGAATTGCTTCGCTTTCTTTAGTTTGTATCCCTGCATTTGCTGTTTATGTTTTAATTCAAGCGGAGGGGAAAACCTTCTCTGAGGTATTTTTTCACTCACAGATAATTTTTATATTGCAAATTATTTATTATTTAAAATATTTATCAGCATTTATTATTATTTTCTTTATTGTTATTATTAATATTATTATTTTTCATTATTATTAATTTTTTTAATAATATTATTAATATTATTATATTATTATTATTTTGTGATTTTTGTTTATTTTTGTTTTTGGCCGTATTAATTAATTTGTAAAATAATTATTATTGTTTCTTTATTTAATTTAATTTAATTTGTTTATTAATTTTTTATTTGGTTTTTTTTTATTTATTTATTATTATTTTACTATTTAATTTGTTTATCAATTTATTTATTTTTATTAATTTATTTATTATTTGTTTATTAATTTGTTTACTTTATTTTTTATTATTAATTTGTTTATTTGTTATTTTATTTTCGAATTTTTTATTTTAGTAGTTTTTATAATATCAATAAAAATAATAATTTTTTATAATTTAAATAATAATTACAATAAAAAAATTAGTATTATTGTTGTTAATATTATTAATAAAAATTTTAAAAATTTAGAAATTGAAATAAACAAATTGAATAAAATAATTAAATATATACTGACTTATTTAATTTTTGTAATTGTTAATTTGGTTTAATTTGTTAATTATAGAATCAAATGGAGAATTAATTTCTAAATAATAATTTTTGTAATTTTTTTTTTTTTTTTTTTTTTTTTTTTTTTTTTTTTGCAGAAATTGAAGAGTTCACTGAAACCACACTTCGAAGCGTGTTCAATTTGCGGCCAAGAATATTGTTCCGAACCACTTCATTCTTTCGAGGAGGAACTTTTAAAGGAACCAATTCACGAAATGAATAGTCTCATTCAAACAAATTCCAATTATCCAACGACGAAAATTCAAAATCAATGACAATAGTAGTAAATTATTTTTTAAAAAATTAATATTTTAACTGTAAATATTTTTTTTAAAAAGACCATTTTTTTATTTTTTTTTTCAAAATGGCAATTTTTTTCTGCAAAAAGACTATTTTTTCTTCAAAAAGACTATTTTTTATTCAAAAAAAACTATTTTTTTCAAAAATACTATTTTTTCTTCAAAAAAACTATTTTTTTTAAAAAGGCATTTTTTTCTTCAAAAATACAATTTTCTATTCAAAGAAATAAATTATCAAACATTGTCTTTTAAATAATAGAAAATTATGGAAAGCAAAAAATTTTTGCAATTTTCTATTCCTTGAAAAAAATAATAAAACATTATTTTTTAAATAATAGAAAATTATTGAAAGGAAAAAATTTAGGCAATTTTCGATTTTTTGAAAAAAAATAAAATAAAACATTGCGTCTGTTAAATAATTTTAATTTACAGAATGGAAAAAATTTAGCCAATTTTCTATATTCCTTGAATTAAAAATAAAATATTGTCGCAGTTAAATAATTTAAATTTAAAGAATGGAAAAAATTTAGACAATTTTCTATAAAAAAAAAAATTAATAAATTGAAGAAAAAATAATAAAACTTTGTCTGTAAAATAATTGAAAATGGAAAAGAAAAGATTTCTCACTTTTTTTTGTGCAAATTAACTATAATTATAAATATTTATTTATTTTTATTCTTATTTATTTGGAACAGAAAAAGAAAATTCTCGCTCTATTTTCAACATTCCATTTTGGTTTATTTGTAAAATAATAATATTTTGTAAATACTACAATTGTAAATAGCACTAAAATGCAAAATAAGATAATTATATTATTAATAATTGCATCTCATTATTATAAGTTTAGAAACATTCAAAAAATCCACGTTTTCTTCTGATGAAAACTATTTCTTTCCTTTTTTTTCTCTCTAAATTATTTTAGAATTAAATAATTTAAAAATTTATTTTACTATTTTAGTAATTTTTTATTTTTTTTGTTTGTTTTTTTTTAATTGTTAATTATTGTTTTTATTATTATTATTATTATTATTAGTATTTTACGTTAATATTCAATATTTAAATTATTAAAAATTGTATCTCGATATATAAGAATATAAAGATACAAAAATCCTTTTTTTTTATGAAAAATATTTCCTTTCTTTTTTTCCAAAATTATTTTTTGCTAAATTATTAATATTGTTGTTTTACTTTAAATATTTTAGACGTAAAATTCCGTCTTTGATGCTATTTCCACTTGAATTGCTTCGTTCTTGTATTTTTCAATTGTCTGGAAAATAAATATTTATTTATTATTGATAAATTGTGGGCTAATTATTTAAATTAGGATATTAATAATTATTGTAATGTTAATTGGACACTCACGTCAGTGATTATTTGATCAAGTTCGGCAACTTGCTTCTCGTGAGTGACTTTCAATTTTTCCTTCTCTCGGCTCTGTTTTATTGTCACATTTTTCCTCTCGTCGAGGAATTTTTTCGTATTCGCCTGCTTCTTCTCGCGAATTCTTCGATCCTTCTCGCCTTTTGTTTTCAGTGCCTTGTCATTCATCACTTCCTTCACGGTCTCCACTGAAGCCTTCACTTGAGCCGTATTCATGTCCTTAATATCTCTGAAAAAAAATTAAATCTAATTAATAGAATATTTCTCAATAAATAAATAAATCAGAATAGCAAATATTTTACTACAACATATTAAATTAATTGTTGAAAAGAAATATTAACTTTCAAATAATTTTCAATAACTTTAGAGTAATTCCATTATTTTTCAAATTTAATTTTAATAAAATATCTCGAAAGAATACAATTATTTTTTTTTTTTAAATAGTAAATAAAATTCAATTATTTTCAAGAGTTTTTATAAAAATTCAATTATTTTCAACAAATTCTTCGAAATAAATTATTTTTATAAATTATAAAATTCTTGACAAGAATTCAATTATTTTTATGTAAATAATAAAATTCTTCTGAGAAAATCAATTATTTTCCGATGCAATTCTAATATAATTTCCAGGAAAAAATTCAATTATTTTCCAGATAATTTTAATAAAATTTCTCTAACAGAATTATTTCTAAAAATTTTAATAATATTGTTCTCAAAATATTGTTTCAATTGTTCTCAAAAATTATTAATAAAATTCGTTGTAAATTTCAATTATTTTCAAAATTTTCAGTAAAAATTATTAAAAAAAAAAAACTCCATTATTGTCAAGAAAATTGAAATTATTTTCAATACAATAATTACATTTTCTCGAAAGAATTCAAATATTGAAAGTAATGTTGATAAAATTCTTGAAATTAATTCAATTATTTTCGCAAATAATAAAATTCTTTTTCGAAATTCAATTATTTTCATATAAAACAAAATTCACTAGAAGAATTCAATTATTTTTAAAAATTCTAATAAAATTCTTCTCATGAAATCAAATATTTTTACAATTAATAAAATTTTTCCCTAAAATTCAATTATTCGAATAAAAATTGCTTTAAAAATGAATTTCTGTTAAAATTTTAGATAATAATAATTGAATTTTAAAATCATATAGAGTGAATTTTTCACAAATAATTGAATTTTAAAAAGGAACATTAAAATCTTTGAAAATCTGAATTTTTCATTCAATTACTTTCAAATACAATTTTAATAAAATTTTCAGAAAAAATTCAATTATATTGAAGATAATTTTTAAAAAAATTCCCTAACAGGTTTAAATTATTTTTAAAAATTTTAATAAAATTTTTCTAAACAATTCAATTATTCTCAAAAGTTTTTAATTAAATTCTTTGCAAATTTCAATTATTTTCAAAATTGTATTATTTATGAAAATAAATTGACCTCTTGAATTGAATTTTATTAAAAAATATTTTACTGTGAAAAATTCAATTATTTTTAAAAATAATTATTATATTTATTATATTTTAATATAATTTATTATATTTTAATATAATTGATATTTTCGAAGAAATCAATTAATAGTGGGATTTTATTAAAATTATTGAAAATAATTGAATTCTTCATAAAATTCGATTACTTTTAAAATTTTCAGTAATAAAATTATTTTTCAAAAAACTCCATTATTTTTAAGAAATAAAAGAAATAAAAAAAGAAAAAATAAATTCTTCAAAACAATTCAATTATTTTAAAGAATTTTAATAAATATCTTGACAAGAATTCAATGATTTTGTTTTAAATAAAAAAATTAATAATTGAATATAAAAATAAATTTTCTAATTATATTTTTGATGATTAATTTTTTGGTTTACTGTTGAATTCTAAAATTAAAAAGTGAATTGTAGAATATTAGAATTAGTTCTTTTGATTTGAAAACCAACTTGTCGTGTTTCGTTTGCAATTGTTTTGTCTGATTCACTTGAACAATTTCAATTAATCTCTTCATTTCCTCACGACTTGCGGCCACTTGTTGCTGATGAAGTTCCCATTCGGCTTTTCTGTGTTTCTCCACCATTGTCGTCCATTCTGTTGTCTGCTCAATTACCATTTGCTTCACGCTGCCGTCATTTATCAGCGAATTTTTACTGAAAAGAGAACAATTTTATATTTTTCTAATTTCCATTTATTAAAAAGAATTTTGTTCTTAAAAAGACAATTTAATTTTCTTAAGTTTCCATTTTTTAATTAAGAATTTTTTTCCAGAAAAGACAATTTAATTTTCTTGTTTCCATTTATCAAAAGAATTTTTTTTTACTAAACGGGAAAAAAATATTGTTTAAAACAATATTTTCATTTCCTAATTAAATAATAGAAGTAAAAAAAATATTTAAATAAATGGAGAAAAATAATAATAAATAAATAAATAAAAACAACTGACTCTTTTCCTTTTGACACTCGTTCAATGGCGGCAATGTGATTCTTTTGCATCGTCTGCCTTTCCTTGGCGTGTTTTTTCTTCAGTGTGTCCATTTCCTTATTGTGCTTCTTTCCCAATTTGAATTGTTTTTCCCTTCTCAGTGTCTCCGCCGTTATTGGTTCAATTTTGAATTCCTCTGTTAAAAAATACAAATTCATCAACGATTAATTTATTTTCTTTCTTCTTCGTATTTTTCTTTACATTATTTTCTCTTTTTTTGTATTTTTCTTTCAATATTTGTCAATATAGAAATAATTGAATAGAAATATAAAAACAATATTGAAAATAATAAAAATAATAAAAATATTAAAAATATTAAAAATATTAAAAATAATAAAAATAATAAAAATAATAAAATAAATTAAAAGTTTAGAGTAAAAACGAACTGGCTTTAGCTTCTTCCTCCTTTTTCTTCTTCTCCTCAGTTTTTGCGTCGGTTTTCTCAATTCCCATTCCCTTCATAGCGGCGTCCTGCTTCTCTGCGCCTTTTGTAAAAGCTCCCGGATCAGAAAGCATCGCCATAAAATCTGCAAAACGAAAAATAGAAAAAAGTGATGTAAATTTACTCGTAAAATAAATTAACTACGAAAAGTAGAAAAAACTAAGGAAAATTTACTAGTAAAATAAATTGACTACGAAAAAAATAAGAAACTAAAGTAAATTTACTAGAAAAATAAATTGACTACGAAAAAAATAAGAAACTAAAGTAAATTTAGTAGAAAAATAAATTGACTACGAAAAAAATACAAAACTAAAGTAAATTTACTAGAAAAATAAATTGACTATTACGAAAAAAACACAAAACTAAAGTTTCAATTTTTCAAAACTATAACATGAAGAAATCGATAACTCCGAGTCTTCGACTCGAAGTCATCGATTTCTTCATGTTTTATAATAATTAAATAATAATTTATCCATAAAAATAATTTATAACAATTAAAAACATTATCAATTCAATTATTATTTTTAAGTATTTCTATCTAAAATTCTTCTTTATATCGAGAATTTTTAATAATTTTCGAAAAAGTTCTTTGACAATTTCCAAATTCATTTCTTTGGAATATTCAATTTTACACGAAATTTCAATTATTCGTAAATTCTTTAATTAAATAAATATTAGAAAATAGAAACTAAAAATAATATTTATAAAACTCAATTAAACTTTTTCCAAAAAAAAATTAATTACAAAATTCAATTATTTTTTTAAAATTCACGCTCTATTGCATTTAATATTCTATTATCTGAAAGTTGAACTGAAATTCATTTTTTGAAAATCAATTTTTATTATAGAAAATTCTACTGGAATTCAATTATTTAAATACAAATTTAAAGGAAAAATTGCAAATAAATAATTTATTGAATAATTGAACGTTTCTTAAAATTCAATTCCGATAAGAAATCGTTATCAACAAATTTTCAAATAATTGAATTCTATCAAACGAATTTTAATAAAATTTTTAAGAATAATTACATTTTTCGACAAAATTCGATTAAAATTGTATTAAAAATAAATAAAATAAATAAAATGAAATGAATAATTGAAATTCTGCATTGAATTTGATTATTTATGATAACAAATAATTGAATTCTTGCGAAGAATTTTATTAAAATTTTTCAAAAATAATTATAATTCTTGTAAAAAATTAACAGGAATTCAATTATTTTTTTTTTAATTTTAATAAAATTCTTGGCATTAAAAATAACAAAATTCTTATCAGATCTCCAATTACTTTCAGAAATTTTAATAAAATTCTTCGCAAGAATTTTAAATATTTTTTGTAAAATAATAAAAATCTTTGCAGAGATTCAATTATTTTCAAAAGTCTTAATAAAAAATTCTTCGCAAGAATTCAATTATTTTCAAAAAAATATCAGAATTTTTAGCAGAAATTCATACATTTTAAAAAGTTTTGATAAAATTTTTTTAGTAGAAATTTAATTACTTTTTACAATTTTCAAAAAATTGTCTCGATAAAATTCAATTATTTAAAAAATTTTAATGAAATTCTTAGAAAGAATTCAATTATTATAATCTTAAGATTTTAACTGAAATCTATTTTTAAATCAAATGTTTATGAGAAAATTCTACCAGAATTTAATTATTTAAATAGAAATAAAATGCAAATAAATAATTTATTGAATAATTGAATGTTTCTTGGAATTCAATTTCTATTAAAAATTTTATCAACAAATTTTTAAATAATTAAATTCTTTAGACGAATTTTAATAAAATTTTTAAGAATTTTTTCGAGGAATTGGATTAAAAATTCTATTGAAAATAATTGAATTCTCCTAAAAAGAATTTTATTACTTTTGAAAATAATTGAAATTTTGCAATAGATTTTATTAAAGTTTTTGAAAATAATTGAATTTTATTACTCTAAAAATAATTGAATTCGTGTGATAAATATTGTTAATTATGAAAATAATTCAATTCTTGGGAAGAATTTTATTAAAATTTTTAAAAATAATTGAATTTCTATGAAGAATTTTGTAATTTATAAGAATAATTGAATTTTGTCGAAGAATTTTATTAAAATTCTTAAAAATAATTGAATTTCTATGAAGAATTTTGTAATTTATAAGAATAATTGAATTTTGTCGAAGAATTTTATTATTTTCGGAAATAATTGAATTCTTGCGAAAAATTTCATTTAGATTTTTGGAAATAATTGAATTCTTGAATTTTTCTTGAGAAAAATTTTACATTTCATAAAAATAATTGAATTTCAAAAAAAAATGTTATCAAAACTTTTGAAAATAATTGAATTTCTGACAAGAATTTTATTAATTTATAAAAATAATTGAATTCTTACGAAGAATTTCGTAGAATTGAAATTAAAACTTTTTGAAAATAATAATAATAAAATTATTTCGAGGAATTCGATTAAAATTTTATTGAAAATAATTGAATTCTCCTTAAAAGAGTTTTATTACTTTTGAAAATAATTGAAATTTTGAAATGGATTTTATTAAAATTTTTGAAAAAATAATTGAATTTTATTACTTTAGAAAATAATTGAATTCGTGTGACAAATATTGTTAATTATGAAAATAATTGAAATTTTTTAATGAATTTTATTAAAATTTTTGAAAATAATTGAATTTTGTCGAAGAATTTTGCTATTTATTTATAAAGATAATTGAGATGTTAACCATTTTTTTTTAGATTTTTTGAAAATAATTGAATTTCAGAGAAGAATTTTAATATTTCTAAAGATAATTGAAATTTTAACGAGAATTTAAAAAAATTTTTGAACATTATTGACTCCGAAAAATAGAAAAAAAACTAAAGTAAAATTTACTTGTAAACTAAATAAAAAATCTAAAATAAATTTACTAGGAAAAATAAATAAATAAATAAATAAAACAAAAATCACCTCCGAAACCATCGGGAACGTAAATTGACAGCTCAATATTGCAAAACAACATCGGCAGAGCCATGGGAAAATTGGCTTCGGTCTTCAGGGAAATATGCCGATAGCCAGCTTGCAAACCGTCGAGTGGCAAAATTCTTTGTCCCAGTAATTTGCCGCTTTCTTCATAAACGCCAAATCGAAGAACAGCCAAATCGGGCAGCACAACCTTTCGAAAAACAAATGGCTCCTCATTGTAAACTGGATTCAATCCATTTCCCGGCACGAGTCTCGTGCGAAATTCTTTTTTTATCGTGTCCGCCGGTAGACCGTACATATCGACTTCAACGTAAGTCCCCACTTTTTTGTCCGATAAAAATTGTCCCGCAATCACCTGTAAAATTTCGTTAATTATATTAAAACGTGATATTCGCTTTATTATTATTATTTTCCAAATTACAAAATTTTTTATTTTCAAATACAAAAATTTGAATAATTTAATAATCAATATTTAAAAAATTCACTTAATTCTTAACTTTAAATTTTAGAAATAAATATTTTTACCCGAACGGAACAAGTCGCAGTGATGACACCGTCCACATCTTCCGAGAAAGGATCAAATGATTTATCGGTTCTTCTCATAAATTCCGGTTTCAATAAATAGCCAGTTGTATTGTTGAATTCAAATTTTCCCTGATTCAATTGCATCGGTAAATCTGGTGTTTGAAAATTAAGAGCGACCATTTGACAGCCAGCATTCCAAAAGACCTGTATTTTTTAAAGAAATTATTCTAAATAGCAAACAATAAATAATAAATATTTCAAAAAATATTTTAGATACTGAGATATTTAAAAAAAAGTATATTTTTACTCATAAAAAATTTTTTTAATAACAAACAAATTTTATTCAAACAAAAAATTAAATAATAAAAAAAATACCAAGTAAAAAAAATTATTATTGATTATACAACAATGTAGAAAGTAATATAACATAAAAAAAAATTTTTTTTAACAAAAAATAAAAATGAATAAAATAATGAAATTTTATTTGTAATCAATTAATTTACTAATTAATTTAATTTTTAAGAATTGTTTCTCACCTGAGGCATGTAATTTGATGAATCAACTCTAGTTCCCTTGGGATAAATTCGACTCATTTGTCTTTTATTGTAATTAACAAATTCCACTCCGGATGTCTTCAAATAATTCAAAGCTGCTGTCTCCGAAAATGAGGACATATTGTGATGAATATCTTTCTCTAGGAAAAAAAAAAGAAAATTTAAGTGTTTGATAAAATTTAATAAAATTTAATAAAATTTAATAAAATTTAATAAAATTTAATAAAATTTAATAAAATTTAATAAAATTTAAAATAAAGTAATTCAATTAAAAAATAAGTAAATGTACCTAATAAATTGATAAAATTAAATTTCCTCTTGTTTTCGAGAGAAAGAGAGAAAGAAAAAAAGAAAAATGAAACGTACTCAATGCGCTGTCGAAACTTTGAAATTTAATAGGTTGAGCGTAATTGATCATTGATGAGAGCCATGGATGGCAGGCCATTGTACTTCCTGTATGAACTGGTGCATTTTCTGCCCCCTCGGGAGGAGCTTCTCCAGGAGCGCCGGGAGCGCCAGGAGCGCCAGGAGCAGGTTCCTAAAATGGAAAAAAATTAAATTTCAATTTTTAAACGTTTATTCTTTTTTTTTACTAGAATAATAAACAAAAAATAAAAATAAACTAGGAATAAAAATAAAATGAAGTAAAAATAAAGTTAAAAAAAGGAATTAAATAATTAAATAAAATTAGAATAAAATGAAAGAATTGCAGAAGAAGAAAAAATTACCGGTGGCGCTTCTTGCGGCGGTGGTGCGGGCGCATTTGGATCCTCGATTACTTCGTCCTTAGCTTCAAATTGTCCCGAGCGGAAAAGTTCCAGTTCAACTTTTTCCACTTCAGGCTTCAATCTTTTGTTCTTGATTAGAATTTTCCGTTTCAATGCACTTGGCGGCGGTAAAGGTTGTCCAGGTCCCAACTTTTAGTTCAAAATAAAAAATTATTATTATTATTATTATTATTATTATTATTATTATTATTATTATTATTATTATTATTATTATTATTAAATTCCTGCTTTATAAAAATGAATAAAAAAATAAAAAACAAAATGGAAAATAAAAAAGGAAAAAAATAAAATAAAATACAATAAATTATAATAAACTTACAGGATAATCTTTGAGTGGCTCCTTGAGCAGCAAATCGCCTAAAACATCGTCGAAATATTTAGCGAGTCGATATTGATTCTTCAGTGACAAATGATTTTCGATACTCAAAATAATTGGATAATCGGATGTGACGAATGCAGTGTCTCTCAGGGCATAAATAACATCCTTGATTAAAATATCAGTGCACATTGCTTTGCCATGAGTTATTATTGGTTCGTCGTCCGGGGTTTTGCCGTCCCAACAATCCAATTCCACGCATCTATAAGTTTTTCCCTTTTTTTAATTATTTGTAACCAATATTATAGAAATTTTAATTATTAATAATATTGACAGATTAGCAGAATAGAAAATAGTAAAAATAAAACAGAAAAAAGTAAAAACAAAACAGAAAAAAGTAAAAACAAAAAGAAAAAGGTAAAAAAGAATAAAAATAGTAAGAAAACAAAAAAAAGTAAAAAAAAGGAAAAAGAAGAAGAAATAGATACAAAATAGTAGAAAAAATTAAGAAAAACGTAAAAATATAGAAACTAGTAAAAAAAACAGAAAATAGTAGAAAAAATTAAGAAAGACTTAAAAAAGATAGAAAATATTAAAAAAAAAACAGAAGAAAGTAAAAAAAATGCAAAAGGACGAATAAAAAGGTAATAAAGAATAAAAAATAGTAAAAAACAGAAAAAAGTTTAAAAAAACGTAAAAAAGAATAGAAAATAGTAAGAAAACAAAAAAAGCAAAAAGAAGAAAAAATAAATAAAAAAAAAGTGAAAAAAGTAAGAAAAATTTAAAAAACAGTATGAAAAACATAAAAAAGAATAGAAAAGGCAAAAAACCAAAAAAAGCAAAAGAAGAAGAAATAGTTATAAAAAAGTAAGACACAGAAAAAAAGAATAAAAAATAGTAAAAAAAAACGGAAAAAAACGTAAAAAAGAATTGAAAATAGTAAAAAAAACAAAAAGAAAGCAAAAAGAAAAAAAAGTAAAAAAAAGGAAAAAGAAGAAATAGATAAAAAAAATAGTAGAAAAATACATTTTTCTAAAAAAATAAAAAAAAAGTAAAAAAGTAAAGAAAATAGTGAAATAACAGAAAAGAAGTGAAATAAGTAAAAAGAACAAGAAAAAGGTAGAAAATAGTAAAAAAAAAAATGAAATAAGTAACCAAAAAAATAGATAAAAAAATAGAAATAGATAAAAAAATAGAAATAGATAAAAAAATAGTAGAAAAAAGTAAGAAAAATTTAAAAAACATTAAAAAAAACGTAAAAAAAGAATAGAAAATAGTACAAAAATAAAAATAAGCAAAAGAAGAAGAAATAGGTATTAAAATAGTAGAAAAAAGTAAGAAAAACGTAAAAAAGTAAAGAAAATAGTGAAAAACAGAAAATAAATGAAATAAGTAAAAAGAAGAAGAAAAAGGTAAAAAATATTTTTAAAAAAATGAAATAAGTAAAAAAGAAGAAGAAATAGGTAAAAAAAAATGTAAAACAAAAAAGTAGTAAGAATTACCGGCAGCCTGCAAGAAGGACTTGCCGGTACATTTCGACTGTACTTTTCGCTCCAATTTGCTTGCCACTGAGATAAGTATTGTGACTGGAATTAATATAATAATGACAAAGTGGCTGATCCATGTCCATACATTCGTCCAATTTTTCCAAGAATACCGGCGCATTTTCGTCGGACATCAAGTACTTTATAAAACCGTCTTTACTGATTTTCTCTGTCAAATTCAATGTTCACAAATATTATTTCATTATTTTCATTATTTTAATAATTTAATATTCCATGCAACGAAAATATTATTATTTTAATAATTTAATATTCCATGTGTCGAAAATATTATTATTTTAATAATAAAAAATTTATTAAAAGAAGAAAACTTACGTTCTGATTTGAATTTTTCATCTGGTTCATAGTCGTTAATTATTTCCGTGCATCTCTTCTCAGTGTAGAGAGGATATAAAATTTCATTGAGTCGCGGATCTCTTTGTTTTTCATTCATAAATGTCACTAATTGTTGTAAATTGATAAACTCAGCTTTGCCCTTTGTTCTGCGGGGGAAAAGAAAATTAAAAAAAATATTAAAATATTTTTTACACTAAGAAATCAAAAAAAAAAAAAAAACAAATTTCAAGAAAGAAAGATATTTTTTTAATTCTTACATGGATTGAAACAATTCCTCGATATCATTTCGTGGACAGACTTTGAAATAGAGAGCCTTAAATTTTTCGAAAACAAAAGCTTCCTTCTCGATTTTATCATTCTGCAAAAATTGAGAAAAAAATTAATTTAGAAAATAGAATTTCTGAAGTAAAAACGAAAAATAAAAATAGAAAAAAAATAGAAAACTAGAGGAATATTAAATTTCTTTTACGATCAAATAATTCTTAAGTAGCAAAAAAATTAAGTAATGAGAGAATTAAATAATATTTTAAAAATTGAATAATATTGTTATATTGAAAAAAAAATTATATTGAAAATCGAGTAATAATAATAGAAAAAATTGAATAAAATTAAAAAAATGTAATAATATTGAAAAAATGGAATAATATTGAAAAGATATTTTGTCATAGAAACAAAATATTTTTTTTGAGAGAGAGAGAATAAATGAAATATAAATTTTTTACTTTTCCATTTGGAAGTCCCAATTCTTGTAGTCCTTGATAAATTAATTTTTCCGTTTTTCCCGACGCGAAAGTTTTCGTTATCACTTTCACTGGAACTTTTCCCTTCGCGTCCACTTGGAATGACAATTTCATCCAGCTTTAATTAATAAAAAACAGAAAAAAGAAATTAAAAATTCTGCGAAGTACTATTTTTTATATTATTTTCCTAATTTCAATTTACTCAACTGTTTCATTAATTGAATTGTCGGACAGACGTTACTTGCTTTCGTATTGTGAGTGACTTTTCGTAAACCCGCTTGCCAATCCTAAAATAAAACAAAAAAAAAAAAAGAAATTATTTCCCTTTATTTATTATTATCTAATCTAAAATATTTAAACTTTAAATTTATTTAAAATGTCCTTAATATTTTACTTTCAAAAAAATTTAAAGTTTCCTAAATATTTAAACTTTAAATTTATTTAAAATTTCCTAAATATTTTACTTCTAAATTATTTAAAATTTCCTAAATAGTTTACTTATAAAATATTTAAAATTTCCTAAATATTTCACTTCTAAAATATTTTATTACTTCCTCTTCTTATTCTTTTTTCTGAAAAAAATTCTTTCTTTTTTTTTATTTAAAAACTGTTAATTTGAGAAAATTACCTTCGCCGTTTGGGCATCAGGACAAATCATATGATTGTAGATAATATTCGTATAATCAACTCCGGAACATATCGTTAAACTTTTCTCATCCAATTGCTCCATCGTTCCATGTTTGCTGCACTTATTCGTTAATTTTTGATCCTAAACACAAAAAAAAAATGATAAATTAAAATTAATTGAAATTATTAATTAAAGAAATTAAATATTTTCGAATAATTTATTTAGTTCGTTATTTAGTTAATTAAAATTTTTTTAATATAATTTCTTACCTTTGGAGTTCCACCGTATCTTATATCACAGACTTGAGCCAATTCAATCACATCTCCTTCCTGAAAGAATTTTTTTTAATTAATAACTAAATATTATTGCAGTAGAATTAAAATTACAATTTTAATTACAATTTAATTACAATTTAAATTACAATTTTAATTAAAATTTAAGTACAATTTAAATTACAATTTAGTTACAATTTAAATATTGCAGAAGAAAATATTTTCCTTCTTTAATTTAAAAATTAATCCAGTCAAAAATAATAATTTTCATTATTATCTTTCTTCATTATAAATATTAATAGAGTCAAAAATTAATTTTCCTTCTTAATTAAATATTAATGCAAAAGAAAAATATTTTCCTTCTGAATTAAAGATTAAAAACAGTGAAAAACGATTTTTTCTAAAAAAGAAATTAAAAAATTAATATCTACAGTCAAAAATTATTTTCCTTCTGAATTAAAAATTAGTTATAGGAGTTAAAAATTATTATCCTTCCCAATTAAATATTAATACAGTTGGAGAAACATTTTTCTTTTAAATCAAATGGAAAAATATTTTTTCTAAAAAAAAATTTTTAAATTTAGTCAAAAATTATTTTTTTTATAAATTTCAAAATTAGTTACAAGCAAAAATTATTTTCCTTCTCACCTAAATATTAATACAGTTAGAAAAATAAGTTTTTATTGTAGATATTAATTTTTTTAAATTAATTTTCCACTTTACTAACTTTTCATTTAAACGAAAAATATTTTCCTATTGAATTAAAAATTGAAGATTAAAAATTATTAAAATTAAAAATTATTATTATTATTATTATTATTATTTACAATTAAAAATTATTTTCCTTCTCAATTAAATATTCATACAGTTGGAGAAAATATATTTTTCTTTTCGATGAAAAGTTTAATAAAGTGGAAAATTAATTTTACTGGAAAAAAAATTTAAAAATTAGTCAAAAATTATTTTCCTTATGAATTAAAAATTAATTCACATAGAATAAGAATCTAAAGTAATTAAAAAAAAAAAATTTGAGTAGAAAATTATTTTCAAATACCTTTCCCTCACTTTTCCAATAGATGAAAAAACCATATTCGTCGACTTTAACTAAACAATCGGCCTCGAATTCCGTGTTATCTTTGTCTTCGTACCATCTATCGAAAACACATCCCTTTCTCATAAACTCCGGCGTTTCAATTTGCCAGTTATATTCAAATTTTTTCGTCATTTTTTATGTCTTTTTTCTCTTTTCTTCTCTTTAGTTGATAAATATTTTGTTTTCTTTTTTCTTTTCTTTTCTATTCTTTTCGTTTCCTTTATTTTTTATTTATTTCATTTTTCTCTTTAGTTGGTAAAATTTTTTTTTAAAATAAACTGAATTATATTTCTGTCATTTTTCGCAATTGAACGAGTTGAACTGATTCAACGTTTTTTTTTCTTGGTTTTTTTTCGCTGCCTTCTCGCTGTCTCTCTCTTGCTCTCTCAATTTAATTCAATTAAATTCAATCTCATTTGAGGGATTAAGATGCACTTCAATGACCTTAGGACACAAAGAATTGCAAATCGAATTTTCCAACACAAACGATAATGAGAACGACGACGAAGACGATGAACGACCTTTACCTTCGGGGACCTTGAAATTTTCTTCTCGAAATTTCACTTTTTAGAGACTTTTTATATTTTTTCTTTATTTTTTTTTGTTTTTTTATTTTCCATTTACTTTTTTCCTCCTTCTTCCTTTTTTCTTTTTCTCCTTCTTCTTCTTTTTTATTTTCTTCATCTTCTTCTTTTTTCTTTTTTCTTTTCCTTTCTCTATCTAAAAAATTTTTTTCCCTTTTTCTATTTTTTAAATCCATTTTTTCAAAGTTTTATTAAGTTTTTAATTCTTTTATTATTAAAAAAAAATTCAGTTATTATTTATTTCTTACTCGAAAATGTAAAACAAAAATTAGAGAAAGATTTTTTCAAAATTACAAAAAAAACAAAATTAACTACTATTTTGTTTAATTACAAAAAAACAAGAAAATAAATGAGCCTTTATAAAAATTGCAAAAAAAACGAAATTTACAATTATTTTGTTTGAAAATAAAAAAAAAATAATAAAAAAATAAGAGAGAGATTTTATAAAATTACAGAAAATACGGTATTATTTTGTTTAATAAAAAAAAATAAGACAGTTTTTTAAAAAAAATTTACAAAAATTTACAAAATTACTATATTTTTATTTTTCAGCAAATTTTATTATTATAAACAAAATAAGAAAAGAAATTTATATTTTAATTAAATAGAAAACTTTGGATATGTTTTTTTTTGCTTTCTGTAACCAATTTTTTTTTAATAATTAATAAACTTTTTCTTTCGCACAACGAAAAAAAAAACAATTGCGCTTTTTTAAACTATTTATAAATTTAATAATATTAATATTCTCCTTTCGAATTAGAGACGGGACATTTGGCTGCAAAAAAAAAAAAAATATTCAGTTTAAATATTTTTCCCCCGAACTAAACAAGAAAAAATCCCTTTTTTAGAAAAAGGAATTTTTTTTAAATTCGAAAAGTAAATTTACTTACAAATCACGTTATTTATTTTAAATCCATCGGTGATCTGATAATAGTGTCGTTTAACTGAAAAAATTCTAATTGTTAATATAAATTTTTTTATCCAAAAAAATTGTAATTAAAAATTATTTTCTTTATTTATGTTTTTTTATACCTTTTACTTTTTCTTTAAGTATTTTTGTTTATTAGGTTTCTTATTTTTTGATATATTTTATTATTTTTATATATTTTTATAAAATATTTTCTATTTTTTGTATTTTAAAAAAATTTCTTTTTCTTTTTATAAAAAATAAAAATTTTTCATTTTCTCTTTTAAATAAAACTTTTGAACATTTTCTTTCTCTTTTCACAAAAAATACGAATTTTTCACTTTCTTTTTCATATGAAAATAGGAATTTTCTTTTTCTCTCTTTTTACGAAAAATACAAAATTTTCCTTTTTTTTTTATTAAAAAAAATATATAATTTTCCAAAAAAAAAATACTAATTTTTCCTTTTTCTATAAAAATACAAAGTTTTCTTTTCTCTTTTTACAAAGAAAAAGAAATTTTAATTTTTTCTTTTTATTAAAAATAAATATAGGTATAAAATTTTTCAAAAAAAAATAGTAATTTTTCTCTTTTGTATAAAAATACAAAATTTTTCTTTTTTCTTTTTATAAAAAAATTCGAATTTTCTATTTCCTTATAATAAAAATACGAAACTCGTTTTTTTTTCCTTTTTAGAACAAAAAAATAAATAAAATTTTGCTTTTCGAAAATAATGATAAAAAAAAATTATTTTATTTAAATATTTAATTAATACCTAAGATTAAGAAGAAAATAAGAAAATCTTACCTTCACAAATTGGAACTGGATGACTCCACTGACCGTATCTGCAAAAAATTTCACTATTCCCTCTCATTGTGTATCCTTCCTTGCAGGAAAATTTATAATAAGTCGATTGTAAATTCAATGCCATTATTTTATGTGCTTGCGTTAATTTTACTGTTGGACATTTTGCTGAAATATATTGTTAAATTAATTAATTTTTAAATAGTTTAAAATTAATCCACTGTTAAATAAATTAATCAATTTAAATATATTTTTTAAATTAATTAATTATTTAATTTATTAATATAAAAATAAGTTTAATAAAAAGAAAATATTTCAATAAAAAGAAAAACATTCTTTTTTTTGAATAAAAAAAGTAAAGATTCTTGAGTTTCTTACAAATTTGCAAAATTGGAATCACTTGTGAAGGAAATAGAAAATTCTTACGAGCACAGATTGGAATTTCATCGATCCACTCGCCCTCGTGGCAAATTGAAATATTATTACCCAGAAGATTGTAATTTTCGTTGCAACGAAATGTGGCGATATTCTCCTTTATTTCGACATCGCCATTCACTAAATCGATTTTCGGACAATTTGCTGCTTAACAAAAACAATTACAAAACAATTTATCAATTTTCTCTTTAGATAGTTTCTATAAATTTTTTTTTTTTTGGATTTTAAATTAATTTTTCTCTTTTCTCATATTTTTTCTGACTGAAAAAATAAAAATATAAATTAAAGCAAAAATTGGAAAATTACAAGTTTTTATTTTTAAAAAAAAAAGAAAAATTATCTTACGTATACAAACTGGGGGCGGATTACTCCATTTTCCATTGGCACAAACGGCTGTTGAATTTCCCTTAAGTTGATATCCTTCTTCGCAAATAAAATGTACAAAATTCGTCTGCAAATTGATGCCAATTAGTCCAAAGCATAATGGAATTAATGGACACGATGCTGGAAAATTAAGAAATTTTTTAATTAAATTTTTTTTTAATTAAATTAAATTAATAATTAAATTTATTCTCAATTAAGGATAAAAATTTTCATAAACTATTAAATAACTTTCAGCGACTTTCGAATAATTTAATTTAGTTAATAATATACTTTTTTTTTTTTAATGAAAATTAATTTTTGCAAAAATTGTTATATTCACCACGACAAGAGGGTTTTTTGAGATTGATTATTTGTCCGCTTGTGATAATATCATTGTCACCAACTAATTCATAGCCATTTTCGCATTGATAATGAAGAACAGAATTTCCAGAATTCATTTTTATCGCGAAATTTCCATTCTCTATTTCCAAATTATGAGTAGCTGTCGAACAAATAAAGAACAAAATCTAATAAATTCTATTATATTTTATATTTATTATTTATAGTTTCACTATTAATTTTAAAACGTAAACATAATTAAATAAAATTTAATAGGTACAGCAAATTTAGTACAAAAAACAAATTTAAAAAAGTTTAATACAAAAAATAAATTATTTATTAGAAAAACTTGAATGAATTAAAAGTAAAAAAAAAAAATAAATAAATATACTGAAAAATAATTATATTGTAAAAGAGAAACAAAAAAAATATTCAACTTACGAATGCAAATTGGCTTCAAACTTGTCCATTGTTTATTGTTTAAAAATTCAATTTCTCTATTTCCGAAGAGAGTAAAACCTTCGTTACAATGAAATATCCATTTACATTTGTTTTCCATTTTTCGAACAAAACCATTTAACAGAGTTATTTTTTCCATGTCTGCGAAGAAAAGAAGAATGCAAAATTAATGGGTAAATTTTAGATTCAATTTTTGGAATTTACACGTGTTTTTTTTTTTTTTTATTAAAATTTTAATTATTGAAAATATATTGAAAAACTCTATTGAATTATTGAAAAAATGTTCAACTATTGAAATATATATTGCAAAAACTAATTAAATATTCGAAAAAATATGGAGAAACTATTGAATTATTGAAAAAATGTTTAAAAAAAACTATTTAATTATTGAAATAATAAAAAGAAAAAGAATAAATTTAACGTAATTTGTTTCCACTTACTGAGACAATTTTTATCTTCTTTTGTTTGTTCTATTTGAAAATGAATTCCACCAATTGTCACTTTACTTTTCTTTTTGCCTTCATTGTCATCATTATCATCATCATCATCTTCTTCTTCTTCTTCGTCATCATCATCGTCATCATCATCATTGTCACTATCGTCGTCTTCATTCTGCTTTTTATTATTATCATTATTGTCCTTCATAACAATTACAATTTTCGGATCATTTTTATTCGATTCGGATATTTCACGATCATCTTCTTTCTGCTTTTTATTACTATTATCATCATAATTGTCCTTCATGACAATTTGAATTTTTGGATCATTTTCATTCGACTCGAATATTTCATCATTATCATCATCATCTTCATCGTCAACTTTTTTATTATTTTCCTCGTCTTCATTTTCTGAAGGGAAAAAAATTATAGGTTATGTTCGCTTATTTTGAAATTCGGCTTTTAATTATATATTTAAATCGAAATCAATTTTTATCGTTTTTACTGAATATTTTGAATGTAAGACTTAGGTGATCAATTATTTGTATTAATAATTGACCTCTTATTATATTTTCACATGTTTTACTCAAAAAATGAAAAGATAAAAACCGCAGGCAAAGCCTCGGGCAAAACGGACAAAACGCAACTGCAAGAAAAAGTCAAACTGTCAAAATTGAAAACTTTACGAACATAACCTAAAAATGTTTGTTTTCATCGTTTTCGTCTTTCTTCGAAACGCGTCACAAATTTTATAATATAAATTAATAGAAACATGAAAAAAATATTAAAATATAACTAATAAATAAAAATATTTTACGCTTTTTTCGAGGTTTGAAAGGAAAATATAAGAAATTATAATGAAAAGGAGAGAAAATAATTACCAACACACTTTGGGACACTTCCGCCCCATTTGTTGTTCTCGAACTTAATTTTCTTTTGTCCCTTGAGATGATAGCCGTCATTGCAAAAAAATGTATACTTACGTCCCTCCTCACTAACCAAATAATGACCAAAAGGAAAATCTATTTGTGCTTTAATTCCTAAACGAAGAAAACAAAAATAAAAAAAGGAGTGAAAATTGAGCAAATATTTTTGTTTAACAAAATAAAAGGTAATTTTTTCGTTAATTTACATGATTTACATTTATTTATTATTTATCGTATTTAGTATATATTTATTATTTACTTTATTATTTATTTTTTTTACTTTCTTATTTACTTTATTATTTATTTCTTTTATTTATTTTTTACTTTTTATTATTTTACTTATTTTTATAGTATTCGTACGAAAATTATACGGAAATGACAGAAATTCGCCAACTGTTTTTGTTTTGATTAGTAAATAATTGTCAATAATAATACTTACGATGACAAATTGGTATTTTGTTCGACCATTCATTGTTTTCGTAATAAATTTCCCTCTCGCCAATAAGTTGATAACCTTCCTTACAATCGAAACTGTACCTTTGCCCATTGTCGTGAATTTCTACAAATCCATTTTCTATTTTCGGTGTTGCTCTGCCTGTAAATGCAAGAAAGCAAAAAAATAAATAAATAAAATAACAAAAAATTGTAAAATATTACCGTCGAATTTAGTAATTAAATAAGTAAGTAAATAAATAAATAAATAAATAAAAGAAAATAATAAATAAAATAAATAAAGGGAAAATTATTTGCTCACTAATTTTATTGATTGAATAAGAATTTAATTTCGATATAAAATAATATTTAAAAATAAATTTTCTATTTCAATAAATTTTCTAAAAAAATTCTCATTTATTTACTCACCGACTGATTTCGATTCAATTTTTTGAAGAAACAAAATGAGAAAAATAAAAAATAAATTCTTTTCTACTTGGAGAATCATTTTTTTCTTCTTCTTTTTTTTTTGTTGATGTTTCCTCAGTAAATATTGACGAATAACTAAACGAAAAATATACTTGAACCGAACGAAAATTATCCTGATGTTTTGGAATTTATATTATAAACTGTAAGTGTCAAATTTTTATTTTTGAAATTTCTTTTCAATTTTCTTTTTTTTTTGTTAGCAAATAATAAATAATTTTTTTTTTGCTAGCAAATTATTGTGAAAAATAAACTTTTTATTAAAAATCAATAAAAGTAATTCAAAGAAAAAGAGATAAAGAGGAAATAAAAAAACAACAATGAAATAAATAATAAAAAAATTTAGAAACTAAAAGAAATGAAAATTTATTTTTAGAAAAATATAATTAAAAAAAAAAAAAATGAAGAGTAAATAAATTAAAAATAATAAAAAGAAAGAAACGTCAGCGACATAAATAATAAAATTAATAAAATAAATAACAATAATAAATTTATAAACTGCGAGAGAAAAATGTAAATTTATTTTTAAAAAAAGAACATTCAAAAAATAAGTAAATTCGTATTTACTTATTTTTTGAATTTTCTTTTTCTTTTAAACTGAAATAAAAATAAAATAAAAAATAAGTTAAAAAAATGAAATAAATTAAAAAAAATAAATAGCAATTTAATAAATAAAAACACTGCATAAAATATAATAACAAATTCGTTTCTTCTTTTTTTTTAACTATTTTATTTTAAATTCTCTCTTGTTGTGCTATTTACAAAATACAAATATTAGACTTTTTTGTACGATAAAGATTTTATTTTCTAACTCTTGCTGTTAAATTTAAAAAATGAATAAAATTCTTTAAAATAAAGAAAACTTCCTGTTGAATTAATAAATTAATAAATTAATAAATTAATAAATTAATAAATTAATAAATTAATAAATTAATAAATTAATAAATTAATAAATTAATAAATTAATAAATTAATAAATTATTGAATTAATAAATTAATGAATTAATAAATTAATAAATTAATAAATTTATAAATTAATGAATTAATAAATTAATAAATTAATAAATTAATAAATTGATGAATTAATAAATTAATAAATTAATTATTCTTATTTAATAAATAATGTATTTAAAAAAATTGATTTTAAATCAAAATTATTAACTTTAAATAATAGATAATAGATAATAATAAGAAAAATAAGAAAATATTATTAAAAATATTTTCTTTTGTAATTTAGAGAAAAATAGACAAGAAAAATGTAACTTAAAATTTTTAGTAACTATATATAATTTTACGTTCAATTTTCGTATTTTAATTTCCAATATGGAAAATACTTTTTCTTTTTTTATATAAAAATATAGTTAATTTTTTTCTTCTTAGAAATTGTAATTTATTTTTTTTTAGTAATAATTTCAGAATTTGTTTCTTTGTCAATAATTTTTAATATTTCTTTCTTTTTCTATCTGTGGCAATAAGACTTAATTGTCTTTTCTTCCTTCCTTTCTTTTTTTCTTCTTTTTTTGGCAATAAATCGTACCTTTTTCATTCTTTTTTTCCTTTTTGCTTTTTCAATTTCTTAAAATTATTTTTTTCTAATTTTTTTCCTTCATTCTTGTTTTTTTTTCTTTTTTTGACATTAAATCAGATTTTTTTTCATTCTTTTCTTTCTTTTTGCTTTTTTAATTTCTTAAAATTATTTTTTTCTAATTTTTTCCCTTCATTCTTGTTTTTTCTTCTTTTTTTTACAATAAATCGGATTTTTTTTTATTCTTTTCTTCCTTTTTGCTTTTTTAATTTCTTAAAATTATTTTTTTAAAATTTTTTTCCTTTATTCCTTTTTTTCTTCTTTTTTGGCAATAAATCGAATTTTTTTTTATTCCTTTTTTCTATTTTTGTCTCTTTTTTTTTGGCAATAAACCGTAATTTTTTCATTACTTTCTCTCTATTCTTTTCATTTTTCTTTTTTTTTGACAATAAGATGGAAATTCAGTCATTTTTTTTCTTTTGGCAATAAGACGAAAATTTAGTCAATTTTCTTTTTTATTTTTTTGGCAATAAGACGGAAATTTATTCAATTTTCTTTTTTATTTTTTTGGCAATAAGACGGAAATTTAGTCATTTTTCTCATTGTGAATGAAACGTTGAATAAATGGCATTCTATAAATTTGAATTGAAGCAATTGATCCCGCACATGCTCCAACCCAATAGACAATCACGTGGTCCATTGTCGTTGTGCCAAGACAGCCGTACTTCAATGATGTTGCCAACGCCGGATTAAAATAGCCTCCGGAATAATTAGCCGCTAGAAACACAATTTTTTCCTTTTTATTTACATTTTTTTTTAATATTTTAATAATTCAATTCAATTGACAGAAAAATTTTTTTCTTCAAATTATTTCAACTGAAATTATTCTTTTTTAATTTAATTCAAATTATTGTTTTTAATTTAATAGAAATTTTCGTTTTTAATTTAATTTTATTGAAATTTTTAATTTTAATTGAGAAAATATAAATTCTAACTGTTTGGAAATTTTTTTTCGCAGATATTTGAAGAGGAAAAAAGAAGGAAAAGAATTATAAATACTGACCTGCGACAACTAATGAAGTTCCAACAAAGGAATCGATAATTGTGCTAAATCTTGGATTAAGGTCGCTAAGAATGCGGGAAACGACTCTGCAAATACAAGTCGCGACCCCCTCAATTATTGCTCCGTAAAAAACTGGAACCTGCGAAAGAAAAAAATTATTCTCCAGACAGGGAAGAGAAATTTTCGTTATAAAATAGAAAAAAAATAGAATTTTCTTCTATTTTTTGGATAATAAATAAAATAAGTAACAAACGAAGGCAAAAAAGTAGAGAAAAAAATAATAAAAATAGCAGACGAAGAAAAAAAAGGGAAAAATTAATAAAAATAATAAACGAAGGTAAAAAGGAACAACAATTTAATGAAAATAACAAACGAAGGGGAAAAGCAACAAAAATTAATAAAAATAACAAACGAAGGCAAAAAAAACAAGAAAAAATTAATAAAAATAGCAAACGAGACAAAAAAACAACGAAAAATTAATAAAAATACAAACGAAGGCAAAAAAAAGAAAATAAAAATTCAAAAAATATTCAAAATTGTTTTAAACTTTCAAAGAAAAAATTATTTTCTTACAAAAAAAGAATTAGTAAACAATTTTCTAGTTTTTTTTGGAAATAAATAACAAAAAAATGACAAAAGAAACAAAAACAATAAATTAAAAATAAACAAAGGCAAAATAATTAATAATACCAAAAAATTAATGAAAATTCAATAAAATTTGCAAGTAAATAACAAAAAGGCGGGGAAAAAATGATAAATTGATTATTTTTGGTTATAATTAGTCGATTTTTGGAAGACAGGTGAAAATATTTTTGCGAATAAATAAAAAATAAATAAATAATAAATACAAAAAAGATTTAAAAAAAAAGAAATGTTTCCTCACCTGAAGATCAGTGTTACATTCGGAAAATGCTCGATCCTTGTGCGTGGGAACAATTTCAAGGAACCATAATAATTGATTGTATCTAAAGACAATAAGTCCTCCCATTAATTGTGCCCAAATTAATAAAAATGCCTTTCGTAAATTTTGCTTTCCCTCGATAACGTCCTCTAAATGTGTGTAGGGACAGGCCGTCGCATCGCCCCACACGTGGCACCACCAAATTGTCATGAAAAATAAATAAATCGCGTACATCGATATCCCCCAATTATCGGCAACTGAAAATTCAAAAAATGCACAATTTTTCATCAATTTCATTAATAATTATTAAAAAATATTCAATTTTTTTTCGCTAATTTAAATAACAAAGAATAATTTCACTAATTTTGAAAAATAATTGAAATCCTGCGATGAATTTTATTATTTATACAAAAATAATTGAATTCCTGAAATCAAATTTATTATTTATGAAAATATTTGAATTTTATCAATTTTTCTTTTGATAACATTGAATTCTTTTTGAAAATAAAAATTTGATATTTGTTGCAAGTAAATTAATAATTGAATAATAATAAATTAATTTAATTAAATTTAAAATCAAACAAAAAAAACGTTTTTTTTTCTCTAATAATTTTTTTAATTCATGAAATAGTAGAATATCATGTAAATATTTTTATAAATAAATTTTCGGACAAAAAAGTATTTTTTTTAAAGTAAAAAAATGTTTTTGAAAAATTTTTTTTATTTTTTTTTTTTTTAAATAGCGAAAAAGAGTTAACTTACTGATAATTAATTCGAAGCATCCTCCGCAGAGTTCAGCGGTGGCGATCGCCTCGAGAAATAAGGATTTCAATAACGGTTGATTAACATAATACGAAACATATTTCCTCAGCCAATGTGCAATGAGACTTGTCAGTACAATAAAAAATGTCGAAACTCCCAAAGCTAATGGCGTGGCCGTCATTTTTATTTTCTAAATAATTTACAATTCTGCGTCTAGAAAATCCGAAAGAAACGAAAAATTAGTCAACAAATCCTTTTTTTTCAATTTTTATTTCAAAAACTAAATTTATTTCCAAAAAGAAACAATTTTCTCTTTTCTTGTAAATTTAATTCTATAATTCTGATAATTAAATAATAGTAACAATTTATTATTTTTAATAAATAGAAAATAATTTGATAATAAAATATTAATATATTTTTATTTATTTATTTATTTATTAGTTATTAATAATCACGTTCAAAGACGATAAATAAATATAAAATTGTTACTAACAGCAATTTAATAATAAAAATGATAAAGAATAATAACAGTAAATAAAATTGTCAATAATAACAAAAAGAAAGAAAATAAAAAAAACAAAAAAAATAAAAAAAGAAAAATAAATAAAAAAGACAATAAAAGATAATAATTAATAAACAAAATTGTTGCAATTTAACAATAAAAATGATAGTTTATTATTTATTATTATCATCTACTTTTTACAAATAATAATTTCCAACAAAAAAAAATAATTTTCTACTTACATTATTATTTTCGATTATATAAAATATTAAATTTTTGGCGGTGATCTACGGAGTTTGCGTAGGAAAAAAAATTGTGTTAATTATTTATCTCTTGAAATGAGAAACGGCGCAAAATATAAAAATCTTGTTTCCAGCAGCAGCAATAGTGGAATTTTTTTTTTTTAATTGTAAAAAATTATTTTAACTTACAAATAATATTGTTGAGCCTTGAAGAATTTACAATCAGTCTGATTAACCTCATTTCTCGTTTGCAGTTTCTCATTTTAAAAATTATATTTATTAAGCTTTAAAAGAAATGAAGTGAATTTTGCCAATATTGAAACCTTATGAAGACTGACAACTTTACTATTGTTGAGCCTTTCACTTCTTCTCGCAATACAACAAGTTTGCAACTTTAATTTTAAATATATCGTAAACACATTCCTTCCAACTGACGTTATACATTTATTTCTCTGTTTCACTCGATTTAAAAAAAAATTTTTTTATTTTATTTTCTCGATTTTTAATTTTATTCCCTCGATTTTTTTTAATTTTATTCCCTCGATTATTTTTTTATTTTATTCCTTCGACTATTTTTTTTTTTATTATTTTTTCCCTAGATTATTTTTCTATTATTTATTCCCTCGATTATTTTTCTTTTATTTTATTTCCTGGATTATTTTTTTTTTAATTATTTTATTCACTTGATTTCGAAAATAAATTATTAAAAATTGAAAATTTATTATTCGAAATTATATTTATTTTATTCCCTCGACTATTTTTTTCTATTATTTTATTTCCTCTCGATTATTTCCCTTTTATTATTTTCTTCCCTCGATTATTTTTTTTTAATTATTTTATTCACTCGAATTTAAAAAATAAATTATTAAAAATTGAAAATTAATTATTTGTAATAATATTTTCTTTTATTCCCTCGACTATTTTTCTTTATTATTTTATTCTCTCGATTATTTTTCCTTTTTATTATTTTCTTCCCTCGATTATTTTTTTTAAATTATTTTATTCACTCGATTTCGAAAATAAATGATTAAAAATTGAAAATTAATTATTCAAAATTATTATTAATTAAAAACTAATTATTCGGAATTATTTTTGAAAAGCAAAAAAATAACCAAATTTTTTTTCGAACTTACCAAAATAATTAAAATAGACAGCGAACTTCTTGAGGAAAAGTTGAAGACATTTTTTTTTTCTTTTAAAAACAGATTTTAGAGAATTTTTTCTATTTTCTTCTGTTTTTTTTTTTTTTTTTTTTGAGAAAATTATTTTTAAATTAATAAATTCATTGAGTCTTGTTATTGCAAAGAGAGAAATCGTTTTACTGAAAATATTTTCGGAAGCACAAAAATAATAGTTGGACAAATATATCGGCGCACTTAAAACCTTGTCGCTATAAATAGAACTTTGTTCAAATTGTCCAATCAAGGGACTTTGAATTAGAAAAAAAGGCAGAAGAGAATATAAAATTTATAGAAAATAAATTTTTGTACCTGAAAAAAATTTTAGAAACGAATTTTTTTACCTAAAAAAAATTTTAGAAAAGAAGTTTTCTACCTAAAAAAAATTTTAGAAAAGAAGTTTTCTACCTAAAAAAATTTAAGAAAAGAATTTTTCTACCTAAAAAAATTTTAGAAAAGAATTTTTCCACCTGAAAAGGTTTTAGAAAAAAAAGTTTTTACACCAAAAAACATTGAGATTTCAAAACGTATTTAGAAAAAAATTTAATAACTTAAAAGATTTTAGAAAAAAAAATTTGTTTCCCAAAAAACTCTTTATTTTAAAATTGTCAATTTTTATTATTATAATTTTAGAATTTACAATTTTATTTTTAAAATATTTTATAAAAAATAAAACCCAAGAAAAAACCGAAAAATAGAAATTTGTCCCCTAACAAACTTTTTTATAATTTTTTATTATAATAATTTTTTAAAATTGAAATTTTACTTTTAGAATTTTTTACATTTAAAAAACTATAAAAAAGAATTTTGTTATCAAAAAAAAAAATGTGTTTTATAAGTTTCGATTTAAATTATTTTATAATTTTTTTATTATAAATATTATTTTATAATTTATAATTTTTTACATTTAAAAAAAACCAATGAAAAGAATTTTTGTACTAAAAAAAACGTTAAGATCTTAAAACATTTCAGAGAAAAAAATTCAAGAACTAAAAATATTTTTGACAAAAATTTTTTGTTCTCAAAAAACTATTTTTAAAATTGAAAATTTTTACTAAGTATTTTATATAAAAAAAAACAAAAAAAATATAAATATTGTCTTAAAAAACTTTTTTTTATCATTTTTATTATAATTTTAATTTTATAATTTTTTATATCTAAAAATAATCGAAAAAAAATTGTTGACCCTAAAAACTTTATTTTATAATTTTTGATTATAATAATAATTTTATAATTTTTGACACCTAAAAAGCAGTAGAAAAAAATTTTTTATAAACCGAAAAATATTTTAATGGTTAAAAAAAGAAAATTTCCTTTTTATTTTCTTGAAAAAAAATCTGTTTTATTGAACAGTACATTTTTTGTTGATGATGATGTTGTTGTTTTTTTTTACAATTCATTTTCGTAATAATTAAAAAAGAAAAGAAGGAATCGAAAAAACAACTGGGAATAAAAGAAAACATAATTTAGTTCCCTTTATAAAAATAAATTTTCCTCCTTTTCTCGAGCGCGTTTTTTTCTTTACTATTATTCTATTCTTTTTTTCCACTACATTGTAATGTGTGTGTGTGTATTTGTCTCATTCTTGACAATTATATATACTGATAATTAGCATTTTTTAAAAATAACAAAAAAAAAAAAAATGAAAAATTGATATAAAAAAAAGAAGAATCGATAGAAAAAAAATCAAAAAAAGAAAAAAAAGAAAAAAAAAGTAACAAGTTTTACCCACTTATATGACTTACAAGTGTTTTCTTTTTATTATTTAAAGAACTATTAGCTACATACTTTATTACATAATAGATTTAAAGTGGCTCAATGTAGTTGTACAATCCTTTTTGTTTTTTTTTGCTTTAATATTTTTTTTTAATAAAAAAAAATGAAGATAATAACGTTTATTTACAGGCATCACCGTTGTCGCTCTTCAGTTTCTTTGCGGCTGGCTTATCGTCAGAATTATCACTTTTCATAATTATCCTCTGGATTCTTTTCGATTTCAGGTAATTCATTGTTTCAGCCGACGATCTAAACAAAAATTTTTTTTATTTATTTTTGTATTATTTTTCCTAAATTTGCATTTTTATAATATTTTTTCCTAAATTTGTATTTTTATAATATTTTTCTCTAAATTTGTACTTTTATATTATTTTACTCTAAAATTTATATTTTTGTATTCTTTTCTCTGTAAATTTACAAATTTTTTTACAAAAAATTTCATTTATATTCGTGAAATTTAAATTTTTACAATAATTTTTGCCTCATAAACTGTAAAATTCTAATAATTACGAATTCTAATACAAAACCTTAAAATTTTTCTATTTTTGACAATTATTTCTTTTTAAATAACTTAATTATTGAAGACTATCATAAAATTATTACTTTAGAAATTATTTAATGAATAATTTTACTTAAATATTTCAAAATTAATTCAATTTTAAAAGAAGTGCGTTTACGATTTTTGTAAATAGACGAACTTGAAAAGGTTTTAACTTGAAATTTTAGAATATTTCCATTTCTAATAATGAATTTAATCAGAAATGTTAAAGAACTAAGATTTTTGAAAAATGTAAATAATTCTAATTCTTCTGAAATTAATTACATTTTTTAATATCATATTTATTTAATTATTGAAAAAATGGACTTAAAGTAGAATTTTAGTCAAAAACACAAAAAAAAATGTAATTTTGGAGAAGTTACAATTATTTGGAGAATTTCAATTATTTTCAAAAATTTGCCACAATTCAATGATTTTCAATATCTACTATTTTAATAAAATTTTCCAAAAGAATTCAATTATTTAAAAAAAATTCTACGCAAACATTTAATTATTTTCATAAATAATAAAAATTTCAAAGGAATTCAATTATTTACAAATTGTTTAAGAATTTCTTCGCAATAATTCAATTATTTTCATAAATTGTAAAATTCTTGGAAATTCAATTATTTTCATAAATTGTAAAATTCTTGGAAATTCAATTATTTTCATAAATTGTAAAATTCTTGTAAATTCAATTATTTTCATAAATTGTAAAATTCTTGGCAATTCAATTATTTTTGTAAATAATAAAATTCGTCTGAGAAATTCAATTATTTTCAAATATAATTTAAATAAAATTTCTAGGAAAAAATTCAATTATATTTCAATATATTAATTAAATTCGATTATTTTCAAAAATTTTAATATAAATTCAATTATTTTCAACAATTTTGATAAAATTCTTTTTAAAAAATCGTTATTTTCAAAATTTTTAATAAAATTCCTTCAAAAAATTCAATTATTTTCAAAAATTCAGATAAATTTCTTCGAAACGATTCAATTATTTTTATGAATTGTAAAATTCTCCGCAAGAATTCAATTATATTTGTAAATAAGAAAATTCTTCGCAAGAATTACATGATTTTCATAAATAAGAAAATTCTGCATAGAAATTCAATTATTTTCATAAATAATAAAATGTTTCAAAGAAATTCAATTATTTTCAATACAATTTTAATAAATTTTCTCGAAAGAATACAATTAATGTAAAAAATATTATTTAAATTCAATTATTTTCAAGAATTTTAATAAGAATTCAATTATTTTCAAGAATTTTAATAAAAATTCAATTATTTTCAGGAGTTATAATAAAAATTTAATTATTTTCAACAAATTCTGATATAAAATTCTTCGAAACAATTCAATTATTTTTATAAATTGTAAAATTCTTGGCAAGAATTCAATTATTTTTATGTAAATAATAAAATTCTTCTAAGAAATTCTATTATTTTCAGATACAATTTTAATAGAATTTCTAGGAAAAAATTCAATTATATTCAAGATAATTTTAATAAAATTTCTCCAACAGGTTTAATTATTTTTAAAAATTGTAATAAAATTTTTCTAAACAATTCAATTGTTCTCAATACAATTTTAATTGAATTTCTCGAAAAATGTAAATATTCTTGATAAATTCATCAAATTTAGTGAAAACAATTCAATTATTTAAAAAATTTGTTGATAAACTTCTTTGAGAGAATTCAAATTTAAGAAATATTCAATTATTCAATATTTAGTTTTGTATTTAAATAATTTTAATTCTCGTAGAATTTTCTAATAAAAATTGATTTAATATGAGTTTTAGTTAAAATTTAGATAAATAATTGAATATTAAAATTATTGTTGCGCAAAATTTTTCGAAATAATTGAATTTTGAAAAGTTTTAAATTAAAATCTCGAAAAATCTGAATTTTTCATATCTTTTATTAATTTTATAGAAATTAGTGAAATTTTTTTGAATTATATTCAATTATTTCTAAAGTTTAATTCTTCGAAAAAATTCAATTATAAATAATAAATTTCTTTTCTCAGAAATTGAATTATTTTTTAAGAATTTTAATAAAATTCTTTGTAATTTTAATAAAATTCTTTGTAAAATTAAATTATTTTCATAAATAACAATATTTACCAGAAGAATTTAATTATTTTCAAAAGTATTAAACTTCTTTTTGTCAATTCAATTATTTTCAAAAATTTTATGAAAATTCTTCGCAGGAATTTAATTATTTTAACAAATAATCAAATTTTTCACTGGAATTTCATTATTTTAAAAAATTTCAATAAAATTCTTCTCAAGAATTAAATTATTTCATAATTAATAAAATTCTTTTAAGATTCAACCATTTTTAATACAATTTTAAATTAATTCTTCGAAAATTGTTATTTTATTCTTAAAAATTTTATTAAAATTCGTCGAAAGATTTAAATATTAAGAAACATCCAGTAAATTATTTGTTTGCATTTTATTTGTATTTAAATAATTGAATTCTCTCGTGGAGTTTTTGTAATAAAAATTGATTTAAAAATCAATTTCAGTTAAACTTTCATAATGGAATATTAAAAGCATTATTAGCTTGAATTTTTAGAAATAATTGAATTTTAAAAATGTTTCAAATTAAATTCTTTGAGAATTTGAATTTTTCCGACTTTTAACTAACAATTCTGTAGAATTAATTTTTTTGAAAAATTTTAATTGAATTTTAAAAAAAAATTATTTTAGGCTTTTATTTTCTAATATATAATTATTATATTTAATTTTCCAAAATTATTAAAAATAATGATGATTAAATATTTATTTAAAGAAGAAGTTATTGGTGTTTTTTTAAAAAATAGAGAAATTCGTAACTAAATGTAATATAACTTTTTTTGAGTGTTTAATAATTTTGTGAGCGAATCAGAATATTTTTTTAGGACTAGGGGAAAAAAAATAAAAATTTTGTTTAAAAATTAGCGAAAAGTCAGGAAAAAGCAAACAAAAATTATTTTCAAAAAATGGTAGGACAAAAAAGAAAAAAGGATTTAAAAAATTTGGTATAAGGAAATAGAAAAAATGATTTCAAAAAATTAGTAAAAGGAAAGAAAAGTGATTTTAAAAAATTGATAAGAAAAAAGAGAAAATGATTTTAAAAAATTGATATAAGAAAAAAGGAAAAAAGATTAAAAAATTGTTAAATAAAGAGAAAACTCACTTGACTTGGGAAATATCGGTGAGTATATCGGAGACATTTCCCTCTGTCGAACTACAACTAGAAGACGAGGTCGATGAATATGGAATGAGAGAAATTTTCTTTGTTATTTCACTCGAACTCTCGGCATTTTCAATATTAGCGGTGGCACTGGTTTTTCCTTCGTTTTCAATTTTTCTCTTTCCCTCATCACTTTTTCCCAATGTTGGCGTCGTCGTCGTTGTTGCTGTTGTTGTTGCTGCTGCTGACGTTGTCGACGTCGTTGTCGTTATCGTCTTCTCACCTTTTTCCGACTTTTCCGACTCCAATTTTGGCTTTAATTTCCCGTCTTGCGTGGGAAAACTGACGCTCGGCAAACTTATCAACTTATCGCCCTTCGACGTTTTCTTCATTAATTCAATTAATAATTTCGAGATCTCCTCACGTTTCCTCGTCACCACTATTTCCTCGAACCAATTTCTCAATATTTTTATTGGCAGTGTGTAATCCTTAATTGGATCCTGAAAATTTCGTTAAATTAATAAAATCAATAAAAATAATAAAATTAATAAAATTAAAAAATTTATTAATTAAAAAAAATTTATTTATTTATTAATCAAAAAAAATTTATTTATTTATTTAAACCTTTCGAAATCTATTTCCAAAAATTGCAATTTCGTTTGTGTTTTAGAAGTTTTAGTATTTTTTCCGCTTCTTTTTTGTTTTGAAAGAACTAAAAGAAATTTCTTTCGAAAAAAATTAATTTAATTGATTTTGATTCAATTCTTTTCTTTTCGTTTTTTTTTTTTTGTTTAAAAAAAAGAAAAAAGTTTTGCTTCAGTTTCTTTTTTTTGCTTTGAAGGAACTAAAGAAGTTTCTTTGATTTTTACTCCATTTTTTTCGCTTTTTGGTTTAGAAGCAAAAAAAAAGAAAAAAAAATTATAAGCAGAGAAAAGGGAATTAAAAATCGAAATTATAAAAATTACCTTGAAAAAACTTTCGACGTATTGTAATACATAGACTCCACAGTCGATGAAATTCGATTGCTGTGGGACTTTTGGACTGGCGCCTTTTATAGTATCTTTGGAAAATACTTTTTCCGAGCCCATTTTTGCGATGTGCTCGCAGAAAAGATAGTCGCGTAATGTTGCGACGACACGACATCGACTCGCACCGGCCAACGAGTCGAAAATCAGAATACAAGGTCTGAAAAAATAAATCAAACAAACAAAAATTAGACAAAAGAAATTTTCCCAAAAATTAATTTTTTTCCTAAATAATTATTTTTTATTTTAATTTAAATGATTTAACTTTAACTTACAATTTTTCTGTTTTTTCCTGAGATGCTTGTTGCTCCTTCAGATTCGCATCTTCTTCCATTTCGTCCTTAAAAGACAAAGAAAAAGAATTATTAATTAATTTTTTTTTCAAACTTAAATTAATCTAAAACAATAGGTATAAAAAAAATTAATCCAAAAAATCGAACAAAAAATAAGAAATTTCTGCTATAAATCCATTTTTTATAAAACAATTTTCGGAAAAGTTTTTTTTGAGTATTCAATTCACTATTGTAGAAGAGGAAAGAAAATACTATGAAATTTCGAAAAAACGAACAATTTTAATGTTTTGCCAAAAAACGGGGCAAAAGAATAAAAAGGACATTTTTTTTAGTAAAAATTCAAAGTCAAAACTTTGGCTAATTTTGGCAAAATTTAAAGCCTAAAACTTCATGAAGTGAAAATTTAAATCTAAAAATAGTAAAAAGTAACAAAATAAAAACAATTTGAAATTGAAAAAATACTGAATATTGGAACTAAAAATAGTTAAATCAGATTTACCACCAAAATTTAAATTTTTAAAGACAGAATACTGTCATTTTTCGAAGAATTCATTTAAAATTGTATTAAAAATAATTGAAATCCTAAATTATATTATTTATAAAATAATTGAATTCTTGAGAAGAATTTTATTAAAATCTTCTAAATAATTAAATCCAGTGAAAAATTTGATTATTTTTTGAAAATAATTGAATTCGTTGGAAGAATTTTATTAAAATTTTCAACAATAATTGAATTTCTACGAAGAATTTTAATACTTTTTTTTGAAAATAATTGAATTCTTCTGGTTTTTCAAAAAAAATTAGTTTTACAAATTTATTAATTAAAAGTATAAAAAATTCAGAATTTTAAAGATTTTAATTTAAAACATTTTTAAAATTCAATTATTTTGAAAAATTGACGTAATAATGCTTTTAATATTCAATTATTATCTAAAATTTTAACTAAAATTTGCTTTTAAATCAATTATTTTTAAAAAATTCTGCGAGAATTAAATTATTTAAATACAAAAATAAATAATTTATTGAATAATTCAATGTTTCTTATTAATTGAATTTTCATTACGAATTTTATGAACAAATTTTTAAATAATTCAATTCTTAATTCTTTTGACGATTTTAAATAAAATTGTACTAAAAATAATTGGATTCCTAAAGAAAATTTTATTATTCATAAAAATAATTGAAGTTTTATTCAAAATTTTGAAAATTGAATCTTTTTGAACATTTTTATTTAAATTTTTGAAAATAATTATATTAGTTCCAGAATTTTTTTTAATTTTGAAAATATAATTAAATTTTTTTAGTAAATTTCATTACATTTATAGTAAAAATAATTTAATTCTCCCAATTTTATTCATATTTTTAATTATTTTTGAAAATAATTGAATTTCGACGAAGAATTTGATGATTTATGAAAATAATTGAATTATTGAGAAGAAATTTTATTATTTATGAAAATAATTGAATCCCTGGGAAATTTTTATTATTTATGAAATGCCAAGAATTTTATTAAAATTTTTTAAAACAACTGAATTTCAGAGAAGAATTTTATTATTTATATAAAGATAATTGAAATTTTGACGAGAATTTAAAAAAAATTTTGAACATAAAATTTAATTTCTGCGAAGAATTTTATTACTTTTGAAAATAATTGAATTTCTCAGAAGAATTTTATGATTTACAAAAATAATTGAATTCTTGACAAGAATTTTACAATTTATAAAAATAATTGAATAATAATTGTATTCTTTGGAAAAATTTTATTAAAATTGTATTGAAAATAATTGAATTACTCCGAAATATTTTATTATTTATCTGAATTGTTGAAAATAATTGAATTTATATTAAAATTCTTGAAAATAATCGAATTTAATTAATATATTTAAATATAATAAATTGTATTTTTTGCTAGAAATTTTATTTAAATTATATTGAAAATAATTGAATTTCGAAAAAGAATTTTATTATTTATATGAGATAATTGAAATTTTGACGAGAATTTTTCAAAATCTTTTGAACATAATTGAATTTTGTGATAAGAATTTTATTACTTTTTAAAATAATTGAATTTTTTCAATTATTTGTAACTTCTCCAAAATTCAATTATTTTTTTTTACTGTTTTTAACTAAAATTTTTCTATAATCTATTATTTTTAATAATTAATTAAATATTACAAAAATTTAACTAATTTCAGAAGAATTTGAATTATCATGAAATTTTTCAAAAATCTATACGTTTTTTAAAATTATTTCTGAAATTTTAAATTGTAACTTTTTGAAGTTCATCTATATACGAAAATTGTTAACGCAACTCTTTTAAAATTCAATTATTTTTGAAATATTTGAGTAAATTTTTTTCATTAAATAATTGGAATAAAAATAGTAAAAAGCAAAAAAAAACAGTAAAAATGTAATAAACATAGAAAAAAGTAAAAAAAAACAGTAAAAAGTATAAAAGATTAGTAAAAATGGAATAAAAATAGTAAAAAGTGAAAAAAATAGTAAAAAGTATGAAAAATTTAGTAAAAATAGTGAAAAGTATAAAAAATTTAGTAAAAATGGAATAAAAATAGTAAAAAGTATAAAAAATTTAGCAAAAATGGAATAAAAATAATAAAAAGTAAGAAAAATAGTAAAAAGTATAAAAAATTAGTAAAAAGTGTAGAAAATGAGTAAAAATGGAATAAAAATAGTAAAAAGTATAAAAAATTTAGTAAAAATGGAATAAAAATAATAAAAAGTAAGAAAAATAGTAAAAAGTATAGAAAATTAGTAAAAAGTGTAGAAAATTAGTAAAAATCGAATAAAAATAGTTTAAAGAAAAAAAAACAGTAGAAATTGAATAAAAATAGTAAAAAGTATAAAAAATTAATTAAAAATAGAAGAAAGTAAAAAAAAAATAGTGAAAAGTAAATAAATAGTGTAAATCGAAAAAAAGCCGGAAAAATGATCAGAAAAACATTGAAAAATAAAAGAAAAAAAAAGAAAATACTGAACTGAACAATAAAAAAAAAACTGTAATAATAAAAAAAAAGTACCAAACTTACATCATCCTCGCTATCCATTTCCATTTCCTCATCATCGCCCTCAGCCTCATCCCGCTCAGATCCATCATCACCTTGATCAATAGTAATTGTCGTCGTGACCGGCGTAATTGTCGTATTTCCAATTTGCATCGATTGAAGTTTCACTTCCTTTAATCGCTTACTTCTATGTACATTATTTTTCTGCTCCGCCGCCTCTTTCTCACTTGCACTTTTTGTCAATATTTTCCCCACTAAACCGGGAAAGCATATTATCGCAAGAAACCAATGAGCATGTTCATTAATTGGAATAACAATAAAGTCTTTTTCAAATATATTCACATTTTTCGTCCACTTTTGCACGCGCGCATGACGCTTGCCGGCTGCGGTTTGCGGCATATTGCTGTCCATTGCCGCCGACGCGTGCGGACTTGTTAAACGCTTATAGAAATACGAACTAAACACGTGGGTGCGATTGCGATCTTCCTCGGAGAGAATTTCCGATGTTAAATACTTTAGGTAAAAATCAATTATCACATCGTTGAGAAATTGATCTTCGCCGAGGCAAATGTAGTCCTCGGTGTTTATAGCGATGCCACCTTTTGCTGGCGGCGGTGGATACGTTGTTATTCTGAAATTGAGACAAAAAAAAAATATATTCTTTTAAATATTATCAGTAAAAATATAAAATTAAACTGTAATCTATTAAACTAGAAACTAAAAGTAATCATTATTTTTATATTTTATTGATTATTAGTATTAAAAATTCAACACTCAATTAATTATTATCAGTATTATTTTTTCATCGTAACAAAATTAATTTTTTTAATAAAACTTACGTCTGAATGACACCGTTGGCATTGGTATTGGCGTGAGAACTACTTGTCTGGTTACTGGAACGTCTAGAAAGAACTTGTTGAATACACTGAAAAAAAACCAGTTATTCACTCTTAAATTCTGTCCAGATGGAAACATTAAAATTAAGCAAACAAAAAAAAATCGATTAGAAATTTTAGGCGTAATATTTCAATCGAAAAGAAATAAATGAAGAAAAAACATAAAGAAAATTAATTCTTTAGTTAGAGAATAAATTATTTCCAAGCCAATTTTTTTTATTTAATAAAAAGAATCAATAAAGAAAAATTATATTTTGTAATTTAAGATTTTTTAAAAAAAATTTTTCGTATTTCTTATTTTAGGAAAAGTGGGAAAAAGGTTAGTCAACTCACGTCTTTTGGCGAAGCTCTAACGAGAATGTCGTTAGCCTCCTTCGGGCTTAATTCCTCCAATTTACCCTCGTACAATGTCTTCAATATTGACTTTGATTCTTCATTTATTCTATCGGGCAAAAGTGTTATTCTTTTGTGCGTATGATCTGTAATAAGAACAAAATCCAATTTTTCATTTCCCTTCAAACTAAAGTTTCAAAATACATTTTTTATTTCAATTACATTTTTTTCTTCCATATTCAACTTTCATTGAACGTATTAAAATATTTATTTTTCATACTAATTAGAATACTTATTTTTCAAAACTAATTCGAATATTTATATTACATATTAATTTTCAAATATTTAATAATAATATTTAGTTATTAATTAATAAAATTTCTCGAAAGAATACAATTACTTTTTAAAATATTAATTAAAATCAATTTTCAAAAATTCAATTATTTTCGACAATTTTGAAGAAATTCTTTTAAAAAAATCATTATTTTCAAAATTTTTTATAAAATTTATATAAAATTTATATTTTTATAAATTAATAAATTCTTCGCAAGAATTCAATTATTTTTATAAATAAGAAAATTCTTCACAACAATTAAAATATTTAAAATAAATAATAAAATCCTTCAAAGGAATTCAATTATTTATTTACATTATTATTTTTTTTCATAAATAATAAAATATTTCCAAGGAATTCAATTATTTAATTATTTTCAAAAATTTTAATAAAATTCTTGTCAAAATATCAATTATTTTCCAAAATTTTCCCCAATTCAATGATTTTCAATATCTACTATTTTCATACAATTTTTCGAAAGGAATTCAATTATTTAAAAGAAATTTTAATAAAATTCTATGTGAATTTAAATTATTTTCAAAATTATTTAATTTTGAATTGAATATAATTATTTTTACGAAATTTGATGAAATTCTTTTTAAAAAATGTAATTATTTACGAAAACTCTAATAAAACTGTTTAAAAGAATTTAATTTTCTATCAATAAATTTAATATAACCTAATATAGGAACTACTTGAAAGAAATTCTTCATAAAATTCAATTTTCTTCAAAATTTTCAGTAAAAATTACTAAAAAAAACTTTATTTTAAAGAATTTTAATAAAAATCCTTCCAAGAATTAAATTATTTTCAATACAATTTTAATTAGGTACATTTTCTAGAAAGAATCTTCTGAAAATAATTGAATTCTTGAATAGAATTTTATGAAAACTTTTATAAATAATTGAATTCCTGCCAAAGAAATTTATTATTTCTGCAAATAATTAAATTTTTGACAAATTTAAAAAAAAAATTTATTGACATAATTGAATTTTTTCCTAGAAATTTTTATTTAAATTGTAAATAATTGAAAATAATTGAATTTCTCAAAATAATTTTATTATTTACAAAAATAATTGAATTCTTGCCAAGAATTTTCCATTTTTTAAAAATAATTGAATTGTTTCGAAGAATTTTATATCAGAATTGTTGAAAATAATTGAATTATTATTAAAACTTTTGATAATATTTGAATTTATATAATATTTTAAAAAGTAAGAGAATTTTTTAGAAGAATTTTATTATTCTGTATTTAAAATAATTAAATTCCTGTGAAAAATTTACTAAATTAATTAATATTATTCAATTCTTTCAAAGAATTTAAAAAAAAAAATGTTTAAAAATAATTTAATTTTCCCTGGAATTCAATTAAAATCGTATTTAAAATAATTTAATTTTATCGGAGAATTTTTAAAAGATTTTTAAAAATAATTGAAATTTTCGAAGAAATCGATTAAAAATGTAATTGAGAATAAATGAAATTCTGATAAAAATTTTACTGTTTACATAAAAATATTTGAATTTTTTAAACGAAGATTTTTATTACTTATAAATTGAATTTTTGCAAAGAATTTTAATAAAATTATTGAAAATAATTGAATTCTTCATAAAATTCAATTACTTTCAAAATTTTCAGTAAAAATTATTTTTAAAAAACTCCACTATTGTTAAGAATATTGAAATAAATTCTTCAAAACAATTCAATTATTTTAAAGAATTTAAAAAAAAATCTTGCCAAGAATTAAATTATTTTCCATAAAATTTTAATTACATTTTCTCGAAAGAATTTAATTATTTCCATAAATAATAAAATTCTTTGAAGAAATTCAATTATTTTCTAATTATTTGATGAATTCAATTTGTAAGAATTCAATGATTTTCAGTACATTAATTTTAAAATTTAAAACTTCTAAAAATAAAAATTATTTAAAAAGTTAGGAAACAAAAAAACAATCTGCGAACAGATTACCGGAATTCAACGATTATTAATATAGATTTTATCAATTATTTTTGTATTTAAATAATAATTTTATTTTTTACTTTAAATAATTATTTTTTTATGATATATATTTTTTTTAAATTGTAATTAAAAATTTGGAAAATTTAAATATACCTAGTCCTAAAGAAATAAAAAAAAAAATGAAATTAAAGTATTACCTTTACTTGCAGGGTCGAAATACGGTCCTTTTGGATCCTGCATTCCTAGGACGTCCCGTATCATGACTCCAGTTGCTGTTGTTGTATAGAAAAATAGAACTGGCATCGCTTTTCCAAAATGAACTAATAGGCGGACAATGTGCTTAAATTTCACGTCGACGGTCACTAATTTTTTATCTATCAAAGAAAAAGAAGAAGAAAAAGGAAAATTAACATTTTTCATATGAAAATAGAAAAAAATATGATACAGTAATTGATAGAAAAAAAAATAATAATTTTTATATCAAAGTAGAAAAAGCTAACAATTTCTGTATCGAAATAGAAAAAAAAATTAAGAATTTCTAAAGGAAAGAAGAATAAAAAATTAAAAATCTCCATATGAAAATGGAAAAAGTAATTCATTTCTAAATATTAAGGTGAAAAATTAAAATACTTTTTCACTATAAATAATAATGTAAAAATTGAATTTGAATTTGAATACTCACGATCTTCTAAAAATGGAACATTAAGGCGCAAACCACGTTCCGATATTATGACATTCTCAACCGGAACATATTTATAGGAACCTATCCTCACAGTTCGACAGTGAAGTAAAGTGTGAATTGTGTTTGTCGGACATTCCGTTATTTGATCATCGGAATCGCGTTCTGTACCTGAAAGCAGCAATTTTTCAACTTCTCTCTTTACTGTTTCGAATAGATAAGTTTTTAATTACAGAATAAAAATAAAAAAGGAATCGGAAAGGAAACCCCAAAACAAAATTCAAAGAAAAGTTAAAAAAAAAGCACAGAAGGAAACATATTTTTCAAAATAGAAAAAAATATTTTCCAAATATTTAAAACAAGAAACAGCCAATTTTTTTGCTTTTGCAATTTTTTTTTTGCTAAAGAAGAGAAAACATTTTAAAAAATAAAACTAAAACTATTAAATAAATAAAACTATAAATATAAATAAATAAAAAGAATAAACAAAAAAAGATGCTTTAAAAAGACAAAAAATATTTTTAAAAACGCGAAAAAAAATTCTAAATACAAAAAAAAGAAAATAAAAAAATAAAATATAAAAATTTCTGTTCAGTTTGAAGGATAACCGAAGGAACCAAAAACAGGGATCACAGTAATTTTTCTTCTTTTACTTCTTTGTTTTTTCTTATATTAACATTTTTAATAATTAATTAATTAAGTAGATGAATTATTTTCCGAAAGGAGGTGAGAAAGAAAAAGTTGCGTTAAAAAGATAAACGTACGTTTTTCGAAGAAAAATATAAAGAAAGAATAGAAAAATAGAAATAAAATAGAAAAATACAAAAATATAGAAACAGAAAAAAATAGAAACTACAAGAAAACAGAAACGTACAAAAAATAGAAATATTAAAAAAATATTAAATAGAAAAAATAGAAAAATACAAAAAATAGAAAAAAATTAAAAAATACAAAAATATAGAAAAGTACAAAAAATAGAAATATTAAAAAAAATTTGAAATAGAAAAAATAGAAAAATAAAAAATACAAAAAAAATTTAAAAACACAAAAATATAGAAAAAATAGAAACTACAAGAAAACAGAAATGTACAAAAAATAGAAATATTAAAAAAATATGAAATAGAATAAATAGAGAAATACGAAAAATAGAAAAAAAGTTTTAAATTACAAAAATATAGAAACAGGAAAAAATACAAAAAATAGAAATAGTAAAAAAATAAAAAAATACAAAATACAAAAAAAAATAAAAAAAGAAAGAAGAAAATATATAAATGAAAAACTGTGATCCCTGCAAAAAAGCAAAAAAATACTCCGCAATAAACATTGAAAAATCATTCAAAAAAAAAGAAGATACATTTCTTTAACTTTTTTTGTTTGTTTTAAATTGACTATTATTTCTCGAACCTTTAATGCCTTCTGACGCGTTGGCACTTTGATTCGTTATTACTGGTTCCTTTTCCAAAATCATTTCCGATTCTTCCATGTTCATACCTTCGTTAATTCCGGAAAATATTCTACTCGCTCCTTCTTTCTTTACAGTCTTCTCGTTCTCGTGCTCCTCGTCCGAAGAAATTATTAGACACTCTGTCGAAAAAAAAGAACAGGAATTTTACTATTTATTTCTTTTATTTTTAATATTTTTTCGTTTTTATTTTATTTTTACTACTTTTTTATTTTTGGTTTTTACTACTTTTTTTTATTTTTACTATTTATTTATTTTTCGATCCTTTAATTAAAATAATGGACAATTTGATTCCAGTTCTATTTGAACAAAAAAAAAAATAAAAAGAAATCACTAAATATTTATTTTTCTCCGTTTAATTTTTTTGTTTAATAATCAAAAAAAGTTTAAAAAAACAATTACCTGGTTCTTTTATTGGTTTCCGACCCCGTGCTCCACCTCTTCCTCTTCCACGTCCCCTGGCTGGCGTTGCTTCTCTCTCCAATTTCTCCCCCTTACTTGGAGTCATATCGACTTTCTTATAAAAATTCTAAAAAAAAACAATGCAAATTCAAAATAAAAAATAAGTAAAATAATTTTTACAATTCAAAATTTTTTTTTTAAAAAATACAGAAGAAAAGAGGAAAATATTTTGAAAAGTATAAAAAATTATTTTCAAAATAGAAAAACAATATTTTAAAATTAAAAAATACGAAAAATAGAAAAAAAATATTTGGGCATAGAAAAAAAATATTTTAACAATACAAAAAATATAAAAAAATATTTTGAAAAATACAGGCTTCGCACTCGATAATTACTTTTAAAAAGTGCAAATAGTAACGGAAATTATATTTAAAAACTATTTATAAATAATAAAAATTTTCGTACAAAAATTCAATTATTTTGAATTAAATAATAAAATTCTCATCTGAATTTCACTTATTTTCAATTTTTAATTCCATTTTTAATTGATTTCATTGGATAATTTCAATTATTTTTTCAAAATCTTGAAAAAATTCTCCGAGAAAATTCAATTATTTCAACAAAAAAAGAGAATTGAATTTTTCCCAGGAGTTCAATTATTTAAAAAACTTTTAATAAAATTCAATTCAAGAATTCAATTATTTTCATAAAAATAATGAAATTTTTTATTATTTTATTATTTAAAAAAAAATAATTAAATTTTTCACAAGAGTTCAATTATTTCAAAAACTTTTAATAAAATTCTTCTTAGGGATTCAATTATATGTTCGCTGAAATTAAATTATTTTAAATCCAATTTTACTTGAATTGCGGGTAAAATTAAATTATTTTTAAATTCTTCGTAAGAATTCAATGACTGCAATAAATAATCAATTTTTTCCTGGAATTCAATTATTTTAAATACAATTTTCATAAAATTCTTCTCAAAAATTCACTTTTTTTAAATTTGGCAAAAAATCAATTATTTGCAGAAATAATAATTTTTTTTGACAGGGATTCAATTATTTAAAAAAGTTTTAATAAAATTCAAGATCAAGAATTCAATTATTTTCAGAAAGAATTGAATCTTCGATGTACTGAAATTCATTGAATTCTTGTAAAGTGTTTATAAAAAAATTTGAATATAATTGAATTCATTTCAAGAATTTTAGCAACACTTTTTCAATTAATTGAATTTTTTCGAGAAAATGTCATTACAATTGTATTGAAAGTAATTTAATTCTTATAAAGGTTTTTATTAAAATTCTTTAAAATAACGAAGTTTTTTTAATAACTTTTACTGAAAATTAAAAACCAATTGAATTTTATAAAGAATTTCTTTCAATTTTTTAAAATATTCGTGTTTATTATTAATTGTAATTAACGATTTTTCTATTAAATTCTATTAAAATTATTCATAGAAAATTAAATTCTTTTTTTTTTTAGATTTTTTGTAAATAATTACATTTTTTAAAAGAATTTCATTAAATTTCTTAATTTTTTTGAAAATAATTTTAATTAAAAAAATTTTTAAAATAATTGTAATTTGCAAAAGAATTTTATTAAAAACATTTGAGAACAATTGAATTGTTTAGAAAAAATTTATTAAAATTAGCTTGAATCTAATTGAATTCTTTCCTAGAAATTTAATCAAAAAATTGTATCAGAAAATAATTTAAGTTCTCAGAAGAATTTTATTATTTACAAAAAGTAATTGAATTCTTCCCAAGAATTTTACAATTTAAAGAAATAATTGAATTGTTTCGACAAATTTTTTATCAGAATTAATAAAAATAATTGAATTTTTGGAAGTAATTTTTATTCAAAATTTTTAAAATTGAATCTTTTTGATTAATTTTTTTTCAAACTTTTAAAAATAATTGAAATCATTCAAGGAATTTTTTTTTTAATTTTGAAAACAAATAAATTGCTTTGGAGAAAATTAATTACAATTAAAGTAAAAATAATTGAATTCTTTTATTTAAATTTTTCAAAATAATTGAATTTTTGCTAAGAATTTTATGTAATTTTTAGAAATAATTCAATTCTTTTTGAGAAATTTTCCTAAAATTATATATTGAAAATAATTGAATTCTTGACAAGAATTTGACAATTTATAAAAATAATTGAATTGTTTCGAAGAATTTTTTATCAAAATTCGTTGAAAATAATTGAATTTTTATTAAAAACTCTTGAAAATAATTGAATTGTTTTAAAGAATTTTTTATAAAAAATTTTGATAATAGTTGAATTTTAGCTATGAATTTTAATCAAAATTTATAGAAAATAATTGAATTCTTTCAAAAAATGTTATAAAAATTGTATTTCAGAAAATAGTTATAATACTAAAAATAATAATAATTATTTAGAAAATAATTGAATTCTTTCAAAAAAATATTATGAAAATTGTACTTCAAATAATTGAATTTCTGTGAAAATTTTATTATTCATGAAAATAATTGAAGTTTTTGCAAAGAATTGTAATAAAATTGTTTTTTAAAATAATTGATTTCTTTTGTGAAATTTTATTAAAATAGTCGATATTAAAAATAATTGAATTTCGTAAAAAATTTTCATTATTTGGGAAAATAATTGAATTCTTCACAAAAAAATATTCTTCAAATTTCTGAAAATAATTGAACAGTTTCAAAGAATTTTATTCAAAAATTTTTTGAAGTGTTTCTAAGAGTTTTATTAAAATTCTTTGTGAATAATTTCTTTTTTCAACTACTAGCGAATTTAAAGTAGTGCAAATTCTAAAAAAAACGAAAAAAAGTAGTTGAATGCAAAGCCTGAAAATAAAAAATATACAAAGAAGAATATTTTGGAAAATACAAAAAAATACAAAGAATTTTGTATTTTGTAAAAATACAAAGAATTTTGTATTTTATAAAAGTACAAAGAATTTTGTATTTTATAAAAGTACAAAGAATTTTGTATTTTGCAAAAGTACAAAGAAGTTTGTACTTTAATTTAATTTTATATTTTTCTAAATACAAAAAATGTAAAAAAAATAATTTGGAAAAATACCAAAAAAAAAAATATTTTGAAAAATTCAAACAAATATTTGCAAAAATTGTATTTTGAAAAAAATACAAAAATATATTTAAAAAATAAAATCACAAAGAAGATAAATGTATAAAATTGTTTTTCCTCAAAAGAGACAATCATCAGCCGACAATAGGGGAAGTCCAGATATAACAATATGAATATTTGTATTTCTTTTTTTTTTGTTTACATTTTGGAAAAAAAGAAGAAAAAAAATCAATTTCGTTTTGAATTTTCCTTACGTCGTATGGAAGGCTATCCTTGGCATCCTTGTTTCCGCGTGTATCGGACACCGACTTGACGTTATCGGGCATTTTTCGTTTACATCTCTCACATTGGTTGAACGTTGAGGACAGTACTCCGCAATAAGGACAGACTGCGACCTTTCCCTCCACATACTTTGGCTCCTGCTCCCACAAAAATTCTTAATGACTTTACTTTACTTTAACGAAATTATAATTCGAGAAAAATGATTTTTCTTTTTTTTTCTTAATTATTTCTTTTCAATGAATTTCGAAAATTGGTCTTCCGCTATGTTCGATTAATGATACATGATTTTTTTTAGTGACAGTGATGATTATTTCAGAGCAAATTTTTCAGGATATGACAAAAATGTGCTTGTTGAAAAAAAAAATAAAAAAAAAAGTGAAAAAAAAAATGAAAAAAAAAATTTTTAATGTAGAAATAAAAAAAATGACACGTTTTTTGAATGAAATATATTTTTAAGAAAATAATTTATGAATAAAAATACTTTTTAAAAACTATTTTCTTCACAATATTTTTCATTTACAAAAATTGTTCTTTAAAAGTACTTTTTTATTTTACAAGTATTTTTATTTAAAAAGTACTTTTATTTAAAAAATAGTTTCTCAAACGTATTTTTCATTTAAAAAATACTTTTTCAAACGAATTTTTCATTTAAAAAATACTTTTTCAAACGAATTTTTCATTTAAAAAATAGTTTTTCAAACGTATTTTTCATTTAGAAAAATACTTTTTCAAACGAATTTTTCATTTAAAAAATACTTTTTCAAACGAATTTTTCATTTAAAAAATAGTTTTTCAAACGTATTTTTCATTTAGAAAAATACTTTTTAAAACGAATTTTTCATTTAAAAAATAGTTCTTTAAAATTATTTTTTATTTCGCAAATATTTTTATTCATAAAGTACTTTTATTTAGAAAATAGTTTAAAATAAAATAAAAATAGTTGATAATTAAAAATAGTTGATAAATAAAAATAGTTAAAATAAAAATAGTTCTTCACAAGAATTTTTATTTATAAACAACTTTTATTTAAAAAATATTTGATTAAAAATGTTTTCCCTTTAAAAAAATAGTTTTTCAAAAGTATTTCTAGAATAAGAAAAAATTCTTTTGAAATAAAAAATACTTGTGAAAAATGATTTTTTAAAATAAAAAATGCTTTCGAAAAACTATTTTTTGAATAACAATAATATTTTTAAGAAAATAAATTTCAAATAAAAGTTCGTTTTCAAAAAAAAAATATTTCGAATCAAAAATGATCCTATTTTTTGCGTAACGAATAATTTACCTCAATTTGTGATGTTGAAGAATTACTATTTTCATCGAACTGGAGACTGAAAAGAAACGAAGAAAAATTATTAATAATCGTATTTTTAAATCCTATTCAATTTTTTTATTTATTCAATTAAATTATTTTAATTGAAATTATAAATATTGTGTAAATTTTTTTGAAATTGCAAAAAAATAATTTCAAAAAATATGAAAGAAAAGTGAAGAGAAGAGAAATAAATAATAAATAAATAAATACCTCATGGTGGGTGAAGGATTACGAATACAATTTTTCGGAAGTTCTTGTGTACGTTTTTGAGAATCATTCTGATCGCTTGATGATTCTGAAGGCGGTTGCACTTCGACAATGTAATTTATCCCCAAAGTTGGATCGTTCACGAGAGAAACTGTATTCTCCGAACCAAATGGAACATTAACCTAGAGAGAAAAAATGAAAAAAAACACAAACACAAAAAACATTAGTTTTAATTTTACAATAAAAATATTCATTTATTTCTCTCAATTTGATAGACGTTTTCATCTGAATATTTAATAGATTACAATTTTTTAATTAAGTAATTAAGAACTTAATTAAAATTTGAAGGTTTTTTTTAAATTAAAAAAAAAAATAGTAAAAAGAATAATTTGGAGTAAAAATAATAAATCCGTTCTTGTCTAATTTTGTCCAATATTTAATAATTTTGTAACATTTTACTTAGTTTTTTCTAAATACTTTTCAGGGCGTCTAATAATTTACTAATCTTTCCTTTATTATAAAATTTAATTAATTCAAAAAATACTAAAAATACTTTTTTTTCACTCTTTCTCCACTTTTTTGAGAATGGAATTAAATTAAAAAAATTTTTATTCAAATCCTAATTGAAAAAAATTACCAAAATTCTTAGTAGACGCCCTATTGATTTATAAATAATTCTTGACAATTAAATTAATAAAAACACAAGCTTTTAATAGATGATTTGAAGCAAATGTGCATTTATGATTGAAACGAAAAATGCAACAGGAATGATTCTAAAGAAAAAAAAAAGGATTACAATAATTACAGGGTTGCCACTTAAATTTGACATTGATTTTCTTGATTATTTTTCAGAAAGAATATTAACATCTTTCCTTATTCTGGTAATAACTGAAAATTTTTCAAATCTTCAGTCAGAATTCTTAAAAAATAACGACATTTTAAAAATTTTAATAAAACTTTGAAAAATAATTCAATTCCCTTCGAAAGAGTTTTATTAAAATTTAATAAAAAAATAATTAAATTATTTCGAGGAATGTGATTAAAATTGCAAATGAATAATATGAATAAAATAAATGAATTTTTATGAAGAAACTTTATCCGATTTTTTTAAAATGATTTGTTTTCTTTGGAAGAATTTTATTCAAAATAAATTAATTTTTATAAGAAATTTTACCAACATTTTCCAAAATAACTGAATTTCTGACAAAAGAATTAAAAAAGAAAAGAAAAAAAGGAAAAGAATTAAATTTTTTTCTTATAAAGAATTTTATTAAAATTTTCCAAAATAATAAAGTTTTTGCGAAGAATTTTATCAAAATTCTTTAAAATAATTAAATTCCAGCGAAAAATTTAATAAATTATGATAATAAAATTGAAATATTGACAAGAAATAAATGAAAATTTTCGAAAATAATTAAATTTTTTTCTCGGACTTTTATTTAAAAGTTTTTTGGTAATATTTCAAATTTCATAATGAATTTAATAAAAAATTTGTAAAAAGAAATTTAATTTTTGTGAATAATTCTATAAAATTTTTAAAAATAATTTTAATTCAATTGAATTGAATTTCATTGAAATTGTAACGAAAATAATTGAATTCCTGCAAAGAATTTTATTGAAATTTTTAAAAGTATCTAATAAAATTTATGTGAAGAAGAATATTATTAAAATTTTTCGAAACAATTAAATTCCTGCGAACAATTTTATAAACTATGAAAATAAATTTAAAATTTTATTGCTACCTATAAATTTAATAAAAATTTTCAAAATTAATTGAAATTTTTCCTTGAATTTAATTGAAAATATTTCAATTCTCAGAAAGAATTTAGTAAAAATTTGTCAAAATATAATTGAATTTTTGAAAAGAATTTTATCAAAATTTTAAAGATAATTGAATTTTTTTGGAGAAATTTCATTGAAATAGTAGGTATTGAAAACAATTCAATTCATGAGAAAAATTTTAATGAAATTTTCGAAAACAATTGAATTTTTTCCTTCAATTTAATTACAATTATAATGAAAATGTTTCAATTCTAATAAAAAATGTAATCAAAATTTTTCAAAATAATAGAAATTTTTGAAAAAATTTAATTTAAATTGTAATAAAAATAATTGAAATCTTGCCAAAAATTAAAAAAAAAATTTTTGAAAATAATTGAATTTTTTCCCTGAATTTAATGAAAATTATATTGAAAATATTTCAATTCTCATAAAGAATTTAATCAAAATTTATCAAAATAATTGAATTCCTGCAAAGAATTGTATTAAAATGTTCAAAAATAATTAAATTTTCTTTCCTGAATCAGAATTTAATTACAATTATATTGAAAATGTTTTTATTTTCATAAAGAATTTAATCAAAATTTGTCAAAATTTTAGAAATAATTCAATTTGTTTAAAGAAATTTTACTGTAATTGAACTTGATTGGACTGAAAATAATTTAATTTTTTTTGGAAAATATTTGAATTTCTGCAAAGAATTTTATAAAATTTTTTTTTAAATAATTGGATTTTTTTGAGAAATTAAATAAAAAATAATTCAATTCCTGCGAGAAATTTTATTAACATTTTAGAAAATAATTGAATTTTTTCGAGGAATTCTATCAAAATTTAAAAAATAATTGAATACTTTTGGAAAAATTTAATTGCTATTGTAATAAAAATAATTGAATTCCTGCGAAGAATTTGATTAAAGTTATCGAAAAATAATTGACTTTTTTTAGAGGAAGTTAATTAAAAATATATTTAAAATATTTCAATTCTTATAAATATAGAATTTAATAAAAATTTTTGAAAAAAATTGAATTTTTTTAGAGGAAGTTGTATTAAATATAATTCAATTCCTGCTAAGAATTTCATTGAAATTTTAATAATTAAAATAATATTGAAAAAATTTCAATTCTCATAAAGACTTTAATCTGAATTTGTCAAAATAATCAGATTTTTACGAACAAAAAAAATAATTATCAGATTTATAAATCAGATATTCAGATTTTTAAAAATCATTGAAATCTTTGTAGAAATTTTATTGAAATTGTATTAAAAATAATTTAATTCCAGCGAAGAATATCATTAAATTTTTTAAAAATAATAAATAATTATAATTAATAAGTAAATTAAATTCCTGCGAAACATTTTATAAATTATGAAAATAAAATGGAAATCTTGCTAAGAATTTAATAAAAATTTCAATTCTCATAAAGAATTTAATCAAAATTTGTCAAAATAATTGAATTTTTTCGAGGAATTTTATTAAAATTTAAAAAATAATTGAATTCTTTTGGAGAAATTTCATTGATATTGAAAATTATTCAATTCCTGTGAAGAATTTTCTTGAAATTGTAATAATTAAAATAATACTGAAAAAATTTCAATTCTCATAAAGAATTTAATCTAAATTTGTCAAAATAATTGAATTTTTACGAACAAAAAAATAATCATCAGATTTTTAAATTAAATATTTAAATTTTTAAATTTATTGTAATCGTTGGAGAAATTGTATTAAAAATAATTGAATTCCAGCGAAGAATTTCATTAAATTTTTTGATATCAATAAATAATTATAATTAATTAGTTAATAAATAAATAAATTTTTTTAAATTTTGAATCTAAAATTATTCCAAAATTAATATTTGAAAATAAAATTTTTTTTATCGTTTCATAATAATAATAAATAAAATTTCTGTGACAACCCGGAATTATAAGAAAAATTACCAACTTTCAAAAAAGAACAAAAAAGACGAAACAAAAAAAAACAGACAAACACAAAAAAGGGAAAATGAAAATCAACTGAGAAAGAAACGTAGAAAACAAAAAAAAACGAAAAATGGATGTGTAAAAGGAACGAAAAGCAGACATACCCGTACCTGCTCTAATAGATCCTGAACCGTGCATTCCTCAATTGGAATATCGAACGTAATGAGCCTCTGTTCACCATCGAGCAAGACGACCAGCATCTTGGCGACGTTGCCCGTGATCTGATGCTGCACGATGGCAGTGTGAGGATCGGCGATAACTCTCTGCAAATAAGCGTAACTCTCACTCGAATTTTGCTCACTCGAATCCGATTTCGGTGTACAACTTTGCTGCGTCATTCTCCTCTCCCCGATTTCTTGTTGAATTATCTGCTCATTTTGTTGTTGTTGCTGTTGCTGCTGCAAATTCCCACGAATCGGCGTTCTCTGCCTAGGCGGTGAATTAACAACAATTCGCCTCTGCTCCCCCTTCACCGGACTCATCACCGGCGTCATCATTCTCTGCTGCTGCATCGGTCTCGTCGGCGTCTGCACTCGCATCGAATTCTGCTGCTGCTGCTGCTGCCGATACTGCAAAGGTCTCGCCGTTCCAATAGGTCGTTGCGTTATTATCGGCGTCTTCTGTCCCACATTACGATAAATCGCCTGCTTTTCATTGTGCACCTGATCCTGTTTCAATTGATTTAATTTTTCACGCTTTATTCTCTCGCTCAAATGAGCGATATCGCCTGAATTTAAATTACGATTGAGATTCCGCTGTAGAATGTGGGGTGAATTACGTTGTTGATTTGAATTCATTATTGTATTTTGTTGTTGGGGTCTTATTGTACGTACTATTTGTTGAGTTGTTGTTATTGGTTCATTTGATAGACGTCCACGAACTGTTGCCGTTGGTGGTGAGATGAAACGCGTCACATTTTCGGATTGATTGCGAGGAGTCTGTCCCAATGATGACGACGATGATGATGATGATGATAATGGACTTTTTCCTTTAGCTGAGATAAATCGTTGATTTTTCTTCTCCATGGAGCCATAAACTTGCAGTTCCGGCTGCGAACAATGACCCTGCGTTTGCAGTACAACCTTGAAGAAAACAAAGAAACATTTTTTTGGTCAGTAAAATAATTAGATACTCAAAGAATTCGTTTATTTACGAATTTCTTTAATTGGAAAATTATTTGTAAATACATCAATAACTTTATTTTTAAATAAATATTTAATCATTATTATTTTTTACATAGAAATTAAGATTTTCAAATATTTTAAATTCAAACCTTTTTGAAACGATAAATTTAAAGAATATTATTGGAAAACAAGAAGAAATCGATAACTCTGAGTCTTCGACTCGGAGCGATCGATTTCTTCAAGTTTTATAAAAATTAAAATTAATTAAAATTTTATTAAATTTTATAAAATTAAATGACCGAGTGATAAAATCATTATTTTATATTATAAAAAATATTGTTACCGTACCTTCTTTAAAATTATTTTCATCATTTCAATTCAATTATTATTTTCTAGAATTTCCAACTAAAATTCTTCTTTAAATCAATTTTTTTTTTAAATTTTCTAAAAAGTTCAATATTCAATTTTACGAAATTTCAATTATTCAATTCTCCAAATATAAATATATATTAGAAAATAAAAACTTCAAATAATATTGAAAAAAATCGGCAATTAAACTTCTAAAAAAAATTTATTCATCCACAGAATTGTTAGTGAAATTAATTCCACAAAATTATTAGTTAAAAATATGAAAAATTCAAATTTTCAAAGATTTTAATCGGAAACCTTTTCAAAATTCAATTATTTCTAAAAATTTACGCTCTAATTCTTTTAGTATTCAATTATAATCTAAAATTTTAACTAAAATCCATTTTTAAATCAATTTTTATGACAAAATTCTACTAGAATTCAATTATTTAAAATTTAAATAAAAAAAATTTATCGAATAATTACATGTTTCTCAAAATTCAATTCTTAAAAAATTCTTAAAGAAAAAAAAAATTCTTAAATTTAAAATTCTTGAATTCTTAAAGAATTGTATCAATAAATTTTTAAATAATTAAATTCTTTTGACGAATTTTAATAAAATTTTTAAGAATTTATTCAAGGAATTTGATTAAAATTGTATTAAAAATAATTTGAAATCCAGCGATGAATTTTATTATTTTTGAAAATAATTAAATTGCTAACAATTTTTTTTTAAATTTTCAAAAATAATTGAATTCCTGTAAAATTTTTATTATTTATAAAAATAATTCAAATTTTGCCAAGAATTTTATCAAAATTTTTGAAAATAATTGAATTTCGAAGAAGAATTTAATTATTTCTAAAAATAATTGAAATTTTGCCGAGAATTTAATAAAAATTTTTGAAAATAATTGAATTTTTGCGAAGAATTTTATTACTTTTGAAAATAATTGAATTCTTACAATCATTTGAAATTTCTCTAAAATTCAATTATTATCTAAAATTTTTAATAAAATTCATTTTTAAATCAATTTGTAATAGAAAATTCCAAGAAAATTCAATTATTTAAATTAAAAAATAAATAATTTATTGAATAATTGAATAATTGTTAAAAATGGAATTCTCATAAAGAATTTTATCAATAAATTTTTAAATAATTGAATTCATTTGACAAATTTTAATAAAATTTTTAAGAATAATTACATTCATCCAGGAATTTGATTTAAAATATTGTATAAAAAATAATTAAAATCCAGCGATGATTTTTATTATTTATCAAAATAATTAAAATTTTCCTAAGAATTTTATTAAAATTTTCATAAAATAATTCAATGTAGGAGAAGAATTTTATTATTTATAAAGATACTTGGAATTTTAACAAGAATTTTTTTTTTTAAATTTTTAAACATAATTGGATATTTGCGAAGAATTTTATTACTTTTGAAAAATAATTTAATTCTTCCAACGAATTTTATTCAAATCTATAAAAATAACTGTATGTCTGTAAAGAATTTTATTATTTATATAAATAATTGAATTCTTACAACGAATTTAATTCAAGTTTATAAAAATAATTGAATTTTATTATTTATAAAAATAATTAAATTCTTGAAAAGAACTATGTTAAATTTTTTTTAAATAATTAAATTCTTGCGACGAATTTTATAAAAATCTTTTAAAATAATTGATATTTTTCGAAAAATTTTATGAAATTTTGTATTTTAAATAATTTGAATCCTGTGAAAATTGTATTACTTATAAAAATAATTGAATTATTTCAAAGAAATTTATTAAATATTGAATAATGGAATTCCTGTGGAATTTTGACAAGAATTTTATTAAAATTTTTAAAAATAATTGAATTTCGATGAAGAATTTTATTATTTATAAAGATAATTGAAATTTTTCAAAGAATTTTACAATTTATAAAAATAATTTGTTTCGAAGAATTTTATTAGAATTATTTAAAAATAATTGAATTTAAATAATATTTTTTTTAAATAATTGAATTCTTTCGAGAAATTTTATTAAAATTGTATTGAAAATAATTGAATTCCTCCGAAACATTTTATTATTTATGAAAATAATTGAATTTTTGCGGACGATTTTACATAAAATTCATAAAAATAATTGAATTGCATCGGAGAATTTTATCTGAATTTTTGAAAATAATTTTTTTTTAATAGAATTCCATCAAAATTTTTGAAAATAATTGAATTTTTATTAAATCTCTTGAAAATAATTGAAATTTTATTATAACTCTTGAAAATAATTGAATTTATCCGAAAAATTTTAATATTTATGAAAATAATTAAATTCATTGAAAGAATTTTATCTGAATTTTTTTAAGGAATTTTATTAAAAATTTTGAAAATAACATTTTTTAAATTTAATTTCTTCAAAATAAATAAATCATTGAATTCTAAAAGGAATTTTATTATATATGATATTAATTGAATTCTTGAGAAGAATTTTATTTTATTTGTGAAAATAATTTTATTAAAATTTTTGGATATAATTGAATATCTGTGAAGAATTTTAATACTTTTGAAAATAATTGAATTTTTGTAAAAAATTAAATTAAATTAATTGATAAAATTATTTCATGGTGCAAAATTTTGCTAATTAAAATAATTTTCATGAATAGTACCTATCAAATTGAATTAATTACTAAAATTAATTTCTGGAAATTTCTATTTCATCTATCAACTTTTGGCAGAAATTAAATTCATTAGTGGAATTTTATTATTTACGAAAATAATTGAATTTTTGGGAAGTATTTTTATTAAAACGTTTTTTAAATTATTGAATCGTTTAAAATAATTTCTTTAAAATTTTTGAAAATAATTGAATTTTTGTACAGAATTTTATTATTTGTGCTAAAGTAATTGAATTCTTGCGAAAAATTTCATTAAATTTTTGAAAATAATTGAATTTTTACGAGGAATTTTTTTAAAATTATACTTTAAAAATATTTCAATTCTCATAAAGAGAAATTTTACTAAAATTATATTAAAAATAATTTAATTTTTGCGAGAAATTTCATTATTTATAAAAATAATTAAATTTTTATAAACAAATTTGAACAAATATATTTTTTTTAAATAATTGTTTTTCGAAGAATTTTATTAAAATATTTTAAATAATCGAATGTTTGAGAGAAATTTTTATTAAAAATAATTGAATTTTAGCTAAGAATTTTAATATAAATTTTCGACAATTATTGAATTTTTGGGAAGAATTTTCCTTTTCTCCGGAGATAATTGAATTCTTTAGGTAAATTTTAATTTATAATTTTTGCAAATTATTTGAACTGTTTGGAAGATTTTTATTAAAATTTAATTGAAATTAGAAATTAATTAGGAATTTAATTAAAATTGTATTGAAAACAATTGAATTATTTTCAAAAATTTTATTATCAATGAAAATAATTGAATTTTTTCAAGAAATTTTATTATAATTAAAAAAAATGAGGCAAATAATTGAAATTATTGCGAGAAAGTTTATTAAAATCTTTAATTATAATTGAATTTTTTCTCTTTGGGGGAAATAATTGAATCTCTGCGAGAAATTTAATAAGTGAATATTTTCAATTTTGAATCTGAAATTATTAAAAAAATTGAAGTTCATATTTAAGGGGAAAAAATGTTGTAATTGGTTTAATTAACAAAATAAATTTCCGGGTAGTACAAAATTTAGTTATTTTTTTTGTTCTGTTTTTTATTGTTTTAATTTAGTTTATTTTGCTAATTAAAATAATTTTTTAATTAATGAAATAAAGTAATGAAATTAAATTAATTTCTAGCTACAGTAAAAACTTTGTTAATTAAACCAAAATTTTTGTAAATTTGGTTTTACCAAATTAATTTTATTTACAAAATAAAATTAATTAACAAAATTAATTTCTAGTAATTTCTTTTTTTCCACTGAATTTTTATATAAATAATAAATAAATAATTACCGTTTGCAGATTGTTTTGCTGTTGAAGTTTTGGTTGTGTTTTCAATGAAGTTGATTGCTTCAAAACTGATTCGTAACTGATTTTGTCCTGAACATTTATCCATTGAGCCTGTTGGGCCTCTTGGACATTATTTACCGTTGCCTTTGAATCTGAAATTATATATTCATTATAAAAATAGTAATAAAAAATAAAAATAATAATAATAAAGAAAATTTTTTAAATAGAATAAAAAGAATAGAAAAGAATAAAAAAAAATAACTAAAATTAAAAATAATTAAAAAACAAAAATAAGTAATAAAATTAAATTTGAAATAAATTTTAGACAAAAATTTTTGTTTCCTTTCTCACCTTTTGCTTCGACAAAATTCACGTTCTCGGTGACCAAATGTGTTGCGACAGTATTAGCCTTTATAATATTCTGAGTACCTGGAGAATCACTCGTCTTAATAATATAAACGCTTTGTCTGTAAAGAAGCAAAAAAGAGAAAACAAAATTATTCCTCTATTTTCAAAACTCAACGAAAAAAAAGAGAATTAAATAAAGAGAATTTTCTAATTTTGATAATCAATAGAATAATTATTTATTTCTAAAATCATCCAGACCGAAAAAAATGGTTCTTAATCCTCAAAAAAAGTAGATTATAAAACTAAAACTTTGGAAGCTTCAATTAAAAAAATTGTAAAAACTATCAAAAATAATAAAAATAAATAACAAATGACATTGAAAATTAATTAATATTAATAATAACGATAATAACAGAAATAATTAAATAATAATTACATCAAGAATAATAAATAGAAATAAAATTGACAATAAGAAATAGAAAAATTAATTAATAGTCAAATTTGCAACGAAAATTTGAAATTTCTGAATTTTCTTTTCTTTAATTTAAATAATTTTTCAAATTGATTGAATTAAACAATTTTTTAATTAATTTCAAAACAAAATTAAACTAAATAATTTTTGAATTAATTTAAAACCAAAATTGAATTCAATTGATTTAAATTAAACAATTTTTTAATTAATTGACAATAAAAAATGGAAAAATTAATTATTAGTCAAATTTGAAATTTCTGAATTTTTCTATTTTTTATTGTCAATTAATTAAAAAATTGATTGAATTAAACAATTTTTGAATTAATTTTAAAAGAATTAAAATAAATTAAATAATTTTTGAATTAATTTCAAAACAAAATTGATTTAAATTAAAGAATTTTTTAATTAATTGACAATAAAAAATAGAAAAACTAATTAATAGCCAAATTTGCAACGCAAATTTAAAATTTCTGAATTTTCTTTTTTTTCAATTTGAATAATTTTTCAAATGTAAATTTGAAATTTATGAATTTTCTTTTTTTTAATTAGAATAATTTTTCAAATTGATTGAATTAAACAATTTTTGTATTAATTTTAAAAGAATTAAAATAAATTTCTGAATTAATTTCAAAATAAAATTGAATTAAATTAAACAATTATTTAATTAATTTCCAGGAAAAAATTGAACAATTTTGGAATTAATTTCAAAACAAAATTGAGAATAATTGAGAATTTGAGAAAAGAAAACGAAAAAAGTGGAAAGAGAAAAAAAATTACCGTTGATCCAATTGTGTGGCTAAATTAATTGTTTGGGGATATATGGCCGGTGGATTATTTTGCGGAACGGTATAAATTATTTGCGAAGAACCATTCCCACCGTTATTAAGATCTCCAACGACAAATCGAAGACTCTGTCCATCAACCGAATATATTCTTTGTACTTCTTCGAGAGAAATATTATAATGTTGAGCCATATTATAATTTTTGTTTTGTTTTTATCTTATATTTTATTAATAATAGTTAATCAAGAAAAAAAATTGTCTTTACATTTAGTATTTTTTTTTCTTTCTTTCTTTCTTTCTTTCTTTTCGTTTGCTAGTGCACCAAAATACACGAGCCCGTCAAAATCATCTCTGCGATGCGATGCACTGGTATCTGGAAATGTGACCTAACAAATAACACAATTTTTTTTTAATAACAGAATTATTCAAATAGTTTAGAAAGGAATTTTTTTATTCATAAACTTATTCACTTCGATTCGATTAATTTTCTTTCTTTCTTCCTTTCTTTCTTTCTTCTTTATTTATTCTTCCTGTTTCGTTTTAAATTCTTTTCATATCCATTTTCATTTTGGAATTTTTTCTTTTTCCTAATTTCGTAATTTTGGAATTTTGTTTGAATTAAAAAAAGAGAAAAAATTTTCTTTTTCTTTCTCTTAATTTCGTAATTTTGTAATTTTTATTCAATTAAAAAAGGGGAAAAATGTTTCTTTGGGAAAATTTTCTTTTCTCAATTCAATAATAAAGAAAAAATTTTTTATAAAGAAAAGAATAAAATTAATTATTAATTTCTTTGTTTATTTATTTCCACGTTAATTTTATTTTAATAATTAGAAAACATTTTTTCGTTTAATAATTTTCTAGTTTTTTAATATGAAAAATTAATTTTCAATTAAAAATTAGAATTTAATAAATGCGATAAAAATTAATTAGAAAAATTTAATTTTTTTCTACATAAGAAAAATAAAATTTCGATTTTCAAATTTAATTTCCATTGGGCGAGAAAAAAATGGAAATACAAAATTGAAATATTAAAAAGCGGAAAAATCGAATAAAAGTGAATAAACATGCAACAATTTCGTTTTTAACGTTTTAACGAAAAAAAGAAAATCAAAGGACACTGATTTAACACATTTTTTTTTCTAGTTGAACTTTAAAGCTCAACTTTAAAATACTGAAAATAACTTTAAAGTTCAACTGAACTTTAGAGACGAAACCACATTTTCAGAAACCATTGCAACTTTGACAGAGTGTACGATTTTTGTTTTCTTTGCTTCACATTTTCCTTCAGATTTTTTTCAAAAAAAAAAAAAAAAAGTAAAAAATTCTTGACAATTAGAATTATTTTTATTTTCGAATATTAGTAAAAAAAAGAAAGAAAATATTTTCTATTCTTCGTATATTTTCCATTAATAATCAATATTTTTCAATATTTTTAATTCTTTAACAAGTTTTTTCTATTTTGAATTTTGCAAAATAATTTTCTTCAATTTCCATTTTAATTTTTTTCCTTAAATTCATAAAAAAAAGTATTTTTTCTAATTTTTATTAGAATTATATTATAAATAAATAAATGAATAAATTTCTCTTTTAACATTGATATTTAAATAAAGAAAAATTAATTCTGCAAAAAATAAAGTTATTTTTAAATATAAAAATTTTTTTGCGTTTAAAAAATAATTGTCAAAAAAAAAAAATAAACGAAAAAATTCATTTTGAAAGTTATTTCCAAAAATAAGAAAATAAATAATAATAAAAATAAATAGAAGTTGTTTTTTTAATAAAGTAATTAAAGAAAATTAAATTATTTAATTAAAGTAAATGGAATTATTTTTCGATTTATGACAAAAAATGATAGAAATGAGTCAAATTTTAATTTATTACAAAAAAATTAATCTCATTTTAAATTTATTGCAAAATATGAAAATAAATTAAATTTTTAATTTATTACAAATAATAAAAACAAACCAAATTTTAATTTAATTATAACAGAAAATTAATCTTTTAATTAATTTTTAAATTTATTACAAAATATGAAAATAAAGCAAATTTTGAATTTATTACAAAAAGAAATTAATCAAATTTTGAAAGTTATTTAAAATACAGAAAAATCTTTACTTAAAAAACAACTAAATACTTATTTATTTATTTATAAATAAAAAAAAATCGATGAATTAAAATTATTTACAGAAAATAAAAGTAAAAATAAAATTCACATGAAAAAATAATAATAATTATTCTAATTAAAATGTCAAAAAACTATTTTAGAAAATTTTATAAAAGCCAAGGCGATGAAAAAAAATTAATCAATAAATTTTTAATTAGAAAAAATCTTCACAAGTCGAGGTTTCGTGCCAACTGAAAAATTTTACGAAAATTTCGACAATTTATGTAAAGAAAAAAAATTTGAAAAAAAAAATTATTGAAAAAATTAACAACAATCACACATTTTCTAAACTAAATTTTAAGTTAATAATTTGAATTCGTTAATTATTCTAATAATAACAATAATAATAATAAATAATAAAAAATAATATAAATAAATAATTAATGAAAATTAATAATTAATAATGAAATAATAAATTACAATAGTAAATAATGATAATTAATAATAAAAGTAATATTAATAACAATAGAAAATAATAACAATGAAAATTAATATTAAACGTAATAAAAACAATATTAAATAGTAACAATGATAATTAATAATAATAATAGTTAATATATTATAATTTTTAATAATTATTACAATTATTATTAATTATTTATATTAAATTATTCTTTTTATGATCATTTTTCTTATTTTTTATTCTTATTATTTTTCTTGTTATTATTATTATTCTTGTTATTTTTATTATTATTATTATTATTATTTTTCTTATTATTAATTCTTTTATTGATATTTTTCTTATTATTATTATTTCTCTTGTTATTTTTCTTATTATTATTATTTTTCTAATTGTTATTTTTCTTATTATTAACTATTGTTATTATTCAATTGTAAAAATAACAATCACTACTTTAAAAAAACAAAATTTCTGATAGAAAATAAAAAAAAATTAAAACAATGAGTTAAAAATAACAACCTAAACATTCACATAATATTTCATTTATTGATTGAAAAACAAAATGAAGGAAAAAAATTTAAAAATAAATAATTAACAAACATATTAAAACGTACACACTGTCACAAATCAATCAATTTTTTTTGTTTAAATTTATTAAACGAGAAATAAGCATCCTTTAATTTATAATTTTAATTTTATCAAATATATAGAAAAGAAGAATTTTTATTCAAAACGTTTTATTTCGTTATAATTAATTAGATGATAGAAAGGTTAGGAAAATGGAGATGTAATAATCACACTGTTATTTTTTAATCTGGAAATAAAATGTTTTTTACAAGTGCATTTAACTATTTTTTTATTTACTTATTTTTTAAATACTTTTATTTTGCAAGCATTTTTTTTTATGAATAAACCACGATTATAATTAATAAAACTTTCGTTTTATTAAAAATATTTAATAAAATTCATAAAATTCATGAAATTCCAAAGTGAAAAAAGACATTATTTCCTAAATGGCGGGAGAATTTTTTACCCCCTCCCCCCTTTTTTTATTTATTATCTTCCGAACAGGTAGTAAACGAGAAAAATTTATCTTGAAACGAAAATTTAGTAGTTAATAAAAAAGTGCAAATAATCAATAAATACTTTTTCTCGATAGTTTCATTTTTTGGTAAAAATTTGCAAAACTTAATATTCGGAGAGGTGGAAAAATAGAATTATTGACAACTATCTTTTTTTTTGTTTAAAAATAATTATCACCGAAAATTTACAAAAGGCGTGCCGGCTATTTCGATTTTCTGATGCAATAAATCCGCAAAATGTACTTATAACCTATAAATATTCCCCGAAAAAGAGAAGAAATTTTTATTTTCCCTCCCAAAATGAGAATAATTTATGTACAAAAAAGAAGATGAGCACGAAATTCCCATAGAAAATTCACCAAACTATTCAAAGTAACGATATTACGAATTTGCCATTTTGACTTTAAAAGAATTTTGTCACCAAATACTTTGTCTTTTTCGGGAAAAAAAAATTCTTGGGGGGAGAAAACGAAAGAACCACGGCGATGAAAACAAAAAAACAACTTAGAAAGCAAAGACGATAAATATTAAAAAAATTAGAAAATGAAAATGATGCGCAGTGGAGAAACAACAATTGAAGGCTTCATTTTTGTGTGTCTTGTAAAAGTGATGAAAGAGGTCAAAAACTCACCCGAGTGCTGAAAATTGTAGATGAATTTTATTCTCAAGATGAATTTAGATCACTTTATTTTGTTGATTATTACTTTTTTGTATTCTTTCTATGATTAAAACTACACTTCGCCATTTGTGAACTGTTTTTTTTTTCTCTTTGCTTGCTTTAGAAAAATGATGATCGCGAAAAAGCCACCTTGAGCCGCAAAAGTACTGGATTACGCCACTTTCAGCAGTTTCCGGTCTACGTGTTCTGAAAATCACTAACCGTCGAAGTGACCCATGCGCGCTATTACCTAGAGTGGAAACTCACTTGTGAAAAGTTACCCCCACCCTAGCGGCGACGGCGCGAACTAAATTCGAAAAATTCCCTCCAAATTCTATCAACTACGAAATTAATAATTTTTAACATCTTCTTTCCTTTTTGTTACAATTATTTTCATTATTTACAAATAAGTAATTCTTTTCCTCCATCGAAACGTTTCCAAATCGATAAAAAAGGAAAAATACGAATAAAGATAATTACGAATAAAAAAATCCTTTTCCGCCATTTTTAAATGTCTACGCCTTTATTTTCTTCACACCTTTGACTCGACGACAATTTTCCCCTTTGATTAAATTCGGAAAAAACTTTATAACTCTGAAAATAAATTACCAAAATTTTAACAATGGGTCATTAACCCAGGATTAAGAGATTAATTAATTATCCACCCCTGAAAAAGTGGAAATTAGGGAACAATTAATTAATTTAGGGAATAATTCAAATCTCCCGCCAATTTGGCTCAGTTTTCATGTGAGCGATTTTGATGCCTGAAAAACTTGTCCAGAATGGATACAAAAGTAGCGGACGAATGAAAAGACAGTGTTCTTGTCGCTTATTGGCTGTTTCTTTTAGAACCGATTTTTTCCCTCAAAAATGATTTTTATTTTTGAGGTTAGAGTGCATTTTCAATTGTTTATATTTTGTCAATCAATCAGAAACGCGTTTGATTGTCCATGTATTCCTAAAACTCGCTAAACCATCGAAAATTTTTCTATTTTGACAGTTCCTCTAAAACCGTAAACGAACCAAAAACCGTAAACCATCAAAATAAAAGCACGTGTTCCCGTCTTTGTTTACTTTTGACTTTAATGATAAAAATACGATGCAAAATGTTGATAATAAATATTTCTCTGTTGGGAATTTTTGTCAACTTCGTGAATTTCTCAACATATTTGCTTTTTTGAATTTAAAAAAAGCGTGTAAAGTGTGTAATTTTTTGTATAGGTTATCTTTTTTCAAACGTAAAATAACGAAAACGAATAGTTTGAGAGGTATTTTTGTATCGATTTTTCCGAGATTTCGAAGGTGAATAATAAAAAAAGAATATTTTTTTTTAAATAGTTGTAGTAATTATCACTTACCTTTTTTTGCTGTTTATTGCTGCATGGAATTGATCACGTAACACGACAAAAATTAATTGTGCATCGATTCTGTCACTTCGCGTAAAGATGTGCAATTTTTTCCCCCCTTTCAAATTTTATTATATATACAGAAAAAAAATATCCGCATTAAACGACCAATTCGTTATTTCGTTAGTTTTGGTAAATTTTTTTTTCTCATGTGACAAAAACCACTTTTTTGAAGGCCAAATCGAAATTCGTTGAAAATTTTAAGGTTATGTTTGTGTTTGGAACGGAAGTGTATATATAGATATAGATTTACTACTCGAATTCCTCAAATTCTAGTCGGAGATTTTTTATTTCTCTAAAATTGTCCAATTATATTTGTTTCTCTCAAAATAGTTGAAATTTTAGTAAATATTCGTTAGTTTTAGTAATAAATAGCAGTAATCGTAGTAATAACAGTGAAAAAATAGTGAAAAATAGTGACAAGTTTGACAAACGTTGTTTCTATTTTTAAGGCGGGAAGATTTGAACGTGAAAAAAATTAATTCAAATCGGAAAATAGTTTAAAAACATTTAAAAATTATTAATAAATTAAATATTCTGAAATATATTATTTTATTAATAGAATCAATTACACAAAATTCTATATTTTGATTTTTTGTTTACAAAAAAAGGTAAAGTTAAAAAAAAAGAAAATAATTGTTTTTTTAAATAAACTAACAATTGTTATAAATATATTAATAAATTTTGTAAATGAAATATTTTTCTAAATACTTTTTTTTAAGAATTTTAATTATTAATTATTATTTTGTACTTAAATTTAATTGAAATAATTATAATTTAATTAATTACTAAATTTTGATATTAAATTTTTTTTCAATGAAAATTTTAATTATTAATTATTATTTTCTAATTATAGTTGAAATAATTATTATTAGTTTAATTTAATTACTAAATTTTTAAATTGTAATTTTTGTATTAAGCAATTTAATTATTATTTTGTAATTTCAATTATAAAACAAAAAATAACAATTAAGTATTCAGTTTAATTAATAAATTTTTAAATTGTAATTTTTTTTAATAATCATTTTAATTATTATTTTGTAGTTTTAATTGTAAAAAAATAATAATAACAATTAAGTAATTAATTTAATTAATAAATTTTTATAATTCATATAAAATTATAATTATTTTAAATTATTATAAATAAATAAATTCAGAATCAATAGAAATAAAAAATTAGAGAAAACGAACTTCTTTTTTTGTTATTTTTGTACTTTTATTTTCTTACATTATTATGATAATAATTAAGCACAATATTAGTTTATGAATTCATGATAATCAATCCCTGAAATATTGGATTTCGTACTATCACATTAGAAATTTCTTAATAGTCTACAAAATACGATAACTGCAATCAGGCTTTTTTTCTGTTTTTCTTTCTTTTTTACTCGTGTGTGTGTGTGTCTGTTTTGTAAATTATTTTTTTCTTTTTAAATTAAAAAATTTGTTTTTCTTTTTTTCTGCAAAAATTCATTATATTATATCCATCTCAATAAAAGATGTTAATTTTCCGTTTTTTTTCTTAGCTCCTCACGATTTTTTCTTATAATATATCTATATATATTTTTTTAGTTTCTTCTTTTTTCTAAAAAGTTGAGAAACTCAATAAAAATTGAGAAATATTTTTTTTATAGGCTTACAAAAAATTCATTAAGTGAAAAAAAAAAAATTTAATCGCATTTTTTTTCTTTTTGCTACCTTGTTTTAATTATTTCCTTGTCCCGTTTCCGGCATTCGACGGATACGAAATCTTTTTGGAGGCTAGAAAAGAGATGTTAAAAAAAAGGAAAATATGAAGAATTTCAAGTTGATGGTGTATTTTTTTTTTTTTTTTGAGAGAGAGAGAGAGAGAGAAAAAAAGGAATGAAAATTTAAAAAAAAAACATTATTTATGACATTCAGCGTACTTCTCTCGGCGATGCTCTCACGAGAATTTCATTGGCTTCTGTCATACTCAATTGTTCCAATTTTAAAAGGAACAATTCTTTGAGGAAAGTTTGGGCATCTTCGCTGATACTTTCTGGTAATAAAGTTATTCGTTTGTGTGTCAGATCTGCAAAAAAAAAATGGGGTGGAAATTAAATTAAAATCAAACTTTTTTTTTCATTTTTATGTGAATTAAAATTAAAAATACAAAATAATTTATTCAAACAATTGAAATATCAAATTAACAAATACTTTTTAGTTAAAAATTGTTTTTTGTTTTCATTAATTTTATTTGTTTCTATATTTTTTTCTCTATAAATGAAAATTAATTTAAAATTCTAATTTATTAATTTTAATTGAATTTTAATTTACTTGAAAAATTTCTTTGCAAATTTTTATTAATTTTTTTCTTTCTCGTTTTCTTACCTCGACTCAATGGGTCGTAGTAAGGATTCTCCTGCTGCTGCATTCCTAAAATCTCTCGAATTTGCTCAGCACTACTTGGACTTGTGATCAGAAAAATAACGGGCAAATTTCTGCCGAAATGAATCAAAACTCGATCGATATCTTGCAGTTCAATATTTATATTCACGTTCTTTTTGCCTGTTTCAAAAAAAGGAAAACAGAATTAAATAATAATTATTTATTAATTATAATATCAAGTCGAATTCGATTAGAATTTTAATTATGATCCAAATTCTAATTTTGCAATTATATTTCAAATGTTAATTTTAATTATAATCCAAATTTTAATTTTAATTGTAATCCAAATTTTAATTTTAATTGTAATCCAAAATTTTAATTTTAATTATAATAAAAAATTTTAATTATAATCCAAATTTTAAATTTTAGTTATAAATCAAAATTTAATTTTTAGTTACAAACCAAATTTTAATTTTTAGTTACAAACTAAATTTTAATTTCATAATTATAATCGAAAGTAACTTAAAATTAGAATATAAATTGATAATGAATTAATATTTCCATTTTTAGATGAAAAAAACTTACTTCCGGTTAGAGAAGGAACACTGAGTCGAACTCCATATTGCGAGATAATAATTTTTTCTGGCGGGAAATATTTGTAGGATCCTATTCTCACGGTACGACACGAAAGAGTTGTATGCTGTGATTTTATCAGAAAATCGGGAAATTCCTCCTGTGGTTCACTTCCTGGAAAAGAATTTTTCAAATTTTAGTTTTCCCTTTTGTTTTTTTTTTTTTTAAATACAATTTTTAGAAAAATTGTATTATAACATTTTAAAAATAATTGAACCTGTTAGAGAAATTTCATTAAATTTATCTTGAATATAATTGAAAATACAATAAAATAGAAAGAATTGTAAATAAAAATAAGGAATAAAATTGAAAATATAAAAATAGAATATAATAGAAATAAAGAGAAATAAAAATAAAAGATACAAGAAAAGTATAAAATAAAGGAAAAAGACAATAAAAATACGAAAAAATAAAACTAAAAATGCAAGAAAAATTATAAAATAAAATAAAATACAAGTGAAAAATAAAATAGAATAAAATAAAAACAATTTTCTCACCATTATTGAGTCCATTGTTCTGCTCGATCTTTATACTTGAGGGTTTTGGTTTTACGTCAACCGGTCGATTATCGCCTTCCTTGCATTGTTTCTAAAATAATGAAAAAAGAAAATAAAGAAAAAATTTAGTCAAATTAATTAAATTTTTTCGAATATTTTTCCTTCTATTTCTCAAAATTGTAAAGAAAATATTTTACTTTCGCTCCATTAACCGTATATTTATCTATAACGGCCTTAACATTGTCGGGCAATTTTCGTTTGCAACGTTGGCAGCGATGGAAAGTCGAAGACAAAAATCCACATCTTCGACAGACGGCAAGTTTTCCCTCTACAAACTTCGGAACCTGAAATTGAAAATTAAAGATTTTTTTGAAATTTTTACTTTTCTTTTTGTTTTCTAAATATATTTCTATAGGTTTAGAATTTTGTTTTTTTTTTTTGACTTTTGAAAAATCTTACCTCAACTTCAGGAGGTGGAGGATTCGGACTCGTAAATTCTTGACTGAAATTAAAAAAACGGGTAAATAAATGAAACAAAAATGGAAAATAAATAGGAATAAATAAAAAAAAGAAAAAATAAGGAAATAAATAAATGTAAAAAGAAAAAATAATGAAATGGAAAAATGGAAAAAGAAATAAAAAAATAAATAGAATAAATGGAAACATTGAAAAATATAAATTGAAAAATGAAACAATAAATAGAAAACAAAAAAAAAATTAATGGAAAAATAAGAAAATAAACAGAACAATAAATAGAAAGAAGAAAAATGAAATAAATATGAAAATAAATAGAAAATAGAAAAATGAATAAAAAAACTGACGAATAAAGAGAAACAAATATTAAATTAAACAATAAATAGAAATACAAAATAAATGGAGGAATAAAAAAATTAATGGAAAAATGAAACAATAAATAAAAAAATAAATAAATAGAAAAACAGATGAAAAATTAAATAATAAATTTAGAAAACCAAAAAAATTATTGGAAAAATAAGAAAATAAACAGGAAAATAAATGGAAAGAAGAAAAATGAAAAAAAGTTGAAAAATGAAACAAATAGAAAAATAAATAGAAAATAGAAAAATGAATGAAAAAACTGACAAATAAAGAGAAAAACAAATATTAAATAAAACGATAAATAGAAAAATGAAACAAAAAAAAATAAATAGAAAAATGAAAAAACAAATAGAAAATTAAACAATAAATAGAAAAATTATAAAATTAATGTCAAATTAAGAAAATAAACAGAAAAATTAATACAAAAGAAGAAAAATGAAAAAAAGTAAAAAAATGAAATAAATAAAAAAACTGCCAAATAAAGAGAAAACAAATATTCAGTTAAACAATAAATACAAAATTGAAATAGAAATAAAAAATAAATAGGAGAATAAAAAATAAATGGAAAAATTGGAAAATAAATGGAAAAATGAAACAATAAATAGAAAAAGAAATAAGTAGAAAAACAGATGTAAAATTAAATAATAAAATTTGAAAACTAAAAAATTTAATGGAAAAATAAGTAAACAAACAGAAAAATAAATGAAAAGAAGAAAAATGAAAAAAAGCTGAAAAATGCAATAAATATAAAAATAAATTTAAAAAATTGACAAATAAAGTGATAAACAAATAATAAATTAAATAATAAATAGAAAAATTAAAAAATAAATAGAAAGAAGAAAAATGAAATAAATAGAAAATAGAAAAATTAATAGAAAAACTGACAAATAAAGAGAAAAAATAAATAGAAAAAGAAATATTTAATTAAACACTAAATAGAAAAGTTATTATAATAAAAGAAAAATTATTATAATAAAAGAAAAATTAAAATATTGTAATAATAGGAAAATTAAATAGAAATAAGAAAAAAATAAATTGAAAAAAATTGATGAACAATAAATAGGAAAACAAAAAAAAATAAATAGAAAAAAATAAAAGAAAGAGACAAATAAATAAAAAAAAACAAAAAAATGTAAATAATAAATAAAAAAAATTGGTTTTAATTTCTCATTTTTAATTCCAGGAAAAATAGAAAGTAGTTTTTTAATTTTATTACCTGAAACTCGGCGTTTCATGGGCCACGATCGGTTTTAAATTTTTAACTTCGACAATATAGTGTATTTGTAAAGTGGATGGATCTTCAACTAAAGAAATATCAGTTTCCGCGTCTAATGGAATGCCAATCTAAGAAAAAAACAAAGAAATACAAAATTGTAAACATCGTACAAAAAAAAAAAAATTCAAAAAAATCGCTCACTCCTTAAAAAAAAAGAAAACAAAACTTTTACCTGCACCAATAAATCCTGAATTGTACAATTTTCATCCGAAACTTGAAAACCAACAAGTTTTTGCTCCCCATCAGGAAATTCAATAAGTATTTTTATAATTTCATCACTTATTTGATGTTGAATTATCGATGTCTTAGGAACTGTTATCACCTTTTGCACGTAAGTGCAATTTTCACTCATTTTTCCCGTATTCTGGAAAATTTCCCCCAAAAAGAAAAAAGAAAATATTTTCATAAGTGCATTCCCCGCATTTTCCAAAGAGAGTACAAATTTTATATTTTAGAGAAAGTAAACAACGCCTGCTCTTAACCTTCAAATAGAAAAAAAATCCTCACCAATTCTTTATAGAAAGTTATAATGAAAAGTTTAAAACATTGTCTAGAATTTGAAAATACTTTTGTTTTTATAATAAAAAAAAGGGAAATAAACACAATTATTGAAAATATGCGTCGAGACAAGAGAGAGAGAGAGAAAAAAAAGTGGGACTGTGCGACGTGAAAAATTATTTCTAACTTACCGATTTTCACTTTTTTTCCGTTAAAAATTTGTCGATTATTCGGGAAAATAATGTTAAATTTCAAGAAGCGCGCGTGAATAAATAAATTTTTTTTCAATGATGATCATTGGAAAAAACGTTCACGAAAACAAAAAACGAAATTCCAAACAGATTAGGAAAAGCGACTTGAGAGCGAGAGGAAAACTCAAGTTCTCGAGAAAATTTGACACGAACATAACCTCAAAATACAAGAAGCGCCTCTTGCGGACTTTTCGGAGAATTTCTGGGAATTTTCTTTTGTGGCGGGATTTTTGAAAATATAAAACGAAAACTTGGAAAATTATTAATTTTCCTTCGAAGAAAGGAAAATGCAATTAAAATTTCTTCAAATTTTCCTTGAATTATTTCTCGTCGCGATTTTTTTTATACATTTTTATATACATTTTTATATACATATTTTATACACTTTATAATAGTTTACAATTTTCACCAATAGAGGTGATGGAGTCACTTTTCCTACCTTCCTGATAGTGAGGGACTTTTCTGAATTTTCTCTATTCTCAGTGATCGTAATTTCCTTTTTTTATAAAATTAAATTAAAGAAAAAAAAATATTAAAAATACACGCAGTGAAAATTGAAAACTAATTTTAGTGATAATACCAAAAAAAAGGGTAGAAATATTTCCCCCTCTCTTATTTTCTCATTATTTTCGCACAAATGTAATTCAAGTTGTCACTTTCAAAAATTCTTCAAAACATCTTTACAAAAAAAAAAGAAAACAAAGTCGAAATAAATTTTTGAAAATTTATTTCTTCTCTGTTTTGAAAAATAAGGTAATAATTCTTTGTTCCTCATATTATAAATTACAGAAGAGAAATAATTGACAATTCTGGTAATTTTCCCTTTTTTTTGAGGTTAGGTTTCCGACGCCGCTACCTTTGTTTTAAAAAGAATTAAATTCATCTAATTAACGTTTGACGTGGTTTTTTTTTGTTTTTGAAAAAATAATATTAACGAGGAATGGTGAATATTTTTTTTTGTTAAGGTAAAATAGGGGGGAAATTAAATTAGTGTCGATGTGTGAAAAGGAAGAAAAACAAGAAGGAAAATGAAATTTGTTTTTGAAAAATGACTTTTTTTTTATTTAGGAGAGAAATGGGAAGTAGTGGGCAACTTTATAGCCTCTCGTGGGGTGAATTCGGATCATCCTTGGCCTCTGCTGTTCAAATTTTCCAAGGTCATGGTGATTTAGTCGATGTTACTTTAGCAGCAGGTGGACGAAGTTTTGCTGCTCATAAAATTGTCCTTTCGGCTGCGAGTCCATTTCTTCTCAAATTATTGAAGGTTTTTATTTATTTTTTTAATTAATTATTAAAATACTACTGATAATGGTAATTTTAATAGTAATTTCGCTAGTAATTGTAATTGTAATAATAATAGTAAAAATAATAATTATAGTAAAATTAACAATGAAAATTATTTTAACAAACTCGTTCTTTTTAATTCAGTTTATAAATTTGTTATGACAATAATGACAATTTTGTTAATAATAAATAATTTTCAGAGTACGCCTTGTGAACATCCTGTCGTAATGTTGGCAGGAATCGGCGCCGAGGATTTAGAAACAATTCTTGAATTTGTTTATCGAGGAGAAGTTAGAGTTGAACCTTCACAATTGCCTTCTCTGCTACAAGCAGCCAATTGTTTAAATATTCACGGATTAACACCTCCAACGATAGTACCTGACGTAAATAATTTTTTATTCACTCATTTTTCTTCCATTTTTCACAATTTAAATAATTTATTATTTAATATTTAATATTTTAATATGAGTTACAAATAATTATCTATTATTTAATTTCATATTTTGCCAAAAAGAAACAGACAACTTTTTACAAAACAGAAATTATATGCCAATTTTTTTTCATTTATTTAACATGAAGAAATCGATAACTCCGAGTCTTCGACTCGAAGTCATCGATTTCTTCATGTTTTATAATTAATAACAATTATTAATAAAAATAATTTATAATATTTCAAATCATTATCAATTCAATTATTATTTTTAAGAATTTCTATTTAAAATTCTTCTTTATATCTATAGTTTTTAATAATTTTCGAAAAAGTTCTTTGACAATTTCCAAATTCATTTCTTTGGAATATTCAATTTTACGAAATTTCAATTATTCGTAAATTCTTTATTTAAATAAATATTAGAAAATAGAAACTAAAAATAATATTAAAAAAACTCAATTAAACTTTTTCAAAAAAATTAATTACAAAATTCAATTATTTCTTAAAATTCACGCTCTATTGCTTTTAATATTCTATTATCTAAAAGTTGAACTGAAATTCATTTTTTATGAAAATCAATTTTTATTCGAAAATTCTACTGGAATTCAATTATTTAAATACAAATTTAAAGGAAAAATTGCAAATAAATAATTTATTGAATAATTGAACGTTTCTTAAAATTCAATTCCCATAAAAAATCGTTATCAACAAATTTTCAAATAATTCAATTCTATCAAACGAATTTTAATAAAATTTTTAAAAATAATTACATTTTTCGACAAAATTCGATTAAAATTGTATTAAAAAGAAATAAAATAAATAAAATGAAATGAATAATTGAAATTCTGCATTGAATTTTATTATTTATGACAAATAATTGAATACTTGCGAAGAATTTTATTAAAATTTTTCAAAAATAATTATAATTCTTGTAAAAAATTAACAGGAATTCAATTATTTTGAAAAATTTTAATAAAATTCTTGGCGTTAAAAATAACAAAATTCTTAGCAAATCATCAATTACTTTCAGAAATTTCAATAAAATTCTTCGCAAAGAATTTTAAATATTTTCGTAAAATAATAAAAATCTTTGCAGAGATTCAATTATTTTCAAAAGTCTTAATAAAAAATTCTTCGCAAGAATTCAATTATTTTCAAAAAATATCAGAATTTTAGCAGAAATTCAAACATTTTAAAAAGTTTTAATAAAATTTTTTTTGGTAGAAATTTAATTACTTTTTACAATTTTAAAAAAATTGTCTCGATAAAATTCAATTATTTTAAAAATTTTAATGAAATTCTTCGAAAGAATTCAATTATTATAATCTTAAGATTTTAACTGAAATCTATTTTTAAATAAAAAAAAATTGAGAAAATTCTACCAGAATTCAATTATTTAAATAAAAATAAAATGCAAATAAATAATTCATTGAATAATTGAATGTTTCTTGGAATTCAATTTCTATTAAAAATTTTATCAACAAATTTTTAAATAATTAAATTCTTTGGACGAATTTTAATAAAAATTTATAAGAATTTTTTCGAGGAATTCGATTAAAAATTCTATTAAAAATAATTGAATTCTCCTAAAAAGAATTTTATTACTTTTGAAAATAATTGAAATTTTGCAATGGATTTCATTAAAATTTTTGAAAGTAATTGAATTTTATTACTTTAAAAAATAATTCAATTCGTGTGATAAATATTCTTAATTATTATGAAAATAATTGAAACTTTCGAATCAATTTTATTAAAATTTTTGAAAATAAGTGAATTTTGTCGAAGAATTTTGCTATTTATTTATAAAGATAATTGAAATGTTGACCATTTTTTTTTTTAGATTTTTTAAGAAAATAATTGAATTTCAGAGAAGAATTTTAATATTTCTAAAGATAATTGAAATTTTGACGAGAATTGAAATAAATTTTTGAACATAATTGAATTTTTGTGAAGAATTTTATTACTTTTAAAAATAATTTGCTTTATTGAAAACAGTAAAAAATTAAGAAACAGTTGAAAAAAGTTCACTGAGTTAAATTAATTATAAATTATTCTAAAATCCTATTTATATTTATTTTCCGTTTTTCAACCAAAAAATTTTGTTCCTTATACATTTTTCGTTCGAAATTCTTTTTTAGAAAGTAGAGGAAAAAGAACCATCAACAAATGTCAATGAAAAAACAGAAGAAATAACATCGCCCTCAGTTTCGAGTAGAAAACGAAAAAGAAAACGAAAACAAACATCGTCGTCGTCGTCAACAACAACGACAACAGCAACAACAGCAACGACGACAACAGAGAAAATACGTAAAATTGAAACAAGCGATCGAGAAATGAGGTATTTGGAACGTGCAAACAATAGAAATAATGAATATAATCGCAAGAATCAAGAGACATCGGATGATGGTAAAAATTTTTTTGTCATACACAAAAAATATTTCAATAATTTTTGTTGTAATTTTATTTTTCTCTTTTGGAAATAATTTAAGAAAATCAGAAAATTCTTTATAAAATTTTTATTTTCAGGTAAAAATCTATTTTTATTTTCAGGTAATAATATTTTTTCAATTCCCGTTTTATTTTTTTTTTTGAAAATTGCAGGCCTAGGACTCAATATTTTTTTATTCGTTTTTGAACTCTTTCTTCGTTTTAATTAACTCGGGTAGGTAACTTTTTAGTATTTAGCCGACTATTTTTTATTTTTTTCTGTTTTTTATTCCTTTTTCTTTTTCTATTTTTTATTTGTTTTTTATTCCTTTTTCTTTTTCTATTCTTTTTTGTTTTTTGTTCCTTTCTGTTTTTTTATTCCTTTTTCTTTTTCTATTCTTTTTTGTTTTTTGTTCCTTTCTGTTTTTTTATTCCTTTTTCTTTTTCTATTCTTTTCTGTTTTTTGTTCCTTTCTGTTTTTTTATTCTTTTTTGTTTTTTGTTCCTTTCTGTTTTTTTATTCCTTTTTCTATTCTTTTCTGTTTTTTGTTCCTTTCTGTTTTTTATTCTTTTTTGTTTTTTGTTCCTTTCTGTTTTTTTTATTCTTTTTTGTTTTTTTGTTCCTTCCTGTTTTTTTATTGATTTATTTATTTATTATTATATTTCTCCTCATTTTTTTATTTTTATTCGTTTTTGTTTTTTTTTATCTTTTTTTCTTTCTTTATTCTTCTTTGTTCCTTTCTGTTTTTTAATCTTTCTTGTTTTCTTTCTATTTATTTTGTTCCATTCTTTTATTTTTCTTACCAATTTTCTTAGTTTTATTTCTTTCTGCTTTTTATTCTTTCTTGTTTTCTTTCTATTTATTTTGTTCCATTTTTTATTTTTCTTATCAATTTTCTTCTCTTTTCTTTCATTCTACTTATCACTATTATTTTTTAATGTTTATTTTTTAATTGTTGTTTTGAATTATTCGATTCAATTCTTATTCAATTCTTTCGATTTTCTTTTCGTTTTTATTTGTTCGTCTTTTTCAATTTTTCTTAATTCTTTTATTTTTCTTAATTTTTTTCTTTTCATCTTTATTTCTTTGTCTTTTTCTCTGCTTTTCTTTAATTTTCTTAAATTTGCTTCAAATTTTTTCCTTTTCTTTTTTACTTGTTCGTCTATTTCGATTTTCTTTTCTTTATTATTTGTTCGTCTGTTTCTATTTTCTTTTCTGTTCTTATTTTTTCAATAACAATAAAGTTGATAAAATCGTTCATTTTTTTTCTTTTCTATTTTCAATTTCTTCTCGAGTTCAAGGCCCGTAATTTTTAATATCTAATTCTATTAATTATTGTGTCTGTCCGTGAAAAACAAAAAACAAAAAAATCAAAATTCTGCGCCAAAAAAAAAAACTAATTCTTTTTTCTCTTTTTTCAAATTTTGCACTATCACTCTCTCACTCTGCGCAAAAAAAGGAATGGATCATCGTGACTCAGAATTAAATCGTGGTCCATCGCCATCATCGCTAGTTCGCCCCGTGCCAATGAGTGAAAATCTCCATCAAGAATCAACATCCGACTCGGAACCGCCTCTACTTCACACTCTAATGCCAATGCAACCATATTCACCACTTCATATACCACAATTTCCCGCATCGCTTGGCATTGGTTTCCCGCCAATTTCCTGTGTCACACAAAATCAAAGTGCAATGATCGCAGCAGCGGCCGCGGCAGCCTCCTCGCTCCAAACGACGAGCGGCAAAATACGTGGCGCCTCAGATTGTCCGGGTGTTTGTCCATTGTGCGGGGCAACATTGCGACAGGCGAGAAATCTGCGAAGACATTTATTGTCCTCGTGTAAATATAGACTCAATAGTTTCGCGGGTTTAAGAAGTCATTCGCCATCCGATTCAATGATGATTGAAGTTAAGCCGGAGATGGACGTGTCGAATTATTCATCGACACAGGACAATAGTAATTGTGAGCAAATTGTTTGTAAACCGAGTCTTCCATCGCCTTCGACGCACGTCTCGCCACATAGAAGTCTATCGTCGCCGACGATCGCCAGATGAAAATGATAATTAGCTAATAATAATAATTGAAAATCAATTGAGCTTCGATCAATGGTAAGAAATTGTAAATTTCTCCACTAATTCAAATAATGTAATTATTTCACTATTTTTATATTATTATTATTATCATTATTGTCATTTTATTATTATTATTATTATTATTATCATTATTATTATTATTATTATTATTATTATTATTATTATTATTATTATTATATTATATTATTATAATTATTATTATTTTATTTTTTTATTTTTATTATTAATAATATTATTATTATTATTATTTTTATTATATTATATTATTATAATTATTATTATTATTTTATTTTTTATTTTTATTATTAATAATAATATTATTATTATTTTTATTATTACAGGCTTCGCACTCATCTACTAAAACCTACTATTTATTAGTTTTTTTACGTTATGCTACTATTTGGTTACTTTTTTTTAGAAAAAAAAAGTTTAAAAAAAATTCTAAGCAAAAATTTAATTTACATAAATAATTCTTCGAAAGAATTCAATTATTAAAAATAAATAACAAAATTTTCCACAAAAATTTAATTATTTTTAGTTATTTTAATCAAATTCTTTGCAAAATTCAATTATTTTCAAAAAAATAACAATATTCATGACAAAAATTCAATTATTTTCATAAATATAACAAAATATTCATCACAAGAATTCAATTATTTTTACAAGTAAAAAATTTCTTCTTAGAAAGTCAATTATTTTGAAAAATTCTAATAGTATCGTTCGCAAGAATTCAATTATTCTCATAAATAATAAAATGCTTTTTAGGAATTCAATTATTTGCAAAAAAAATTTAATAAAATAACACACAGACATTCAAATTACTCTCAAAAATTTTAATAGAATTCTTTGAAAAATTCAATTATTTTTAAAAACTTTTCGCAATTCAATGGTTTTTAATACCTACTATTTTCATAAAGAAAAAAGAATTCAATTATTTAAAAAATTTTTGTCAAAAATCTTGGTAAGAATTCAATTATTTTCAATTATTTAGAAATTTTGATATAATTCTTCACAAGAATTATATTATTTTTTTTTTTATAATAATAACATTTTTCATGGAAATTCAATTTAAAAAAAAGAAATCATTCATAAAATTCTAAGCAAGAATTCAATTATTTTCATAAATATAAAGTTTTCCAAAAGAATTCAATTATTTAAAATAAAATTTTCACGATATTTTATTATATTTCGAAAAAATTATTTATTTAATACAATGTTTAGAAAATTCTTATGAAAAATTCAATTATTTTCAAAAATAACAAAATTTTTCACTGAAATTCAATTATTTTTAAACATTTTAATAAAATTTTTCGCATTAATTCAATTATTTTCATAAATAATAAAATTCTTCTCAGAAATTCAATTATTTTTCAAAACTTTAGTAACATCCTTAGCAATTATTCAATTATTTTCCAAAAATAATAAAATTCATCGCAGGATTTCTATTATTTTTAATACAATTTTACAGGAATTGTTAAAAAAATGTTATTATTCCTAAAAATTTAATTTCAATTCCTCGAAAAAATCAATTATTTAAAAAAAACGTTTTTTTAAAATTCTTTGAAAGAATTCAATTATTTAGAAAAATATTAGAATTTTTCACTGGAATTCAATTACTTTAAAATATTTCAATGAAATTCTTCCAAAGAATTCAATTATTTTAAGTACGATTTTAATTAAATTTTTTTGAAATAATTCAATCTTTTAGATTTTAATAAAATTCTTCCAAAGAATTCAATTATTTTTATGAAATATTTTTTCGAAAGAATTCAATTATTAAAGATAAATAACAAAATTATTCCCAAAAATTCAATTATTTTGAGGCATTTTAATTAAATTCTTCTAAAAATTCAATTATTTTCATAAATAATAAAATGCTTTTTAGGAATTCAATTATTTTCAAAAACAAAATTTAATAAAATGCCACACTGACATTTAATTATTCTTAAAATTTTTTAATAGAATTCTTTGTAAAATTTTAATGAAATTCTCTTAAATAATTTCTATTATTTTCGAAAAATTTAAAAAAAAACCCTTTTTGCAAAAAATCAATTTTAATTCTTAAATAATATGTTTTCGATAGATTTAAATTATTTTTTTTAGAAATTTTAATAAAAATCTTTACAAAAATTCAAATATTTTTCATGAACAATAAAAATTCTTCCCAAGAAATAAATTATTTTCATAAATAATAAAATCATTCCCGATAATTCAATTATTTTGAGGCATTTTTGAAAGCAATTTTTTTTTAAATTATTTATCGAGTGCGAAGTCTGTATTATATTATTTTTATTTTTTTTAATATTCTCTAATTTTCTTTTTTCGCTTTCTTTCATTTTTTTAAAATTGTTACATTTTCTTCATTTTTTTCTATACACGAAATTTTCCTTTTTTTTTTGTATACAAAAAATTTTATGTTAAATTTCAAAAATTTTTATATTATTACAATTTTTTTAATTTTTTTTCCAATATTACTATTATTATTATTTGAAATATTTTTATTATATTATTATATTTTTATTAATTGGTAATTATTAATTATTTGTATAGTAAATTTTCGAAAATTTTTGTAAATTGTAAATTTTGTGATCACATTTGTATCGCAATCATTTTTCTACAAAAAAGAGACGAAAAAAGGATAAAATTCAATATTTCTAATGAGATTGAAATGTTTTCAAAAACAAAATGTTTATTTCAGGAGGAAAAATAAATAATTATTAATTTTATTTATTGAAAAATATTCTTTAAGTTTTCAATTTTATTTTTTGACACTCTTCTGGTCAAGTGGAATATTTTTTTTCAAAAATTTGTTTTCTTTTGAGAGAAAAGAAAATAATTTTCTTTTAGTTATAATTGTGTAATAAGAAAAAAAGTTGTATATACAAGAAAAAAATACGTAACTTTTGTAAAAAAAATATTTTTTTCTAAAAATGAATTTTTAGGTAGGTAATTTCATTTTTTTTGTAAAAAGAAGTGAAAGAAAAACAAAGATTATTAATTAAATTTTTCTGTGGAAATTTAAATGAAAAAAGATTTCTAAAATCGTTATTTGTTTTATAATAATGGAAATTATGAATTTCAATTCTTTCTTTTAATTTTTACAAAAAAGTTGAATTAAAAACCATTTATTTTAATTTTTACAAAAAGTTGAATTAAAAACCATTTATTTTAATTTTTTTACACAAAATTGAATTAAAAATATTTTCAATTGAATATTTTTCGTAAAAATTGAAAAGAAAGATTTTCAATTGAATATTTTTTGTAAAAATTGAAAAAAATGTTTTAATTAAATATTTTTTTGTAAAAATTAAAAAAGAGCAATTTTTAATTACAATTCTTGTAAAAATGGAAAAGAAAGTTTTTCAACTGAATATTTTTTTGTAAAAATTAGAACAAAATTAATTTAATTAAAATTTATTCGTAAAAATTGAAAAGAAAGAATTTTAATTAAACTTTCTGTAAAAATTAAAAGTCGTGATTTGTTTTTATAATTAAAAAAGTAATTATATTAATTAGACGCTAAGCTGAATGTTTGCGATTGCGACTCACTTTTAATAATTACAAGTGAATGTAAATAAAATATATTTAAAGGAATGTGAGAATAATAATCAGGGAGATAAAAAAGAAGAAGGAAATGAGGATTTTCTTTCTTTTCTTTTTTTTTTGAAATTTTATATAAATAAATATAGAAAATAAAAAATAGAAAAACGATTTTTGGGAAAAAAATAATAGTTTTTATGCGATATAAAAGAATAAGAAGAATAATAAGAAGAAGATAGGACGGAATTAATAAAAATTTATAAAGCCGAAGTATAAAAAGAATTTTTCATTCACTGTCATATAATTAGATTAATTTCATCGCTGTAAGGATCTGTGTGATTGCGAATAAATGGCCATGTTTTTGGTGATATTCTTTCGAGTTCACCGCGAAGGAGATTTACGAGATTATCTAAATATTGCAATTCTTGTAATTCACGTCGATAATTAATTGCCTCTTCCAATAGAATATTTACTCTCCACTCGTCATTCTGCAAAAAGAGAAAAAAAAAAGAAACAAGAAAAAAAAACAAAAATTAAAATATCCAATATTCGAAATAAAAATACTTTCTAATCGTCATTCGTCAAAAAAAAGAAAAAGAAACTAGAGAGAAAACAAAAATTACAATATTCGATCGAAATTTAAAATATTCAATATTCGAGATAAAAATAATTGAAATAAAAAATAATATTCAATAAAAATATTCAATTAAAATATTGATTATTCGAAATTGAAATATTCAATTAAAATACTGAATATTCGAAATTAAATTATTCCGAATTTAAAATATTCAATATTCGAAACAAAAATAATCGAAATAAAAATATTCAATTAAAATATTGAATATTCGAAATTGAAATATTCAATTAAAATACTAAACAATCGAAATTAAATTATTCCGAATTTAAAATATTATTGAACATTCGAAATTAAAATATTGAATATAAAAAATGAAAATATTCAAAATTCAAAATTTAAAATTTAAAATTTTTAAATTCAATATTCGAAATTAAAAAAAAAATTCGAATTTAAAAAGAATATTCAAAATTAAAATACCAAAATAATCAACAATAAAAATATGGAATATTTAAGAATAAAATATTGAATATTTCGAATTAAAAAGAAAATTAGAAAATAAAATATTTTGAAAATTCAGAAAAAATAAAAAAATGAATATTCAAATTTTTACGATGGAATTAATTGTTTTCCATAAAATTACAATAATTTTCGATGTATCGAAAAATTACTCTTCTTATTTTGATGGCCCTTGTAAATAATTTTCCAATAAATCAAAATTTTTACGAAAACATTTTATATTCTTTTTTCTATCAATAAAATGATTAAAAAAATTTTCATTTTTTCTTTCTATAAATAAATAAGTATTCAAAAATTTATTAAACAAAAATTAATGAAATTTGAGAAATTCAATTTTATTTTCAATACAATTTTAATAAAATTTCTCGAAAGAATACAATTATTTTTTAAATAATTTTAATTAAATTCGATTATTTTCAAGAATTTTAATATAAATTCAATTATTTTCAACAATTTTAATATAAATTCAATTATTTTCAACAATTTTGATGAAATTCTATTAAAATAAAATTATTTTCAAAATTTTTAATTAAATTCCTGCAAAAAATTCAATTATTTTCAAAAATTCAGATAAAATTCTTCGTAACAATTCAATTATTTTTAAAAATTTAATTAAAATCCTCAGCAAGAATTCAATTATTTTCGCATAAATAAGAAAATGGTTTCGGAGGAATTCAATTATTTTTAATACAATTTTAATAAAATTTCTCGAAAGAATTCAATTATTTAAAAAAAAAATATTATTTAAAATTTTAAATTCAATTATTTTTAAGAGTTTTAATAAAAATTCAATTATTTTCAAATAATTCTAATAAAATTCTCCGAAACAAATTATTTTTATAAATTGTAAAATTCTTGACAAGAATTCAATTATTTTAATGTAAATAATAAAATTCTTCTGAGAAATTCAATTATTTTCAAATACAATTTTAATAAAAATTTCTATAAAAAAGAAATTAAATTATATATTCAAGATAAATTGTAATAAAATTTTTTCTAAACAATTCAATTGTTCTCAAAATTTTTTGAATAAAACTCTGTAAATTTCAATTTTTCTTTCAAAAATTTTCAATTTTAATTATTTTCAAAAAATTACATTATTTTTACGAAATTTAATGAAATTCTTTTAATTGAAAAGAATGGAATTATTTACGAAAATTTGAATAAAATTGTTTAAAAGAGTTTAATTTTCTATGAATTCTTGAATTGAATTTTATTAAAAGTTTTTTAAATAATAGAGTCACTGCCATAAAAAAATTTATTATTTCTACAAATAATTGAATTTTTGCAAAATTTAAAAAAATAAGTGAATTTTTGGAAAAAGAATTTTATGAAAATTGTACTTAAAATAATTGAATTTCTGGGAAAAAATTTACAATTCATTGATATAATTGAATTCTTACGAAGAATTAAAAAATAATTTAATGTTTCCTGGAATTCAAGTAAAATTGTATTTAGAATAATTGAATTCCAGCGAAAATTTCATTATTTTGTATAAATTGTGAAAATTTTTTGCCAAAATTCAATTATTTTTGTAAATAATAAAATTTTTCTCGAGAAATTCAATTATTTTTAAAAAATAATTGGATTTTTATAATTAAATTATAATAATTGAATTATTTTTGTAAATAATAATTAAAATTGTATTTAAAATTATTGAATTCCAGGGAAAATTTCATTATTTTGTATAAATTGAAAAATTCTTTGCAAAAATTCAATTATTTTTGTAAATAATAAATTTTTTTTGAAAAATTCTATTATTTTCAACAATAATTAAATTTTTATAATTGAATTATTTTTCTAAATAATAAAATTCTTCAGAGAAATAAATATATTTTTAAATAAATAAATGTATTTTTTAATAAATAAATGAAAAATCTACTTTTTTTAATAGACAAAATAAGAAATTTGTCAAATATTGAAAATTAATTTCCAGCTACTATATTAAACTTGGATAATTTTTTTTTTGCTTGAAAATAAATTAAAAACTAAAGAAAAAAAAACTCTTCGGTGATATTAAATGAAATAAAGTTCAACAAACCTGAAAATCCTCCTTTAATGTCACAATTTCTTTCTGCATATCTTCATTGACATCTTGAAGCCTTCTAACTTTAGATTGAATTTCAGATAAATTCTCCCTATCATCATCATCCAATAATAAATTTGTCGAAAATTCAGATTCAACTTCAAGGTCCTCAAAAATCAATCCCTCCTCCTCATTAGAACTTCCTTTGAGATTCTTTCATGTTTTGCGGTTAATTTTTGTTTTTTATCAATTTTTTATCAATTTTTTGTTTCGAAATTATTTCATTTGTAATTTTTTTTTGTCTTAAATATTCGCAATATTATTTTTAATATTTAAAAATAATATTGCGAATATTTATGAAAATAATTATTTTTTATAAAGAAAATAATTCTGAAAATTTCTTTATAAAAAAGAATTATTTTCTTAAATATTCGCAATATTATTTTCAAATATTAAAAATAATATTGCGAATATTTAAGAGAAAATAATTCTTTTTTGTAAAGAAATTTTCAGTAAAAATTAATAATTGTAATTAATTATTTTGGTCTTTGTAGGATTTACTGAATAATTATTGAATAAATAAATTCTTTTTTCCTTTGTATAAATAAATATATAAAATTTTTTGTATAATTTTTTTTTTGTTTTCTTTACCTCAACTCTTGGAAGTGCTTTTGTCGGGTCACTGGAAGTATCCAAACTCCAACCGGGACTTTGAATTCCCGAAGTGTTCTCATCTTCAGATGATGAGAACTTGTGGTTCCCCTTTTCTTCTGAAAGCGTCTTAAGTTCCTTGAAATTTGATATTAAACTGGAAAAGCTGTCCTTTAAGATTGATTAATTTTCTATTTCATAAATTATCAATAATTACAACTAAAAATAAAAAAATAAAGAAAAAAAACAAAAATGGTACAAAAAAGAAACAATAAATAAAATTACAACAAAAAAAGAGAAAAAAGAAATAAAAGAAAAGAAATAGAAACAAAAAGAAATGAACAAAAATATTTTTAATTGTAAATTCGAGAATATTTAATATTTAAAAAAAACGAAGAGAATTTAAAATTCAAAAAATTGAAAGTAAATTAAGTGAATAAAAAAATTTTTTTTTCCATAAAAATGTATTTTAAATAAAAGTTTTTGTAAAAATTGGAAAAACAAGATTCGTAATTGAATATTTTTTGTAAATAATTGAAGAAAAAGATTTTAAATAAAAATTTTTTTGTAAAATTTGAAAAGAAATATTTTAATAAAAATATTTTGTAAAAATCGAAAAAGAAATATTTTAACTAAAATATTTTGTAAAAAATGAAAAGAAAGATTTTTAATTGAATATTTTTTATAAAATATAGACAAAAATGTTAGTAAATTTTTTTTTAAATTGTATTTTTAACCAAATTTTATAAAAATTGAAGATTTTCAAGATTAAGAATTAAGATTAAGATTTTCAATTAAATGTTTTGTAAAAAAGAATTTAAAAAAGAAGATTTTCAATTAATCTTGTTGTAAAAATTGAGAATAATTATAAACTAAATATTAACAAATTTTTTCTGAAAAAATGTGTTTTTATAACTAAATTATTGTAAAAATTTTAAAAAAAATATTTTTTTGAAATTGAGTAATTAATTTTTGTTTTCAAAATTTAGAAATTTAAATTTAAAGGAAAAAAAAATTAAAATTAAAAAAAACTCTAATTTAAATACAAATGGAAATAATTTTACTATTTAAATTCGTCAAAAATCATTGTTTTCGTAAATAAAACAGAAAATTTTCCTTTAAAAAAATTTGCTACCTCTTTAATTCGATTTTTTACGTCGTGAAAATCGAAATCTCCCTTCAAGTGAAAATAATCCTCTATTGGCATTATATTCGGACACAAAAGTTTCTGCAAATTAATTCCTCCTGAAAAATAAAAATAATTAAAAATTAGAATTGTAGTGAATAATATTAAAATAACAATAAAATAATAATTTAATTACTAGACTAGTATTATTATTAATAAAAAAATATTTTCTAGAGTTTCCGATTTTTTATAAAGAAAAAAAAGTGTAAAAACATTGAAAATTAAAAAAAAAAATTCTGAAGTAAAAAAGTAATAAATATTATTATTATTAACAATAAAGAAATACTTTTAGAATTTCCCATAGTTTTTAAAGAAAAGAAGCAAAAATACTTGAAATTAAAAATAAATGAAAAAAAATAAGAAGCAATTTAAAAAAATTTGAAATTTTTCCATTTTTTTAAAACAAGTTTCTTATTTAAAAAAAAATTAAGTAAAAATTCTTCAAAATAAAAACCGAATTTCTGGAGTAGAAAATTAATTAATAATTTTATTGCTAAATTATTCTCGAAATTTTTGGAAATTCAGAATTTGAAATTAAGAAAGAAAAAAAGAAAAAGAAAAAAGTAATAAAAAAAACTTTAACAAATTAAAAGACTAAAAATATATTTTTTTTCCCTTTACTATACAAAAAAAAGGATGAAAAAAACGCACCAATTTTATTTGGATCGATAAGTTCACTCAATTTCCTTTGTCTGAACTTTGAAGAGTGAATGCAGGCAAATTGAAAAGGTGGAGAAAGAATTTTATACTCTTTGGATTTCACTAATCTTTCTGGAGTGTAGGAAAATCCGTGAGATTTTCTAAAGCCATTTTCAATAAAATTTTCATCCTCACCATCTTGAATTTTATCGAAATCGACATTTACTGTCAATTTTATTTCTTTCGTTTTCTCCTTTTCCTCATTTTTCTCATCATTATTATTATTAATATTAAAATTGTACTCATGATTTTTTAATGAAAAAATTGAATTTTGCTTTAAATTATTATTATCGAAATTTTTTCTATTCGATGAATTTTTTTCTTGTAAATTCTTTTCGTTGATAATCGAAGATGAAGAAGAAGAAGAAGAAGAAAAAGTTGATGAAAATGACGAAATATTTTCTGTTTCGCAAATCCACCAGCCGAATTCGTTTTTGCATTTTTCGTTTTCGTACGAAGGGCAAAACATTTTTTTGTCATTGAATCTGGAAAAGAAAAAAATAAATTAGGGAAAAAATTCTATTTTCTGTATTTTTTCGTTTTATTTATTTTTTCTAAATAATAAATAATAAATAATAAATGATAAATAATAAAATAATAAAATTAAAATTAATAATTATTTTTATTTTTAAAATAATTAAAATAGTTTTCAAATCGTCAGCACAAAATCATATATTTTTTTCAGTAGGTCGAACACCTTGGCACAGTTTTTAATAATAAAATTTAATATTTCTTTTCCACTTTTTTTTTCTCGCCAATGGAAATTATTTTTTTTTCGTCCTTCACACACTGAATTATAGAAATTTTTCTTACATTTTCAAAAAAAAATACGTTTCTTATTTTTCTACTGCATTTCTCAAGAAAGTAATATAACGATTTTCGAAAATAAAATTACAAACTGCATTGTTCGGGGAAAAAAGAGAAAAAATATTGACCTCTTTATTTCTTTGTAACCGCAATTGATAGACTGAAGTTCTTTGCGATTGTTCAACCGAAGACCTAATCAGTCATCGTTGTCATAGAAACGCTAATTAAATAAAAAAAAAAACGAGAAGAAAAAGTATTTTTATTTTATTTATTTCTTTTCTTGAACAATTGGACAAATTTTCAAGTATTATTATATTGAAATAACTGTTAAAAAATAAATATTAAAAATATAATTGTAAATTAAATCAATTAAAGGGGAAAAAAGGACAGAAAATGAAAAAACTTTCGAAATAATAAAAGTAAATAAATAAATAAAATAATAAAAATAAAAATTGTAAAAAATAATAACAACTATAATAATAATTAATGAGATTGTAATAATAAATAATAGGAAATTGTAATAGAATTGTAATAACAAGTTAATAATAAATTGTAACAATAATAACAAATTATTTTATAATAACAAAAAAATTATAATGAATATAATAGAAAAAATAATAAAGTTGGCGAAAATTAGTTTTTTGTAGTCGAAAGTGGAAAATCTGTAAATTCAGATACCTGGATTATATCCAAGGTTATACTAATAATAACAATAATAAAAATAATAATAGAATATTTTTTAGAACAAAAAAATAAAAAAATTGTCGAAAATTTATTTATTTAGATTGTTAACAATGTAACGATGAACAGTCGCTGCAAATGTATTTGAAAAGATAAGCAAAAAGTGTAAAAAGAGATTAAAAGTTAAAAACGGACTGAACGTTATAATTAAAATTGATAATTATATATTTAAAACATTTAAAAATTAAAAAATTACTTTATTAACTATATAATAATCGTCGTATTTATATCTATGAATGAATGTTATCAACGTTTATCGAAACAAAATTGAAAGAAAACAAAACAAATACTTAAACGAAAAAAATAAATAATGTACTTAACCAATAAAATTACGCGAAACTGAAAAATTTGTAGATTTTCTTCTCGATAATATAAATAAACGCATTTTTGTGAGATAATAAAGTATATCGGGTCCAATCGTTTAAAGCAAAATAAAAATTACTATCGCGATTCTACTTGACGTGTTACTTGCGTTCACTTGCGTTGATATCGAGGGGGAGAACGGAGAAGATACATACACGCATCATTCGGAATCGGAAGGGAATTTGTGTTCGTTGAAGCAGAGATCAAGCAGACATTGCAAATTGTAGAAGAGAAAAATTATTATCAAAAGAGAGGGAGAGAAAAATAGTATCAAAAGAGGAGAGAGAAAGAGAAAAATCGTATCAAAAGAGAAGGAGAAGGAGAGAGAGAGAAAAATAGGAAAAATAACAGGAAAAAAACACGAATGATTTACACTCGATGATAATAACCCCAAAGTCTATATGGCACGGTCGACTGGCGAATGACGCATCCACGCGTTTTACCGATAAACCATGAACCCCCCATCTCTGTGTTATAACTGTCCCGAGTGGATAAAATTTATGCAAATTAACTTTTTATTTTTCTATACACAGAGAGAAAAAAAAGTCTTGTATTTTACTCGTTAATTTCAATGTTTCTGTAAAAAAAAATTAATTTTTATAGTAAATACGGTAAATACAGTAAATAGTAAATTAGTAAATACCCAAACACTTTGTAGTTAAATGGTAAATAACTCTGAAGTTAGCTGCAAACAGTGTTGGGTAAGTAAAAACCTAAAAACGCAAGGTAAAAATACCTAGATTTTCTTTCGGTTATTTAAACTATTTTAGTCGTGTGTTTTTTTAAGACCGGAATTTGAAAATTCAATTTCGTTTGGAGTATAAAAAGATAGAAAGAAGTATTTCTCTACAAAAAAAAACTCATTTTATTAAAGAAAAAAAAGAAAAATGTAAAAGTGTTTTTCTATTTTACGTACCCAACCCTGACGCTGTTGGTAACTTCCCATCTCTGCGTTAGTATTGGCAACCCTGCTTTCTGTCAGTGTGAAAATGAAAACTGTCAAATTCCCACCGTTTTTTGTTTCGTTTCGCAAGTTTTTTTATTGTTATCGTTATTATCGAACCATAAAAATACGAGAAACTGTTTTAAAAAAATAAACGATCAAACGTAAAATGTATAATAATGAAAGTCCGCGAAACTATTTTCCGAAGAGTTCCGATTTGGAACATTTTAACACAAACCTAACCTCACTTTTTTTGTTTGCCGATTTTCCGCGCACTGTGTTTATTTCTCCGATTTCTCCTTCGAACATTTAGACAAAATAATAAAAAGAACGTGTTCATTGACAACGAGAAGGAAAATATTCCATTTGAATGATGACAATTTGGACGTATTGTGTGAGTATACATATAGAAATATCAATAAACTTAAAGTATATTTTCTTCTTGAATTTTTTTTTTTCGTGTATAGCTGAAATTAACCATTTTTTTATTGACAATACTCGAATTTTATTACTTTTAAGAGCATTTGAACCATTATGACATCAAAATTTGTGTAAAACGTTATGATAGTATTAATTAAATAAATAATAAGAAGAATAATTATAATAATAATAGTAATAATATAATAATAATAATTATAATAATAATAGTAATAATATAATAATAATAATTATAATAATAATAGTAATAATATAATAATAATAATTATAATAATAATAGTAATAATATAATAATAATAATTATAATAATAATAGAAATAATTGTAGTGAAAATACTGATAATAATAACAGTAAAAAGAAAAAAATAAAGGTGATGAGAGCGATTGAAATTTGGGGAATAAACAATAATAATAAAATAGTAATAATAATAATAAAAGTTAGCAATGTTTGTTTATTATTTTAATTTACTAACATTTATTAATATGAATATTAATAACAAAAGAATAAATTTGTTGATACAGATTAATAGTAATGTCAATAAAAATTTATTTTGTTGGTGTTTTTCCTATTTATCACCAAATCGAACAAGTCAATTTGTCATTATATCATAATTTTGTTAAAAAATACTAATTAATAGTAATTATTAGTGAATTTTTATTTTTTAAGTCAATTAATATTAATTAATACAAATAATGAAAAAAAAATATTAATTAAAGTTAATTACTTAATTATTTTTAAAACTAAATAGTTTTTTTAATATGAAATTAATTAATAATAGAAATAATTGTAATGACAATAGTAATAATAATAATAACAATAAATTAATAAGAAAAAGGAAACAATAAAAATGATGAAAGCGATGAAAATTTGTCGAATAAACAATAATAATATTAACAAAAAAATAGTAATAATAATTATAATATAATAATAATAACAGTAATAATAATAGTGACGATGACAATAATAAAATAATAATAAAAAGGAAACAATAAAGATGATGAGGGCGATGGAAATTTGTCGAATAAACAAATCCATGTGCAACGCTCTCGTCGCATTATTGTGTGTCACAGAGTTCATGTACAGACCGCATTTACTAGGTCATGATTGGCACTCATCAAAACGAGACAGTGCGCCATTGTAAATATTCGCTTATTCTAATTCAACGTGTATTAATTGAATTGGACAGTTGCGTTTGCATCGAGCAAACTCTAATCGTTCAAATGTCCAAATATTCAATTTTCACCTTGAATCACGAGTGTCTTCAATTATTTATCAAAACACTGCACTTCTCGTTTTGCCTTTATTTTTTTTGGAAAAATTTTATTAGCCTTATTTTTTATAGGATATTTTTTCAACACAACGAAGAAATTTTTTTTTTTTTGTGTGAAAATTTGGAAAATGAGAAAATATTAAATTAGTTTATATCAGTGGAGTAACATTTACGGATTTAATTTTATTTACAGTGAAATTTATATTGTAATTTAATTTTACTTTTAGTAAAAATTAGGTACTATAAAAATAGAAACATTTAGTGAATTTATTTTACTAATATGGTAAAATTTAATAATTTTATTTTTTTCTTAAATTAAATTTAAAATTAGTAAAAGTTACTAATTTATATTTACTTACAGTTAAATGTAGTAAATTTATTTTACTGATATTGTAAAAGTTACTAATTTTTGTTTTGAAATTAAATTCAAAATTAGTAAAATTAACTAATTTTATTTTACTAATACAGTAAAATTAACGAATTTTCTTTTAATTATAGTAAAAATTACTAAAAAAATTGTAACATTTAGTAAATTTATTTTACTAATAATGTAAAATTTACTACATAAATTGACTTTTGCCTAAAATTAAATTCAAAATTAGTAAAGTTTACTATAAGAATAGTAAAATTTAGTTAATTTATTTTACTAATATAAAAAAATTACTAATTTGATACATTTTTTAAAAATTAGTAAAATTTAGTTTTTTTAAATTAAATTTTACTAATAAGGGGTCGTTTATAAGTTACGTAAGGTTTTTAGGGGGAAGGGGGGGGGGGGTAAATTTTCAAAAAAAAAATTTACATAATTTATGGACGGCCCTTAGTAAAATATTTCATGATAGGATTGAAATTAAAAATACATTTTTTGTTCGTAGAAAATCCATTAACAATAATGTTTATTTAAAATAAATATTACATACATTTTTTTTTCATTTTCATTTTTTTGTAAGAATAGAATAAATTTTATTGTAAGTATAGATTAAATTTTTTTTTTTAAATTTAGAACACAATTTTCATTTTTTTGTTGCCGAAAAAATAAAGTTTTTAACCTACAATACTTGAGGCACCGCGCAACGCTAAATAACCGGCAGTAATATCCATTGGTAAACTACGTACTGTTGTGAATTCCTCGGTTGTCGCGTAATATAATTTTGTTTGTGGATCCGTGTAACGTGCTGATAAGCCAGAAATATCGGAATATTTTTTCGCCGGCTTAAAACTTGGCGGTGCATTAATTGAACTGTAATGTACAATGTCACTGGACCATGGTAGGGCTCGTTCTTGTGCAAGTACTTGCTTCAATGAACGCCAAATGCGTTTTTTCCCCGAACTATTTGTTGGTCGAAAGCGTTGTTGAAATGTTGGATCTTTATAAACTGGCATTGGCTTTTTATTTATTTCCACTATTTCCTCGTTTACCATCTTCAAAAAAAAAAGAAATTACATTTTTTTGAATTTTATTTCTTTACATTTTATTTTGAAAATAAATTTTGAAATTCAAATGATTTTCAAAATAAATCAATTAATTTAAAAATGAATAATTTAATTTAAATTAAATAATACAATTAATTTTAAATTGGATAATTTAATTATATTTCAATAATTTAATTGTATTTAATTTATTTTATAATTTACTTATTTATTTTTAAACTTATTTATTTATTTTGAACTTAATTTATTTTACTATAATTTAATGACTTATTTTAAAATTTATTTATTTAAAAATTCATTTAGTTATTCTGAAATAAAGTTATTTATTCTGAGAAATAGTTTTCGACTTTTTGAAAAACTGCGCGAAAAGTTCGTGAGTTGTGATTCGTTGATCAGACAAGTGTACTGCGCATGCGTGAGTATAGTGTCTGTCAGAACGTTGTGTACGTTATTACTTATTAGTTGCTTGTCGTTACCTTTCTTGTGTTTAACTCGAAGTGTTTCGTTTCCGGACCAACGATATTTATTAAATTTGTCCGCTAACAATTTATTTAACACGATTTCGAAGAAAACAGTTTTCAGTGATTAATGTGAAACTTGACATGCAGTTGCCGACGATTCTCAGTTAGTTCGAGTACTTCCGTTCCCCTTCGTACTAGTTCGGAGAATAGTCGGCGTTCGGCGATGCACCGCTCAAGCACACTGAGGTACAAACATTCATCGGCACCCCGTTCATTGTAAAAAATTTGTATCTTTAAAGCGATCGATTCAAAGTGCAACGAAACCAAGAAGAAGTGAACATTAATATTGTAGTATTAATATTAATTAGCAAATTTTGTTTATTTTGTAAATTTATTAATATTTATTAATATGAATATTAATAATAAACGAATAAATTTGTTATTACTGATTAATAGTAATATGAACAAAAATTTATTTGCTGGTGTTTTTCCTATTTATCACCAAATTAAACAAGTGAATTTGTCATTATATCAACATTTTGTTAAAAATAATATTAATTGATTGGAATTATTAGTTATTTTTTACTTATTAAATCAATTAATATTAATTAATACAAATATTGAAAGAAAATTAGTAAAGTATGCTATTAATTAAAGTTAATCACTTAATTATTTTTAAAATTAAAAAGTTTTTCTTTATATAGTGTTTTTCCTATTTATCGACAAATTGAACAAGTGAATTTGCCACATAATAATTTTTTAAAAATAATACTAATGAAAAGTAATTTAGGATCATAGTTAAGTGTGAAGACTATTAAAAAAGTAAAGTGTTTTTAAAGAGCACAAAAATAATGAAGCTAAATGCCATAGAAAAGAAGAAAAAATATTGAATTTTGAGAAATTTGGTTTTTCGAATTTTTGATCATTTTAGATTTTTTACCAAAGAGTCGAGACTATTAAATAAGTAAAGTATTTTTTAAAAGCACAAAAATAATGAAGCTAAATGCCACAAAAAAGAAGAAATAACGTTGAATTTTAAGAAATTCGGATTTTTGAATTTTTGAAAATTTTCGATAATTTTAGATTTTATACCAAAGAGTCGAGACTATTCAATAAGTAAAGTATTTTTCAAAAGCACAAAAATAATGAAGCTAAATGCCACAAAAAAGAAGAAAAAATGTTGAATTTTAAGAAATTCGGATTTTTGAATTTTTGATAATTTTCGATAATTTTAGATTTTTTACCAAAGAGTAGAGACTAATAAATAAGTAAAGTATTTTCCAAAAGCACAAAAATAATGAAGCTAAATGCCTCAAAAAAGAAGAAAAAACGTTGAATTTTAAGAAATTCGGATTTTTGAATTTTTGAAAATTTTCGATAATTTTAGATTTTTTACCAAAGAGTCGAGACTACTAAATAAGTAAAGTATTTTCTAAAAGCACAAAAATAATGAAGCTAATTGACATAAAAAGGAAGAAAAAATGTTGAATTTTAAGAAATTCGGTTTTTTGGATTTTTGATAATTTTCGAAAATTTTAGATTTTTTACCAAAGAATCGAGACTATTAAATAAGTAAAGTATTTTCTAAAAGCACAAAAATAATGAAGCTAAATGCCACAAAAAAGAAGGAAAAATGTTGAATTTTAAGAAATTCGGATTTTTGAATTTTTGAAAATTTTCGATAATTTTAGATTTTTTACCAAAGAGTCGAGACTATTAAATAACTAAAGTATTTTCCAAAAGCACAAAAATAATGAAGCTAAATGCCACAAAAAAGAAGGAAAAACGTTGAATTTTAAGAAATTCGGATTTTTGAATTTTTGATAATTTTCGATAATTTTAGATTTTTTACCAAAGAGTCGAGACTATTAAATAAGTAAAGTATTTTCCAAAAGCACAAAAATAATGAAGCTAAATGCCACAAAAAAGAAGGAAAAACGTTGAATTTTAAGAAATTCGGATTTTTGAATTTTTGATAATTTTCGATAATTTTAGATTTTTTACCAAAGAGTCGAGACTATTAAATAAGTAAAGTATTTTTCAAAAGCACAAAAATAATGAAGCTAAATCCCATAAAAGAGAGGAAAAAACGTTGAATTTTAAGAAATTCGGATTTTTGAATTTTTGATAATTTTCGATAATTTTAGATTTTTTACCAAAGAGTCGAGACTATTAAATAAGTAAAGTATTTTCTGAAAGCACAAAAATAATGAAGCTAAATGCCACAAAAAAGAAGGAAAAACGTTGAATTTTAAGAAATTCGGATTTTTGAATTTTTGATAATTTTCGATAATTTTAGATTTTTTACCAAAGAGTCGAGACTATTAAATAAGTAAAGTATTTTCCAAAAGCACAAAAATAATGAAGCTAAATCCTATAAAAGAGAGGAAAAAATGTTGAATTTTAAGAAATTCGGTTTTTCGAATCTTTGATAATTTTTGATTTTTTACCAAAGCTATTTTATACTTTTTTAGTCAATTAATATTAATTAATACAAATTTTGAAAGAAAGTTAGTAAAGTATGATATTAATTAATGTTAATTACTTTTAAAAGGCATAAAAGTTTTTGTTAAATATGGTCTTTTTCCTATTTATCATCAAATTGGGCAAATGATGCCACTGGTTTAACAAAGTCTAAATATTATTAGTATTATAGATAACTTAATTAATTAAAAGTAATTAATTTATATAGTTAACTGAATAATTATAATGTTATACGGCAAAAAAATGTACGTGGGACAACAATTTGTACTATATCAACAAAATTTTTATTTATTTTAGTTGGCCTTTTGAGTTTTTTCTTTTTCAAAAAATGCATTTAATTTTAAATAAAAATAAGCAAATTTAAATTACGGTAGTATTCATTAGCCTTGAATATATAATTTATTTGATAATAGTCGCGAGTAATAAATATTGAGTTGCGTTATATATTTGTATAATAATTTATCGCGTATATCAAGATATTGCTATGCAATTCTCCCGATAAGAAATCTATTGAAGCAATCAAACTATATATTTCTCGTGTCATATATATATATATACCAATTATATTGTTTTCGATTAACTTTCGCAATTTGCTATTTCCTATCAGTCAGCCTGTGGTCTAGGGGTACTATTAACTATCGGCTTGTCTCGATACCGATCAATCTTGTATTCGAGACTACCAGCTGACTTTGATTTTTTATCTGAGAATTTTATAATATCAAGGTCAGCCTTTAAATTTTATCTTATTTCGTTTAATCTAAATTTTTTCGGTGTATTTTTGCTCTTTTTTTTGTTATTTTTTTTTAATACACAGAAAGAATCTCTTAATGTAATTATTCAATTACAAATATAGTGACGTCATTAAATTATAATCATTTATTATCAATGCTAAGGGGGAAATTTCGAATTATTATCATCAAGGGAATTAAAATAGAAACACTAAACCAATTTACTATCGTTTACATGAATAATGTCAATTATGAAAATAATAATAATAGTAAAATATTGGTATTTTAAAAAAATTTTGTATTTAAATACTTTTGTTTCGTGTGTTACTTTTTTTTAAAGAAAAAATTTTATAATGAAATATTGAATCAAATTAATTTCGAACGATAATTTCTCAATATATTGTGCTTGAATACCTATACATATAAAATATTTATTTGCCCGCATTTTCCTACATATATACACAGGCAATTTGATGCATATGGATAATATTGCATATTATTTAACATAAATTTATTTTGAACGCGTGCTAAACGTTGTGTCGTGGTTGTCAATGCGAAATTGATCGAAATAATGGGAAAAGTGGCACGTGATTTGAAAATCAAATTGTATTTTCGGTTCTCATGAAAGTTCGGTACACCCCTTTCCCTCTCTGGCGGAAATAAAAATTTATTCCGTAAAATTAACAATTTTAATAAAACATTTATTTTTTCTTTATTCATTGAATTCATTTTAAAAATACAAAATAGTGATAAAAATTATCGTCTGGTAAAATTAGTGACTTTTAAAATTTTTTTTAAAGGGAAGTGAATTCTAAGAATTATTTATTTTATTACTATTTATTATCAATATACCTGTTTCTTATTAAATTGAACTTATTTTTGGGCTTGAAATAAAATTTAGATAATTTTAGGTCTTAAAAATAAGAAATTTAGTTGTTTTAGCCGCAAAATCAAAGGCTTAAACGAAGACTTATTTTTTACAGTGATGCTATTAAGATTTATTATTTTTTAATTATTTCTGTTCATTTTCTATTGAATTCGGGGAATTTTTCTCATTCAGAAGATGATGAGTGCCATCGCCTTGTTTTTCCCAGTTTATTTTAACCAATTCCTTAGATGGTTGCTTGAGATCGTAAGCCCATCCAAATTTAGCCATTAGTTCAATGAACAGGGCTGCAAAATTTATATTAGAATATCCATTTTCAGCACATTTATAATCATAGGGAAAGACGTGATGATAATTGTGGCATCCTTCTCCAAATGTTACATTGTGATATAGGCGACTATTCACTGACTGAATGTTTCTAAAAAAAATCATTTTTTGTAGATGGTGAAACAATACATTTTTATGGTAATATTTTTTTAAAAAAATTTTTAATTTTTATTTACAGTGTAACCTCGATTATCCGAACTAATTCGGGTTTCAGTTCGGATCATCGAGGTTCCACTGTATTTTTATTTAATTTTTAAGAAATAATGAAAAAAAAGTTTACCGATTATATGCCTTTGTACCCCAACCTTCAGTGTGCAAGAGAGTATTTCCAAATGAAGTTACGTGATACTGTACAAAAAGACGCATACAAACTTGACTCATAATTGCCCAATACCAAGTTTCGTTCCAAAAAAAATACCGGTACTAGAGATGGAAGAATTACTGCCCAGATTATTACGGAAAAAATATGAAATCTGTTTAAAAATACATTTTTTTATTAGGAGAAAGAAAGATAGAAATCGTGAGTTAAATTTTGACTATATAGTTTTTTCTTCGTTTTAAGGCAGAGATTTGCTTTTCGATAATTCAGTGTCTCATTTTGAATTCTATATTAAAATATGAAAAGTACCTATCTCCAAATTTAACGAAGGGGTCTGAGTTAAGGTCACTTATGTCAATTTCCCGTAATCGTTTAGTGCACTCCGGATGTTTTTCCATCAGAATCCAACCAAGGTACGAAAAGAACATTCCACGTTTTGAATTCATTGGGTCAGCATCACAGTCTGGGTATTTATGATGAACGCGATGGATTTTCACCCAGATATGTAGTTTAAACTAGGTTTAATAATTAATAATCATAATAATGATAATAGTAAGAAATATATATATAAATACTAATTCTTTCATGTATGTTTCAGCATTTCTTCTGAACGTGTTTAAAAAAATTTTATTTTTTTGGTGTTTTTTCCTATTTGCCAAATTTGAGTGTTGGACTTTCAAGAGAAAATTTTCGATTTTGGTTCGTTTTTGAAACAATAAAAACAATAATAATTATAATAATATAATTATTTAAAAAATTTAATCATGTAATAATAATGTGACGCGCTCTTAAGAAATATATCTAAGAAGCAAAATAATTTAGGTTACGTTTAATTTTTGGAGTAAAAATACAGAAAGAGAATCAATTACAATGTTACAAATTATTAATGTTCAACTCTATTCCAAAATATTCAATAAAAATTGATTTTAGTCTTAAATAATTGAATGGAAACTTCTAAATAAAGATGAAAGTAAGACAAATGTATCCTATAACTCGTTTTCTTGTTGGGTACCTATCTTAGGAGCGCGTTACATATTTAAAATAAACAGTAGAAAAAAAATGATTATATAATTAGAATTAAGTTTGTTTTTAGCTTTATTTTGCAGTAGAACAGAAATTGAAATGAAAAATAAGTAAGTTTTAACCTGTCCACTGGTGTAATAAAACATTGTTAGGATCATTCGAAGGGGCCACTTTGCTTTGTAAGTTGAGTGAGCCCACAGACGATGAGCACTAGCAGATAATCCGAATATCATTGAAAATGTATAGCAGAATATTACTTGAATCAAAAAATTAACTTTTTAAAATAATTTCACATTAATTATGCACACTTTCAAAAATTAAATAAGGTAAATAAATTAAAACTTATTCTAGAATAATAAACAACGAGCTAAATAATAAATGGATAGAAAATAAAATACTGTAACACTAATAAATTTGTATAAAAAATGAAGTACTATAAATAATAAACACTATGAGTAAATAATAATATATAAATAAACAATAAAAGATAAAATAAACTATAAGAAAAAATTTTTAAAATGTACAATACTAAAATATTTAAATAATACTTGAAATTAATTTTTTACTTACACCATGAAAAAGTGGCCTTTTTATTCAAATATGGAAAGGTAAAAATCGTATAAACGCTGAGTAAATGATAAAACATTACAAAAATAACATTTTGAAAAATCCATTTTTCGTGTACTTCGTTTTTATCATTTGAATTCATTTTTATTTTTTTTAAAATAAAACAAAAATTTTTAATAAATATATTTATTAATATAAATAAATATATTTTTTGAGAAAAATCTTTTTAAATGTATTTAAAATTAAAAAAATATATTAAATAAAAAATGATATAAAAGTTTTCTTATTGCGCGGAGAGAAAAATTTTTCGTCCTGCAGTTAACAATGTAAGAGGTGAAATAATTATTATTTCGTGCTACAAATTAATAAAAGCAAGAGTTGACAAATTTCTTTCTACTTTATACATTGTCGCTTCATTTGTATATTAAAACAAAGGAGGTTAAATGTCAGACTTAACATACGTATAATTATTATTTATTTAAATACTGTCTGATTTCAATGTCCTTAACATTTTAACCGCTTTAGATCAAAAATGTATTTTGTTTACACAATGTTTTACTTTGTTCTTTAAATAACAGATAGACATTTTTATACAGTCAGCAGCACTCGATAATATGTAAATATTATTAAATTCTTCGTTATTATTAAATACTATCAATTATTTATAAATATAAATGAATAATAATTATACTTAATCAAAAAAATTAAAGTTTACAATTATAAGAATAATAATTACATTATTATTATTATTTGAATTTTCCCAGAATTTTTCACGAAACAATTGTCAATTCATTAATAAGTTTACATTATTATTGTTTTTAAAAAATTAATGCAAGTCTTTTACTTTCCACATTAAATGACTACCATCGCCCTTTCTTTCGCAAGTCATTTTAATTAATTCCCTGGACGGTTGCTTTAAATCATATGTCCATCCAATTTTTGCGAATAATTCAATGAAAGAAGTGACAATATTTATTTTATAAAATCCAAATTCAGCTGATTTATAATCCGTGGGAAATGTGTGATGATAGTTGTGCCATCCATCACCCAGTGTGACTAAATTTAATATCTTGTTATTCGATGGAGGAATATTACTGAAAAAATAAATTGAATTGAAAATTATTATTATTATTTAAATAAATAAAATTGTCTTCTCCATAGCCTGCTCTGAAAGAAGTAGTTTTTATGTTTAAGAAAAAGAGTGACGAAAGTAAATTTTGGCGTGACTAATATTTACTTTCACCACTTTGTACAGAGGAGTTGAGAAAAGTTCTACTTTCGTCACGCTGTTCGAACATGAAAACTACACCTTTCAGAACTATAATTAGAATTAAACTACAAAATAACTATAATAAATAATTATTTAATTGAACTCAGTTGTACCTGTTGTATGGTTTAGTACCCCACATATGCAAGAGGCTACTTCCACTAGCCGTTGCATGACCATTGATTAAAATGCGCATAAAAACTTGACTCATTATTGCCCAATAGAGGGTTTCGTTCCAAAAAATAATTGGCACTATTGATGGGAGGATTATTGCGCATGTTAATATTGTAATACCATAATATCTACAAAAATGGTATAACAATTTTTATTTACCATACAGCAAATTATGTTAATTATTTTTGTTGTTGTTCGGATGAAGAAAATTTATTTCTTGGTGTTTTTCCTACCTATCACCGAATTTCACTATTGGATCTGCCTCAATGTCAGTGAGGTTGATTTCCTTCATTCGCTTAATGTACTCTGGATGACTTTCCACCATCATCCAACCTATATGGGCGAAAAAAAATCCACGTCTAATATTTGTTGGATCACCATCAGTGTCTGCATATTTATGATGAACTCGATGATGTCTCACCCAATATGACAAACGGGACTGAAAATAAATTTATTTATGTCCTTTTTTCTTCTTTTTAAAAATATTTTCTAGTTTATTTGTTAAATTATTAACGTCTGAATAACTCAAGGCTAAGAATCAGTTAAAAATGTTTCTAATTTAAACGAATTTTTTTTAAATCGACATTACGATGGGGGTTTGTAGGATTAGAGGTATTTAGTCAAAATTGAGTTTTAAAAGTAAAGCGGTCCTTACCTGAGCACTAGAGTAGAAAAGAATTGCAAGTAGTAACCTAATAGGCCATTTTGCTTTATAAGAACGGTGTGACCATAAACGATGGGCACCTCCTGTTATTCCAAGTGCCGTCAACAAGTAACCAAGCATCACTAATAATAAAAATCAAATTTTCATTTTTATAAATTAATAAATATAATATTACCCACGTTCAAAAAAATTTACATCCTTCAAAGCAAAAACAGATTGTAAAGAAGCCAATTAAAAAATTTAAAACATGAAAGACTTTAATAGTCATAACTTAAGGATCTAAAATAATACTCTCAAGGCTAAGATTAAGTCAAAAATATTGTTTCTAATCTAAACGGTTTTTTAGTGTTAAATTGAAAGTAAAATTTTTAGAGTGTAAATATTATGTAAATATTATGAAAAGTAATCAAATATAAATTTTTTCTCTTTAATTTTACTTACACCATGCGATAGTTGCCTTTTTATCGAGATATGGAAAAGTAAAGATGGCATAAAGACTGATAATGTGAAACAGTAAAATAGTTACAATGTCTTTAATCATTAATTTTCCGAATTTAATTTCAATCATATTGCGGGACGTGACGATTTTTTATTTAAAAATTTTAACTTTTTTTGCTGTTTTTGAAAAAATTTTCCTTAAAATTTCAATTTATAAATTTAATAACTTAAAATGCTTGCAACATTGTTCAGAGAAAGAAACAGTTTAACAAATGTAAATTATATACTTTATTTTCATTAACATTTTCACTTCTATTTATTTTCATAATCATAAATAATGTATCACTTGATATTTTTTAAGATTATAATTTTAAATATTTTCTTCTTTTCGATATACAAATTTTCAATTTCTGTTTTTACTTCTTCGTGGAAAAATATTGAATTAAATACATATAAGTTCTAGAAAAGTACTAATAAAATTTTAATTGTCAATTTGTTAGAAAGTTTTGAAAATTTTCTGATGCGTGAGGTAATTAAAATAATTCTACTAATTAGTAATTAGAGAAATGACAATAATTGGTAATTCTAATTACATTAATTAATAAATTAATTAAATTTAATTATTGATAGTATTGGATATAAAAGGAATCTCGGTTTTCCATATTGGATGACTGCCATCGCCCTTTCTTTCGTATGTCATTTTAACTAAAGCTTCAGACGGTTGTTTTAAATCATAGGCCAAACCAATTTTCGCCAATAATTCTATGAGAAATGTGACGAAATTAAATTTATAAAATCCAAATTCGGCAGATTTGTAATCCGTTGGAAAGGAATGATGATAATTGTGCCAACCTTCCCCAAACGTAATTATATTCATTATTCGATTATTCACTGAATTAATGTTTCTGAAATTAAAATTCAGTTAAAAATTAAAATGAAATTTTGCAATTTAAAATAGATTATTTGAGTACATTCTAATGTGGTTATATTTATCCAAGAGGTGCATACGCATTAAGATCAATGTCGTTATACATTTTTTAGTTCGAGCTTACAAAAAATTAACATTTTTGAAATGATATAAAATGTTAGCAACTACCTATTGTAAGGTTTTGTCCCCCACATATGCAAGAGACTATTTCCAAATCCACCAACATGAGTACTGAAGAAAGTGCGCATAAAAAACTGACTCATTATTGCCCAGTAATAGGTTTCATTCCAAAAAATTATCGGCACTAATGATGGAAGAATTATGGCACATGTTACTACCGTAATACCAAAGAATCTATATTTAAAACAATTACAATCATTAACTAATTACATTACTCAATGCATTTAAATTAATTATTAATTTATTATAATTATTTATTAGGATTATTAAATAATTATATTTAAAGAAGTATTATATTATTTTTATCATAATTCTTTATAATTTAACTGAGCTATCCCCACTCTAGCGCTCTGGAATTATTTTCTATAGTCCTCACCAGATGACTGCATTTGTCGTTTTTGTCCATGACAGTCAACTGAGTAAACAGAGGGCTAAATAATTATTAATTACAATTTAATTAATTAATTACTAACTATTATTAATTTACTATTAATATATTTACTGTTAATTATTATTAATATTTATCTTTAATTTCTGAATTTATTTCTTTTTGCAGTTGGAGCAGAACACTCTCACAGTCCAAGAGTATGGTTTTGGCAATTTTTTAATGACAGAAGTGAATGGCTCAACATTTATTGCCAATTGTGTAAAAACAAAAATTTATTTCTTGGTGTTTTTCCTACCTATCACCGAATTTTACTATTGGATCTGCCATAATATCAGTTATATTGAGTTGTCTCATTTTTTTAATACACTCTGGATGTCTTTCCAACATTGCCCAACCAATGTGGGCAAATATAAATCCACGTTTTGTATTATGAGGATCGGCATCAGTTTCTGCATATTTATGGTGAGCACGATGCAATTTAACCCAGGTTTTTAATTTAAACTATAACACAATTATTTAATGAATTTAAAATTAAATTATAATTTAAAAATGAGCACCGACTTAATTTTGGAAATTAAATTAACTTTCAATTTTCAAAGTTAAATATTTAGAGTCTTATATTTATTAAATATTTTTTTTCATTATCTGTTTGAAATCAACATAAAATTTCAAAAACTTAAGTAGGTGAAAATTTCAGCTTCATAAAAAATTTTTAATTCAAAATTTAATTATCAAAATTAATGAAAAGACATTTTATTTGTTTATAAATTATAATCAGCTTTTTTAAATATTTACTAAAATGTAACTTCTGGAAAATATTGATATTAAAGTGTTGAACAAGAGAAATTTTATTTTGTCGAGGTTTCTAGTGAAATTGGGGAGGGTCCTTTATTATTTATAAAATGAAATAAGTAAATTTGCTAAAAATTTAATTATAAGGGGATTTTTAATAAAATACAAGAATAGAAAAATTTGGAAATTTATTTTTACCTGACCACTAGAGTAGAAAAGAATGGCAAGTATCAATCGAACTGGCCACTTTGCTTTGTAGGAAGAGTGAGTCCATAAACGGTGAACACCTGCCGTTACTCCAATCACTGTTAATGAATAGCTTACTATCACTATAATAAATAATAAAAAATATTAAATAAATCATAAAACGCTAAATTATAATCACTATTATTCTTTAGTGAAGATTCAAAATTTGCCATTTTTGGAAACATCTTTTGAATTATCGCAATTTTTTTTTATTACTTACACCATGCAAAAGTTCGCTTTTTATTAAAATACGGAAAAGTGAATATTCCATAGAAACAAATAATATGATACACCAATAGACTTATAAAATATGTGTAGATAAATTTTTCGTTCGTATTTGATTCACTTATTTTTTCACTGACAGCAACCATTTTCCTTTAAATTATTTTTTCTATTTATTTATTATTATGACTTTTATATATATATTGTTCGTTAAATGAGTAAAATTCTAAAATAATTAAAAATTGAAAATAATTTAAACATCTGAGTCTTTAAAATTGTTAAAATTATCCAAAATACTTAAAATTGTGGAATAAAATTAAAAAATTAAAATATTATAATCGAATTGAAAAAATGGACTTTTTGATCGAATAAGTGACGCGAAATGTGAGGTTGTGGAGTATTTTTTTTCACTATTAGTTAATTATGTGGAGAGAAGCAGTTATATAGTCACTTATACTGAATAAAACAGTGTTGCCACGTGAAAACAATTTTTTTACTATTTTTAATAGTTTATTCATTGTTTCAATATGCAATTTTAATTAATGTCAATTACCAATTATTATTTCTTTTCTCTAATAATGAGAATTACTATAAATTTTAATTATTTTTTATATATACATGTATTTACCAAGATAAATGTAAAATTTAATTAATTTATTTATTAATCATAGGGTTCGAGACTCAATGGTATCTTGAAACAAAACCCCAACTCTTGACCTATCGTTATACTAAACAACTTAATTTACAGAATTAGAAATTAATTATTCGCCAGAGCTCAGGGTTTCCGATTCTAGTTTCACTCGCCCTTTATGGCCTCGTCAGGTTATTTTCTATAAATATTATTATTAATAATATTTATTATATTAATATTAATAATTATTATTAGTTACTTTTATTACTACTATTAATAATAAAAATAATTATTAATTATTAATAATAATAATAATAATAATAATAATAATTATTATTATTATTATTAGACGTTGATTACTATTAATATTATTAATAATTATTGGTTATTAATTATGAAAATTGATAATTAATAATAGTAATCAAAGCCGGTCTTAGGTACTAAAATAAAACAAATAATGGGTTAGTACTGAAAATTATTTCTAAATTAATATTAAAGTGGCTGTTTTTAGCAATTTAGTAAAATTTTTAATAATTTTGAAATTTTTAGAATTATTTTAATTTTAGTATTTTTTTTTATAGTAATTCAGTAATTTTTTATTTTTTCCAGATTAAAACCAAAGGCAGGAATTGCAATTTGCAAAAATTGACGAAAATTGCAGGAGCAAAATTTTATTTCTTGGTGTTTTTCCTATTTATCATCAACACTTCTTTTCCTACCATGGGAAAGCGAAAATTGTCTCTCTCTCTTCTATTATATAATCAGGGTGCACAACTTTTAGGAAAGTCGGGAATTTTTTTTTATTCAAAGAGAAATCATGAATTTTCAGGGAAATTTCATTCAAAGTCAGGGAAAATTTCTCTTAAAATGCAAAAAAACAAAAAAGTACAAAAAATTTCGTTACGAATTTGAAATTTTTTTATATAACAATTTTTTCATATATATTCTTTGATAGTTTATTTATTGATTCAATATGTAAATAACTCATATTAATTATTGTCAATTATTACTTTTTTTAATAGTTGTTTTTATTAATTAAATAGATAGTAAAAAGTATTAGTAAAAATTTAATAATAAAAACTTAGAAGTAAAAAGATACTAAAGATAGTAGTAAAAAAGTAATAGTAAAATGTTAGTAGTAGAAAATTAATAGTAAAATGATTGATAGTAATAAAAAATTATAGTAGAAAGTTAGTAGTAAAAAATATAGTATTTAAAAATTAATATTTAAATATTAATAGTAGAAATTTAATAGTAAAAAATTAATAGTGAAAAGATAGTAATATAAAATTAATATTAACATATTAATAGTAAGAAGATAACAGTAAAAATAATAGTAAAGAGGTTAGTATTAAAAAATTAGTATTAGAATATTAATAGTTGAATGTTAGTTGTAAAAAATGAATAGTAACAACTTAAAAGTAAGAACAAATAGTAAAACGATAGTAGTAGAAAATAATATTAAAATGTTTGTAGTAAAAATTAATAGTAAGAAAGGAGAAGTAAAAAATTAATAGTAGAAACTTAAAACTAAATTTAAAATAAATTTACATTACACTAAATTAGTTGTAAAAATTATTCGGAACCAAATTTTATAAAAATTAGGCTATATAGGGCTAAAAGGATTGAAAGAAGTTTGCTTATTTAGAAATAGTATTTCGAATAAACCGTTATTATTTCTTAAAACAAATGCAAAGTGGGTTTTCGAATAAAACGCGCCTAAAATTATTTCCCAACTTCCTCCGCGAGATGTCTTCGCATGCGCCTAAGGCGTCGGCGCAAAAACAAAGCGTACGTCTGGGTGTTTCTACCCTCATGTGAATTGTCAGGATCGGCACTAATTTACCAAACGTAATTCAAAATAGTTTCATGAAAAAAGCCCCTTGCTTTAAATTTATAAAGAAAAGAATAATTTTCCAAAAAAGAAAAGACTTTCAAAGTTAGAAAATAATTCAAGAGGGGTAAAAATTTCAGTATCGAAAGAGAGAGAGAAAAATTGTGTAATTAACTTTATTCCATGGTCTAGTTTGAGGTGGTGCCGTTCATGTGAGTTCAACGTCGCGGGTTTCTTTTTCAAACGATCGATACGAACTTTCCACGGCCTCAAACGGAATTTCCACGAAACTTGACGACGGGCTCTCGTGTTCATACAACCTCACGTATAATGTTCTCTTAACCCTCTTCTTCTTCTTCTCTGTCCCTCTCATCCGGTGTGTGTCTATGTGTGTGCATGACCCTTAAACAGCGTCCGCGCTTTTCACTCTTATACTTCCGGTCAATTTCAGATCGAAATTCTCACCCGAAGTGAAAAAGATAAACCGGCGGCTTTCATTTAATTGTTATAAGAAATAAAAAATTCGATTTCCGGTGTGTGCAAGCTTATCGGTTTGATCAACTTTTGTAAATTTTTTTTTACTCTGGGGGAGAAAAAGAAAATGTAAAAAAGAGAAAGTGGAGTGGGAGAAAAGATGGGGTTTTGAAGTGTTAAAAGAAAAATTTGTGAAGGGAAATTTTCTTTCTTTTTTTTTTTTTGCTTCAGGAGGTTATGTCGACCGGGAGAGAGCGTCGCGGGTGTGCGCCTCGGCGTTGTCAAAAGAGACGGTGTAAAATTTGTCGTCGTTGATTTTAAATAAAAAAATGATAAAAATGAAATGAAGAAAAATGTGCAACGACTATTGGGGTGAAATGGCACATTGTCGAAGACCGCGGGGTCGTCTTAGGAGGAACTATATTCCAAGGTGGCTCATCATCATGGCACTTGGATTCATTGTGATTCTTGGTTCATTGACACATACGGCCACCGGTGAACCCAGCAAGGAATGTAAGTAGTTCAATATTTTTAAATTTGGAAAATTTATTTTTTATTGTAATAATTGTTTTTCCATTTGGATTTTTTCTGATAATAAATTTTCATCGAAAATTTTATTATCAATTATGTTTTAGGTCAAAAGTTATATATAAAAATTACAGATAAAAAAAATTAAAAATATAAAAAAATAATATGTATAAAAAATTAAAAAAATTAAACATAAAAAATTATATATATAAAAAATTATTTTTTAATAAAAATAAAAAGGATATTATTCTCTAAAATTGAATAAGTAAAAATGTTTGCTAATTTAAATTAGTGACTGACTTTTTGCTATTGAATTAGTAAATTTTACTAATAAATTAGTAGAGATTACTATTTATTAGTAAAATTTACTAATTTAAAAGCAAAAATTCTGTCACTAATTCAACTCATCTCTAAATTTGAATTAGTAAAATTGTTTAGTAACTTTGATTAGTGACTGACTTTTTGCTTTTGAATTAGTATAATTTTACTAAAAAATTCGTAAAAATTACTATTTTTTAGTCAATTTTACTAATTTTAGTAATAATTAATAAACGTAATAATAATTAGTCATAAAATGAATAATAAATAGTAATTATTAGTAATAAGTAATAATAATTTACTAATTTTTATGTAACTAATGAATTAGTAGAAATCACAATTAATACTATTAATTTCATTACTAATTACTATTATTATTACTAATCATTACTAAATTTGGTAAATTTTACTAATAAATCGTAGTTTCTACTAATTTATTAGTAAAAAAAATTAGTAAATTATTATAGTTTATTTTATTAATAATTATTACTAAGATTAGTAAATTTTATTAACAAATAGTAATTAGTAATATAATTAATAATTAGTAATAATTTACTACTTTTTATTCTACCAATAAATTAGTAAGAAATTACTATTTAACAGTAAAATAAGTAAATAAAATAAATAATAAATAAATATTAAAAAAAAGTAAAATAAATTCACTAATAAATTAGTAGAAAATACTATTTATTAGTAAATAATTACTACTAATTACTAATTCAAAAGAAAGAAGCCAGTTACTAATTCAAATTAATAAAGATTTTTACTAATTTTAATTTAAAAAGTAATAAAATATTTGTAAAAGAATACACAAATTTTTTATTCATTAATAATAATAATAATAAATATTAAAAAAATTAAATTCGAATTAATTATTAATTACTTATTTTCATTTTGTAATTTAGAATTTAAACAAGTAAAGAGTTAGCGTTTTAATTATAAAATCCAGGCCATAATGTTAATATAAACATTAATAATCGTGAAGCAATGGTGCTTGTAACCTCGAAACGAATTTTGTGCTCGATGCCTCTTTGACTTAATTAATTTCAAATTAATTACTATCATAATTAATTTTATTAATTTTATGATAATAAATTTTAATATTATTTTTAATTTGTATAATTATATATAACTAAAATATTAACAGTAAAAAAATTTCGAAACTAATAGTAAAAAATTAATAGTTAAGTAGTAAAATAGTTGATAGAAGAAAACTAAATATTAGTAGGAAATAATTAACAGTACAATTTTAATAGGAAATAATCAACACGAAAATATCAGTAGAAAATAATTAACAGTTAAATATTAGTAGGGAATTAATAGGAAATAGCTAATTAACAGCAAAATTTTAGTAAGAAATTATTAGGAAGTTAAAAAACAGTAAAATATTAGTAGGAATTAATTAACAGTAAAATACTGGTAGGAAATAATTAGTAGGGAGTAATTAGTAGGAAATAATCAACAGTAAAAATTTTGAATATTAGTAGAAAATAATTAACAGTAATATAATAATAGGAAATTAGTAGGAAATAAGTAGGAAATAATAAACAGTAAATATTAGCAGGGAATTAGTAGGAAATAATCAACAGTAAATAGTAGGAAATAATCAACAGTAAATAGTAGGAAATAATCAA